AAAAAAAAAGGATCAAAATTGTAAACTTTGATCCATACAAGCATAGGAAGCAACTTAGAAATGACTTAAGAAAAAGTCGTTTTAATGATGTTTATACCTTAATAACAAGTGTTAGTATAAATTTATACTTCGTAAATGACTTAAGAAAAAAAGTCGTTTTAATGATGTTTATACCTTAATAACAAGTGTTAGTATAACATTTATACTTCGTAAATGACGTATAAAAAATTATCGTTTTAATGATGTTTATACCTTAATAACAAGTGTTAGTATAACATTTATACTTCGTAAATGACGAATAAAAAAATTATCGTTTTAATGATGTTTATACCCTTTCGATGTATAAATGATAAGCATAGTAAATACAATATTTTATTTTTATTTTTATATTTCCGAGTAAAAAGGAGTCTTATGTATTTAAGTAATTTAGGAGCGTTTGGTGGAAAGTTGCATCAATCATTGATTTGTAATAGATTGAATTTCCAATTTCGACATTTTTACTCCTTGTCAATCTCTTCCCTAATCCTCTTCCCTTATTCTAATTTCCTTCCCTTAACCTGATCTTTCCCTTACCATAATTTCCTTCCCTTACCCTAATTTTCCCCTTTATCCTTATACTAAAGTGTGAAATGTCATCAAATTTTACTTGTAAATATGTAAGATTTACTTTTAAATAAATTTATTGTTCCGCTTTAAAAATTTCATATCTGCATCGGTATTGCGTATTTATTATTGCCGTTTTTCGAATTATAATAAACAGTATAAAAAAGTAAAAGTAAAATAAAATAAAAAAAAAATGGATTTTTCTAAAAACAATAAATTTTATTAACAGAAGGTGCGATTAAAAACTTTTGTTACACAAAATTTCAAAAAAGTTGAATACTTGCCGAGGAATTTCTGTTCCGAAATTAAGATTTTCAAGTTGTACTCTAATCTCCATCCAAAAATGTAATAAAATTATTATTTTCCATTTTCGTGGACGTGGGTTTTTAAAAAAATTCCATTTTTTTTTTTATTTTATTTTTCCTGTTTACACTGATTACAGTAATTCGAAGATCGTTACGCGGCTACGGTTTTAACATAGTAAATCTTGCAAAAACAAGATGGTCAATTTTTTTTTGAAAAATTTGTGAGTAAAAATTATTAATTTCATGAGATATAATTTTTTTATCGCAGTTTTCAGAATTCTGTGTACGTTGTGATGATTGAGTGATTATGATTGCAGGACGATTACAGGTCGATTACAGGACAACATTGTCCAATTTTTGTCCGGTAATTGTCCTGTAATCTAATAATTTTTTTATTAGATGATCTATAGGGGGTAGCACAATTTTGAAAAGTGCGATAATAATTTAGACGTGATGCTACGTACGTTTTCAATTACTTTTTTTATCTTAAATCGTAGCATCAAGACCGATTCGCTTATTATTAAACGTATCGAAATTAAGAATATTCTAGGGGCATCAACATTACTGTATTAATGTTAGTAGCAATCTCGTTAATTACTGGTCTAGACTCTTATAAGTCCAACATTTTACTTTCATAATAAATATATTACAAGTTCAAAAAAAAAAACAACTGATTTTATTGCATTTTTAATAATACAGTCGTACAAATTCTTGCGAAAAACAACTAATAATCCGTGATCCTTATGATGTTGATACTTTAATTAGCTTCACATCAAATTCTTTAACAACATCAAAATACTTATCTTTAATCGCACAGTTTACTATCTCTATATATTTTAACTTGCTATCATTATTTACACACTCTTCAAGAAAGAATTTCAATTCATTACTTTTAAACAATAAATTTCCAAAACGAATTTTTTGTAAACTTTTAGGAATAAATTTACCTAAATCTTTGAAATTTTTTTTACCACTTAATGCTACATTAAGATAAGTTAATTCAATACATGATTTAAATATGTTAATTAATTGATCTATAGTAATAATACGAAGTTCTAAATGAATTAATGAGTGTAAATAAAGTGGGATTTGTTGTGTTAATTTACTGCTATGTTTGGCGTTTATTTTATTATAATTCAATATTAATTTAGTTAAAGTGTTGGGAGAAGATTGAAATAATTGAGTTAAAAATTTTGCTGAGTTAAGTGAAATATCATTATCATAAAATTCAAGAACTTCGAGTTTTGTTAAATTTTTTGCCCAATAATTTAAATTATAATATATTTTACAATTATTTAATTTTAATTTTTTGATATTTTTAAGTAAAAATAATGAGTTTAAGGCCTCCTCATTTATTCCAGAAAAGTCGAAATACCTAAAATCTAATACTTGCAAACTTTTACTTTGTGTTGATAATGAATTAAAACTAACATTATATTTATAAGGAGCAAAATAATCACAAAAGATTGAACTATATTTTGTTTCTGATAATATAATATATTGCAAATTTTTTTGTAAAGAAATAAATTTGGATAATGAATTTGCAAAAGGAGGTCCCATACTTTCATTATATAGTAAATTTAGATTACAAATGTTATTTGAAAGAGCCAAATAAATATCCTTTGGTAATTTTCCACTATCTTTATTTATATCTTCGTTAAAAACTTCGTTATAAACACAACTTAATTCTTTTAAATTAGTTAACTTATTTATTCCATTATCATAATTAAAAGTTAACAAGTTAATTATATTATCAGATAAATCATCATTTGATATTGCAAATGGAAAATCCAACGTTGTTAAATTATCACAATGTTTGCACAAGTATTCTACAAAATATTTCATAATTGGAATTGATATTTCTGAGAATTGAAAATCATTTATAATAATATAAGGAGGTAACCATATTTTTTGATTATCAGTTACTTTCTCTGAATTTATATTTAATAATATTTTATCAAAAATTATACCATGAATAAAAGCAATATAATTAAAAGTTGCTGAAATATATGAGGGTAATAACTTTTGTATATTAAAAGAATTTGAAATTAAAATTTGTTCAATTTCAGATTTAGGAATGCAACTTAATAAAGTACGAATTAGTTTATAATAAGATGGGTTTTCTTCATAATAGTAGTTCCAATGAGACTTTGAATAAGCGAAATAATGAAATGGATAAGCGTATAAGTATGGCGTTGAGATTTTACACCAATGTTTTGAAACTAACGTACAGGAATATATATCTTTAGTTGATATATAACAATAAGTGTAATTAATCGGATTTTTGACAAGTAAGGTTGAAAAAATTGTTTCTAGACAGTCTGAAATTAAAAATGATGCTGCCATGGTTTTAAAAAGGAGAAAGTAAATAAAATCGTTGAATTAAAAAAAAAAAGTTTTTGAAATTAATAAAAATGCGGTCAATCATTTAGGGGGTTTCACGCATTTGGATATATTCATGTTTTTGTGTACTCAAAATAAGATTAGTGTCCGAAGTATGGCCCGAAGTTACTTTATACGGAAGGTTTTTCATAATTTAGCCAGTTCTATTTTGGTTAAGATTTGATCAACGATCAAAATTAGTGCGATATAAAGTACGTACTAGTAGAAAATTTCTCACGGTTTATAACTTAAAGTTTATTTTTCAGTGAGTATTTTATATGAAAGTATTTTTCAAAGATGAAATGAGTTTGAGATTCCTATTTTCAATTCCAATGTAAATTTTCTCTAAAATATTGTCGATTAGAATGAGTAGATTTATTAATAATTATTTTGTAGCTTTTTTGGTAAATTTGTATTTGTATTTTTTTTTTTTTTAATAATCACCGAATTCTAACTTAAATTTGTAATCTTTAGAGTATAATCATTTAAAAAAGTTTATTAACTTCTTTAATGGCTCGCTCATATTTTCTTGTTGTTAGTTTTTACTTTGTAAGATTTAATAATATAATATTAAGGGGGAAATTCATTTTTTAAAGAATATTTTTACTTTTTATAATAATCTAACGAAACTAGATTTTAATTTTTTATATACTATAGTATATTATTTTTCCTTAATAAATTTATCGTATGAAACGAATTTATATATATATTTATTTTTGTGATTTTATCTTTTTTTGGTGTTGGTTTATATTTTGGTATCGAAAAATCAATTGATTACACTAATTCAAAAACGGTGATATTTTTGCGCTATTTCTGGAGGAACTGGTTAACGCGAAAAAAGTTTTCATCATGAACCTGTGACAGAACCCAGAAATATATATATTGGGGTAGAATTCACTGATGCGTCGCCATCATTAGGCGGAGTAATGTTTGATTTGCATACAATTTGATATTTTTTTGTTCATAACTATGTTATCAGATTGGATTGCCTAAATTTGGCTGTATATTTATTATGTACTTATATTTGCTAGTCGCATCTAGGGTTAGTTGGTGACGAAAAGCAAAAAAAGGTATTATAAATGATGAAGTCTGAAATTTTATTTACAATAAATATAGGGACGGGATCAGGTGGCGGGAAAATTTGCTGTACGCAGAAACTTTTCATAAGAGCGACACGCATAATTGACGCCTGGTATTGAAAATCCGCCGCACTCAATTTAACTATGACAAAAAGGAATCTTAACGATGGAGAGCAAGTAATATCACTCGTTTCATTTCATCATCTCGTAATCTTTGCTACAGGATTAGGTTCAACGAAATGGATTTATGAAGCAAATTAATTAAACACAAAAATCCAACTCAAATCGACAAAAATTAAAATTTATTTGTATTACAGCTTTAGGTTTATGGGACGTATATAATAAATTATACAGTGCTAGCAAAAAGTAATCGGAATTGCAAAAAATGCGATAAATGAGAAGCCAATGATTAAAATTGCTTCAAATTTTGTAGATTTGTTGCAAAATATGTCACTAATATGTATATAAATTATCAGCCTTTTATCTTATTTCTTTGTCTCACAATTGATTTTAAAAAAAATTGTAAAATATTTAACCTATAAAAAATCTGAAAATTCTGATTATAGCATTCAAATTGCAATTCATTAAAAGGTTGAATGTTTTTAAATTAAAGTTTACATCAAGTTAATTTATTAAAAAAAATTTGACACTTTCTTATTTGTTGGTTATTGAGAAAATTGAGATCAAAGTTCTTTACTTAACTGATCGCAATCTAAACCCTTAATTTTAGTAAAAAGAACTAAAATTCAAAAATTAAAATTAAAATAATTATAAAGGATTATAATAAAGTCTTTTTAATGTTAGTTTAATAATATTCAAAATATTTCAATTAAAATAAGTTGTAATATATCTAAATTCTAAAATTTATTTTATTTTTAATGATTAAAAGCAACATTAATATCAATTTATAGAAAACCTAACTAATTAAGTAACAACCAAATTTTTTTAATAAATCAATTAAAGATGTATTTTTATGTTTATAATTTTTCATTGTGAATTTATACATGTTGATTGTTAATGACTAAGAGCAATATTAAATCTTTATTAGCTTAAATTTTTAATGGTTTTTTTTGAAAAAAAAAAAAAAATTAATTGTGATACAAGGAAAAGCTGAAATTTTATACACTTAATATTAACCCATTTGGCAACAAATCTGTAAAATTTGAAGCAATTTCAATCACTGGTTACTTTTTTTGCAATTCCGATTGCTTTTTGCTAGCACTGTATATGTGGAGTGTGGACAATAAAAAGATGGTTTCAACTATGTTATGATGATGACCATCATTATGGAAAATATTTCTTAATAATGTGATATTATTATTTCATCCTGTAATAGTATTCCTGACCTTTGAATGAAGTTAATGGGTTAGGTATAGAAATGTTTTAGCTGTACATACAGTATATTGTGTTAACAAATGAACTTTAATAATCTATAGTAACATTAAAATTGTTATGTATTAAAACTTTTTGTTAACAAATGTCAATTCAAATGTCAATTGTTAATATTTATTTTTCTATTATTTGCATACTATTTTACCAAGAATCTAAAATTTTAAATTAAATGAATTTCAAATTGATTAGCAACATTAAAATATTCTTGTTTAACACTACATTTCCCACTAATTTCTAAATATTTTAATTTACTATTACTTTTTACACATTCTTCAAGGAAACATTTTAATTCATTACTACTAAATACAAAATGATCCATCTTTTTAAAACGAATTTTTTGTAATTTTTTAGGAATAAATTTACCCAAAATTCTAAAATGTTCATCCCATGAATTATGATCTGATAATATAGCACTTAAATAAACTAATTTATTACATGATTTAAATATGGAAATCAATTCATTTGGAAAAATTTTTGGTAATTCTAAATGTAATAATGAATGAGAATATAAAGAAATATGATTAATTAATTGAAAACCTTGATCTTGTTCTCTTTTATAATATAATATTAATTTAATTAAATTTTTAAAAGAAAGTTTAATTAATTGAATTAAGAAATTCACAGGAAGAACTCTACTATAATTTAATACATATTCAAGTATTTCAAGATTTTTTAAATTATTTGCCCAAGAACATAAATTATCATTTATCCAATCACATTCATATAATTTTAATTCTCTAATATTATTAAGTAAACATAATGAATTTAAAGCAGTTTCATTTATTTCATTAAATGATAAATTAATAAATTCTAATATTTTTAAACTTTTACTTTGAGTTGATAATGAATTAAATACAATACTATAATAATAATCAATATTAATATCATCAAATATATAAAATAATGAAGCCAATTCATCTTCAGTTAAAATAATATGTTGTAAATTTTTTTGTAATGAAATAAATTTTGATAATGAATTTGCTTTTTCTATAGAATCAATTTTTTCATGATAAATTAAATTAAGATTACAAACATTATTTGTTAAAGCCAAATAAAGATTTAATAAATCATCATGTCTATTAATATTATCAATATAATATAAATCTCTTAAATTAATTAATTTATTTCTTCCATTATTATTATCTTTATTAATTAATAATTCAATCATATTATGAAATAATCCATTATTTTGTATAGTAAATGGAAATTCTAATATTGTTAAATTATTACAATGTTTACATAAAAATTTTATTAAATGATATATTATTGGAATTGAATATTGATTATATTCCATCTTATTATCATTATTAGTTGGAAACCAAATTTCTTGATAATGTAATAATCTACGTGTATTAAATAATAATTGATCAAATATTAATCCACGAATAAATTTTACATAATTAAATGTTGTTAAATTATGTATGAAAGAAATTTCTTTATTATTATTATCATTATTATTATTGTTTGTTGTTATAATTTGTTCAATTTCAATTTTAGGAATACAATTTAATAATGTACGAATCAATTTAAAATATGAAATTGCTTCATCATCAAGATAAAAATCTAAATATGCTAAATGACGAAAATGATGAAATGGATAAGTGTATAAAAATGGTGTTGATATTCTACACCAATGTCTTGATACTAACGTACATGAATGTAAATCTTTAGTTGAAATACGATTTTGAATATTACGAGAAGGATTTTCATCAAGAAGATTTGAAAATATTTGTTCCAAGCATTCTGAAATTAAAAATGATGCTGTCATGATTTATGCGAGAGAAAGAAAAAAGGGAGCGAAAAAAAAAGAAAAAAAAATTATTTTATTTACCAAAAATTGAGAAACGTTGCAAAATATCCGCCATATAATTGAACTTATTCACATTTAGCTAAAATTACAACGATCCTGAAAAATCACGTGATCTTACATACGTTAGTATTATAGAGCGTTATTTTATTTTGGCAGATCCATCCGGCCCAGTCGGTCCGGATCTATGCAAAATGTACGGAAAAGGTACTAGAAAGTTTTATGAATGTGAATTAAAAGCTTTAACGTTAACCTTTTAAGGATATCCCCTTATTTAAATGAGGTTCCTTAATGTACATTGAGGGTGTACGATATTAACGTACAAACTGGCCGGAATTAACGTTAACGCTATCACGTGCAAGTGGATAACTCCTAAATTCAGGCCAGTTTGTACGTTAAAATTGTACATCCCCACTGTACGTTAAGGACGCCCCTTTAAAATAGGTATTGACTATTAACTCTAGCCGTTATGCCGTTATTAATGTTCGTTAAATCTGGCCAACTTTTCCTTAACGTAAGGTGGGAAGTTCAGAGTTATGCGAAAGAGAATATTAACTAGTAGTTTTTTAAGAAAAAGGGTAAAAAGGGTAGAAAAAAAGAATTTATCAAATAAAAATAATTTTACAAAATTTATTGGTCTATTGGAAAATATATTGTTTATTACTTTAAAAGCTTTAATAAAAGAAAAAAACATGTTTTCTTCTGAATTTTAGCCAAACAATTACCAGCAACCAAAAACAAACAAACAAATAAATAAATCTATATAAACTTCTATAAAGCTTTTGTCAAAATATATATACACATTTCTTATCCTAAGTTTTCAATGAAAATAATATATTTGTATAATTATACTTTCCAACCATAAAACAAAATAAAACTAAAATGTAAATTATAAATGCATACCCTTTCAATAAAAGAACTGAAAAAATAATGATCTCGCTAAGTCTTAAACGTACATCCATTATTAACGATAAAAAGTCTACATCACTCATTTATTAAAAATTCTAAGCTTATACAAGAAAAAAAAACAAATATTGATTACTAATTTTGAATTATACAAATGTTCAACAAGAATTCTAAATAAATGTAGCAGAAAAATGCTTTGCGCTCGGTTGGACGTCCAATAATTTACATGCTTTTATATATATATGATTGGCTACGCCCAATAGTTTTAATATCTCTTTTTTTGTTTTATTAACAGTTCTTATTTGTCTATGACCGGCACTTTCTAAGTCAAGATCGTTTACTTCAATTCCTTCGAACCTGAAAAAACTATTATACGTTTTTATAAATTCTTGTACTCTAAGAAATTCTAAATATTATCAGAAAAATCCTATATTAAATTGAATTATTATTAGTAATTATTATAAACATACTTCCTAATGTTATCATTTGAGGCACTAATTGTGCCATTATCCGTGACTATAAAGGTTTCTTCATAATCTCTTTTCAATGATTCGCACAATTCGATAAGTACGTCAACTTTTCCGTCTACTTTTTCTATTTTTTCTACTTTTTCCATTTATTTCTATAAAAATTCGGTTAAAAGTTAATATATTATCATAAATATTATAATCATACCCGAATATTATTCACACCTCAATATATCGGTATGTCGTTCAATTTTGTAAAAAAAAAAAAAAAAAAAAAATTTCTTTTTTTTGGTCAGAAACGTAATTCTTTTTATATACCATTCTTCAAAATTCCCATAGAAAAACAAAATTGACAAGGTTACACATTATCACATTATCACACTATCCAAATATTTACAATATAATTCAGGTAAAAAAACGGGTTTTGTTCTTTAAATGGCTTTTTTTTACGTCATTAACCACTAAAGTTATCGGCAGACGGTATGCATCTCATCCCTTATAAAGTTATGAGACTTATGAATTGGATGCAAACAAAGCAGCATATCCTTCTGAAATTAATAAATTCAAAATTTTCTTGACCCCTTAACGACTTAACATGTTTTTTTTTTGCACGGACTCCCCATGAATCTGGAGTGAATCTCAAATAATATTTTAAAGTTTCATATCTGTCGTCGAACTAAAGTGTAATGCATTAGAAATATAAAAATTACCCGGATAAAATTACCATAAGTTAAATGCGATATTACGATATTCATGAATACTCACGTTAAATTACATAGCTTAGGATGAATAAGATATGATGAAATAAAGTTAGTGCACCCAAATGAAAACACCGGAAGATCATCCCTTTATTAATATTATGGGACGGAAATGGAAAAGTCTAAATCAACGAAATTCTAAAAAACCGGTTTTATTCCTGTATAATAACACATGATATTATAAATTAGTATTATATAATTTACTTATTAAGTATTGATAATCAACGGACTTACATCAATTTTCTCATTCAAAATTTTCTTACCTCATTGATATGATTCTCGATGACGAAACCCTAGCGCAGTATTCGCATGAAGATTATGTCATTTTAAATAAACTACTTTGACATATTTATAGTTGAATAGCGGAACTCTAATTGGATTGATCAATTGATCATCTGACCCATTTAGACGTCAAATTTTTTTTAAAATAAAAATGCGAGTTATATACATGTTGCCGCATTTCGGCTCCAAGACAAAGATTTAAACGGCTACATGTATAGCGGGTTAGCTAAGAGTAACACTTCATAATTACAGTATGTTCATTTAACTGTATTTAATTTGTTGCTTATTTTCAACATATATCTTCTATTTAAAATATGTATATATATATATTAACGAGTGGCTGTACTTGATAATTGATAAACTTATGAAAGTCCTGATTGTTTATTTAGTTTATTACAGATGACATCTGCTATATTAATAGGGATAACTGTAAGAATCAATAAATTATCTTTTTTAAACATTATTTGGTATATATTGTAAAATCTAAAGAAAGGAAGATGTTATGTAAGCTCTATCACACATAAATTATTTATTTGATGGGGAATAAGATATTGGCCGAAGACCGATTAATGCAAAATATTGGTAATTAAAATCTTCATATTCCTAATCGACTGAACAATAAATTATATTTATTTATTTAAAAAAAAAAATATTGTATTTGCTAATATTTTTGGTAAATTTAATTTTTCAGATAAAATTATATGACATAAATATTAACAACAAGAAGAACTCTATTAGATGACGTGTGAGTACTAAATTAACAAGGATTAAAATATATCTTTAATTAACTGGAATTAACTTAATTATCTTTAATTAACTGGAATTAACTTAAATATTTCCCCCTAATTATTCCAATTTAATTAATTGTACTTTAGAATGTGTTACAGCATCAAAATAAAATTTGGGCACTTTACACTTTCCAGTAATTTCTAAAATCTTTAATTTACCACCATTATTTACACAATCTTCTAAAAAATTTACCAATGATTCACTTTTTATCTCCAAAAGTTGCGTATCTTTAAATTGAATCATTTCTACACTATTAGGAACAAGTTTACCCATATGCCTAAAATCTGGTTCCCATCCACCATGATATGCTAAAATAAAACTAAAATAAACAAGATCCGTACATGATTTAAATATATTCCTCAGTTCAGGTGGATATATATGAGGTAGTTCTAAATGAGTTAGATTCTGTGAATAAATTAGAATATCTTTGACTAAAGTGAAACCTTGATCTATAATTCTATTATAATCCAATACTAATTTATTTAAGGTATTCGAAGAAGACTTAAGGATTAGGGTTAAAAATTCAAAGTCAGATGAATGATATGATGGAGAAAAAGCTTTATATTCAAGTACTTTAAGATTTGATAAACTTTCCGCCCAATTCTGTAATAGACTTACCCTAAGAAATTTGCACATTTCTAATCTTAACTCCTTAAGATGTTTAAGCGAACATAATGAATTTAAGGTCTTTTCATCAATACCTTCAAAAGATAAATAAACCAATTCCAATCTTTCTAACCATCCTTTTTGTGTGCTTAATGAATTAAACACAACATTATACCATCCAGATAATTGAATATTGGTTACACTAGCTCTTAAACTATCCGATAATGTAATAAGTTTTAATTTTTTTTGCGCGGAAATTAATGATGATAATGCATTTGCATGTTCAAGGGATATGATTTCACCATTATGGAGAATTTCAAGGTTTAAGGTAGTTGTAGATAAGGTAGTGTAAAGTTGTATTAAACTCATTTCATCATTTTCATATCTTTCTTTTCCAGTTCCTTTTAAAGATAATTTTCTTAATCCGCTTAATCTGTCCTTTACTAATGATTTCATTAGATCAACTTGTAATTTATTGCGTAAAATTTCCAACCTTGTTAAATTATTACAATTTTCAATCAAGTATTTAACAAGATGGTTGATTAATGAATCGTATAATTTATAGGTATCAGTATCTGGAATATCTTTAATAGGAATGTAAGAAGGGGTCCAAATATCTTTACCATGATTCAGAAAGAATTTATCGTCAAAAAGTAACTCATGAATAAATTTAACATAATTAAATGTTGGTGAAACTACTGATTCAATAGGTTCGATAGATGATCCTTTTTCATAAACTGAATTAACTATTTCTTCTATCTCAGAATGTGGAATACAAGTTAATAACGTTCTGATTAATTTGTAATAATCTTGAAAATCTTTCTCCGTTTGAGATTTTTTACCGCCTTTCAAATGATGGAAATAATTGAATGGATGAGAATATAAAATCGGTGTTGAAATTCGACACCAATATCGTGAAACCAATGTACAAGAATATAAATCTTTTATTTCACAAGTTTCAACGGAATTGGAAAAAATAGGATTGGAAGGGTTGAGAAGATTTGTAAAAATTTTCTCTAAACATTCTGGGAGTAAATTTGATGCCATGTTTTTAAATTTATGAAATAAAATAGCGAGGATTATGTGAATAATAAACTGTATTTATATTAAAAAGATTGTATTTCATTGTATAATGAGATCAATATTATTTGCAGGTGTGTGGAACGGAATCACTACATTGTATTTCAACGATACATGTGGTTTTTTTTAAGTAACAAATATGTAGTCAATTTTACTTCTTCCACTAATAAGGAGTTTATTATTAACCTAAAATATATTAGCCGAAAATCATTTTACAATATTTCCGTGATTTAGCATTTTTAATTCATCAAACCTTTTTAAGGTAGTAGTCGTACGTATGGTTTGTTTGGTTGAAGATTTATTTGATCGGCCACGGGCCACCAAATAATTTTCAGGTTTTTTGGGTCGGACCTCGGACGTGATTCACCAACAGAATTTTTATTTTCATATGACCCGGACATCACGATGTCTGTACGACCTCAGCAAAAATATAAATTCGCAAATTTTTTTTGTTCACGTTTTTGTTTAAAATAAAACTTTTCATACCTTTGTCAATTATATAAAAATCTCCATACCTTAAATCGATTTTGTCAATTATATAAAATCTATCAGTCTATTCTTACCACTCCACGGAAAAGGATGCTATATAAAACTATTACTTAACGTGAAATAATTATAGTTACTAGTGAGAATTCAAAATGGTCTGGTGCTAATGTTAAATAAATAGGTAATGTAATAAAAAATTCTTTTATTTTGGAGTTTGCTTAAAATATGGCGGTGTATGTCATTAGAGAAAAAGTCAACTTTTAAGTGAATTTTTAAAAAATTTTAGTAATAGACATTGATAAATTAGATATTAAATTGCAGTAACTGTTGAAGCGTAGAAAAAATTTAAGGCAATTGTAATACTTTATCAGTTGACCTTGAAACAAATTATTTAATAACCGATAAATTTGTATAAAATTATAGGTGCTCCAATTTTTGGCGATGAAATGAAATTAATATTATGCAAAGGGAGGGAATGAGTAAGCTATTTGGAATCCGTATGGCAATCCATTTCCAATGATAGGATATCATTTCCTATTGCTATGGATACATTGGTTGGTTCTAAAGTCAAATCCATTAATCAGTAAATGGCGTCCAAGCATCTATTTCCGATGAATAAACAAGAACATGATATATGTGTGGCTGAATTAAAATTATTTACTTTAGTAAATATTTCAAGAAGCATTTTGCAGATACATTGATTGATATGGTACAAACCATGTTGAGGGTAGAAAAGACGCCTTTTCATTTTTCAACGATAAATTATTGATATAAGAAAAAGATGATGAAGTGAACTTCGCAAGGTATTATTAAGTACGCACATCCTTGGAATAAGATGACATTGAATCACTAAATCTTTTATAAGCATTACTACCTTCTACGAAACATTATTATGCTGGATAATGGATTAATTTACCCAGTAACATGACCCTAGAAGAAAAAGATGCTTATCTGGCTTTATTTAAACGATATAAAACATATCGATACGTGAATAGATTATTAAATATCGAAATTGAAATTGGAGGACGTACTGTCATCAGACTTGAAAATACTTTTGCTGATGATTCTATACCAAGTAATTTTTTTTTTATGTAAATAGTTTATTGATTTATTTATTTTGAACGTACAATGTTAACTATCTTTCGTCTTTTAGACATTACGTCCATTCTTATTGTAAAAAAAACTTTATTATTGAAAGATCTTAGTTTACAGTTCTCATATATATTAATTGAAAACGGAATTGGTAGTTTACAGCATCTAAATGCAGCATCGTACAGGTCGTGCAAGTGGTCAAACAATATACCAAAGACTTTTGATTAATAATATAGGGGTTTTAGATTTGCGGGTAAATTATGATTGTAGTATTTATTGTTTTTTAAAAAATTACTGTATACGGTTAGTTTTCACAATAGCTTATTAATTTTTTTGTTTTATTTTCATCATTAGGATTTATTTCCCGATATTCTAGAAGAATTTCACATTGTGTATACGATGATTTTTTTAATTCTGCGTCGTGAATAGATTATGAGTCTGCAAAAATTAATTTTGATAGATTAAGGTATTTACTATCACATATCTTAGAATTTTTATATTATAAGCAAAAATTAATTGATTTATTCAATTTAAAAGGTAGCAATCTTGGGATGTTAGCAGTCGATTATTAATTCTGAATAAGAGTTACGGTATTACAGAAGGAACTACAAATTATAATGAAAATTCAAAACTTGTACTTGAATTTTCTTGAGGGTATATTCTATTATAGTATTCTTGTAACGTGTTGGTTCATCAAAAAGAATCGGTGAGGGGTCAATTTGGAATAATTCCTTATGTGGACTCAAAGAGAAGAAATATTTAATGAAGGAAAATATTAAAATTTGTATGAACATCATCAACTGAAGTACAGATTATAGTCACTACAAAGATTGGAGTAATCGATGAATGAGTTGCGGAGTAAATAGCTCACGATGTCCTGATACAATTATTTACATTAAACTCTGGTAACATTAGTTTTTAAATTTTGTGTTATTATCTTGATTTAAACATAACCTTTTGTCTTTTTGTCATTAATAGAATGTTGGAACCAAGTAATCGACCAAGTACAAACCATGTAGCTGAAAGTTAAAAGGGAATCAAATAAACTCAACCAAATTAACGACAGTAAACGATTACGGTGTATATAATCAATCATCATATGAACAGCCATCATATAACAAGCATCGCGGAACTATATAGGCATGCTAGCGAGAATGAGTAACTTGAGACAGTGTTGGGTTTACCATGTTGATTCTGAGATTCTGAAGTATGAATCGTTTTTTGCCGTTTGGATAATTCTCAAATCATAAATCAAGAATGTTTTAATCAAGTAAGTAACATAATGTCTCCGGTTTCTAATTATTAATTTAAAATTTTGCTAATAATGTTCAAACTCTAAAAACATTTATGTAGATATTACAAATTACGAATTTAAATAACTAAAGATCCAACATGGTGTTATATTTTTTATGAAATATTATGAAAATGGAAATTTATATTTTGATGAGATTAGGGTAAAACATGTTATGGACAGTATCCGCTGGTCTTAATTTTATTCATGATCATGATATGGACATTTTCACGAAAAAAATATTGCATTTAATTGAACATGAGGCGGATTCGATTAATCGTAAACATTGGATTACATCTGTTATTAGTAAATATCGTACATCTCGTTTTTCAATAACGAAATAGCTCATTATGAATATATTTTGACCATCCTACACGAAGAACGTACGAGGTATCAAGGAGGGCAAGCAACATCAAAATGCCGTTAGGTTCACTCAGGTTTGTGTTGATGATTTTTATGAACTTGATAGCGAATTTCCTGTTTTAATTGTCTTCTCATGAGTTTCTTTTGATATGAAGAATATTATTAAATGTGAAATGCTTGCCAAACCAAAGAGAAGACGAAGACGAAAGACTCTTTAGGGAAATAAGACTATCTTATGGAATTGTGGCTATGGCATTTTCTAGCTTTATTTCACAGATAGCCTATAGAACGAGCAACATATCTACTTAACCAAAGTTTCTGCTAAAAAGATAACGAAGCTACCTCGCGCAAAATGTGAAGCGGTAATGGAGCGATAAGATATATGCCGAGAAAGAGCCGGAGCAACAGTTCAGGAATATTTCGAAAAAAGGAGTAATCGTTATTTAGATAGCATTCATATGTATAGAGGCGTCAAATATTATTGGGTTTCGTCCCAACATGTAATTTTTTCTTGCGTGTCATCTCGCGCTTTTTGTAATAATAAAACGTTCATTTTGGAATATAATTTTTACGTGAAAAGTAATATTTAACGTAGGAGTGAGTTTTGGCGTGTGTTGGTTTACTGATTAACGCAATACGCAATTGAGAGTGGGAAATTGTTTCTGCTAAGTACTGACTCTACTAACTTCAATACTGTACCCTTGCTTATATCTGAAAATCTTAGAGGAAGCACCGATATGGAAATTTCAGAGCTAGGTTTTTGTTTAAAATGCATTAAAGAACTCTTTCACTCTTTTTTAAGGAATTGAAGATCAAGTGTTGGCTGCATATTCCATCGACTTTGCCTGGGAAAAACTTTTACTAACAGTTCCAAGTGTATGTCCTTTTCCCGATTGCCGATTGCAATAAAAGCACAGATATCAGGCAAGTACTAGACGATACTTTCAATTATCCCAGTCAAATAGAACTTTGGCTATGGGTTTTAAATTCTTTTCAACATTACAGGACGTTCCAATGAGGGTGAAATAGTACTTAAGACGTTTCGCAAACTCTGAAATTTACCAAAAGATGTTAAAAGAAATCCTAATTACATCGATGATCAGCACAAAGAATTGTCATATATGTCTAGTTTCCGTAGAACAAAGTTCAAGCGACTTAGAAAAATACAAAGAAATTATTCGCAAAAAGCCGAGAAGGCATCCAAATAGGGACGATTCTCGTTCATTGAAAAAATTTATTCGGGAACTGTCGCCTGATGGTTAGGGAAATATATTAGCGTCTGAATCGAATACAGACCCAGTTAATATATTTTATGTTAGAAGATTGTATTTTTGTGTAAGACCAGAATATAAGACGATTCAATATTATTATAAAGCTTCGAATAAGTTTTATCGTTAATGGTGTGGGTTTTATAAAGATTAAACCATGGAGATTTAGCATCTCTAGTTACTTGATTATGGAAATAGTTCCTCCAGAATGTTTCACACAAAACCTAATAGCATCTATAAAGGTAGGGAAGTGATAGGAGGGTCAGGACTTTTTCGTCAGCTATTTCGAACTTGTCATAGAGTGATTTAAATATATAATTTCTGGAGTGTTTATTCAACATGGGTTTCTGTTTTTACTATGTATGCGTGTATAACATGGAGAAAGAGCATAATGATAGACATTAAATCGTGTATAATTTTTATTACGTTGTAATTGTTGTTGAGCAGCAAATTTCGATCTACATTCACGCGATAAAATAATTTGTAGAAAATGAATTACATAGCTGAGAATGCTAATTTAATAAACAATTGTTTTTCCCAAAATATATTATGATCCCGAATCTCAATGTCAGATGAAGTTTCAATTCATCAAATATTAGGGTTGTTTGCGTCCCGATGTATTAGTGCTATATGGCTCGTCTTTTGGTCAGTTGTATTTGCGGCCTCAGGATTTGGGTTCAAACGAAAGGATTACTTGTATCGGGTAGGGTGATTTCAACGTATCCGATATCATTCCAGTATTACTGGATCAGGCCGATTTCAGACCCCTATTGCTGGAGAATTTAGACGTGTTTAACCGAGTTTTGTTAAGCAGAATACGTTTACCATTAAAACTATATGTCAACATTAGAGCGAAGCTCATTGCCCTAACAACACGTTAGCTCCTTACATTAGTTTGTTTATTTGCAATATTCCGTTCTAATAAAAAATTAAGAATATTAAATGTCATATGCAGGTGTACAGATTAGAATAAAGTTCACTATATGAAAGCATACTCTAGAAACTTCTAGTTTCTCTTTACCGCTTCTAATAAAAGAAATAACGAACCTCCTACCTGAAAGTTATTTTATCCAATATATTCCTTATGAAAGTAAAATGTTGACTTTATAAGAGTATGGATTTGTAAATTAGTAAAGTTGCCAACCAACATTAATTCAAGAACTTATCAGAAGTTCAAAGAGTGCGGAAAGGCCACGCGCAAAAACTTCATTAGCAAAAATCTACAAAAATGAAATTGATTGCGCGAAATAGAAGTCAAATACCACTATCCACCACCGACTTAAGAACTTTTTCAGAGTTCCAAACTAAAGTTTATAACGAAACCCCTAAAAAAAAAACAAATTAGAAATCGATAAAAAACATGCCTTTTGATTTCTCTCAATTGGCAGAGAAATTATAAAATCCGTTTCTTTAACTAGCAGAAATAATATTTTATTATTCATAGTAATGAATTATAAGTACAATCTTTAAACACTAACTATAATGAAGTACTAATAACATGAATAATACAGATACAGGAGAGTTATCAATAGGTGACGCCTAAAACCTTTTTATCATATTTATCAGAGACAACACAATTGTTTACAATAAATTTTGCTAAAACATTTCTATTCAATTGCCAACCCAATCCATTAACTTCATCCAAAGGAAATTTTCCATCCATATCAACACGTAATTCTTTGTCAGGAATATTATTATTTAAATAAGCAGGACGAACAAAAACGTAATTGATATCATCATTATTATTCAAGAAAATATTTTCCATAATGGCCATATCGTCATAACATGGTTGAAACCATCTTTTTATTGTCCACTTATATAATAAGTACATACGTTCGGGATCATTACATAAACCTAAGGCTGTAATACAAACAAATTTAATTTTTAGTCGATTTGGGTTGGATTTCTGTGTTTCATTAATTGCTTCATAAATCAATTTTGCTGAACGTGAATAAAATTCATTTGGTTTTTGTCCATCTAAAATTCCTAATCCTGCAGCAAAGATTACGATATCATGTAATGAAACGAGTGATTTTACTTGCTCTTCATCGCTAAGATTCCCTTTTGCCACAGTTAAATTGGGATTTTGAATATCGGGATGATCATTGAGTGTGGAAGGATTCCTTGCTACTGCCGTTACCTTATAAACAGTTTGCGGAGTTGAGACTGTCATTAAGTGTTTCAGGATTAGATGACCTAAGCAAAAAGAAAAGGAGAAAAAAAGAAAAAATGTAAAAAATGTATTATTCACAGGTTCATGACGAAAATTTCTTTCATACTTTACCAGTTCCTCCAGTAGCTCCAAAAACAAGTACTTTAAGTTCAACGGAAGTCATTTTACTTAAATACAAAGATGATAAAAAAATTTTTTTGATTCTTTATAACCTTTCGATACTATAAATAAATAAATAGAAAAGACTTATTATGTAAAATCGGGCCTACATCGGGCCTACTTCGGACCTAATTTTTACACCAATCCATTTTGGGTGTGGACAGTTTTTAGCGAGAACTATTGAATTCAACCTAGCCTTATAAGTTTGTAAGTTGTACAATGTAGTGTCGCCATAAATTGTAAAAATTACTGGAATAATACACTAATAAATCACATGACATTTCTTCATTATACTAAAAACAATGAAAAATTTTCTCATGATATCATGATTTCATTGAAAATTCTTTTCTACAACTTCGTGATAATCAAATATTTTATGGAGGCATAAAACAATTGAAACATAGGAGTACATAAAGACGTGAATATCATAGAAAATATCTAATTATAGAAGGTTATATAGGTTATATCGAAATTATCGAAAAAAATTTTCCTACGCCCTAATGATCGGCTAACTGCATTTTTTATTAATAAATTTCAAACTTTTTTAATCAAAGATTTTATTTTATTTACTTTCTCCTTTTAAAAATCATGGTAGCATCATTTTTAATTCCGGACTGTCTGGAAACGATATTTTCAAACCTTCTTGTCAAAAATCCGAACAATTATATTTATATATCAACTAGAGACATACATTCCTGCGCGTTAGTTTCAAGACATTGGTGTCTATTCTCGATACCATTCTTATATGCTTATCCATTTCATCATTTAGCTTTTTCAAAATCTAATTGGAACTACCATTATGAAGGAAATTCATCTTATTATAAATTAATTCGTACTTTATTAAGTTGTATTCCTAAATCTGAAATTGAACAAATTCGAATTTCAAATTCTTTTAATATACGAAAGTTATTATACTATATTCCTTTTTTAAATAAAAATTCTTCACCCTCATATTCTTCAGCAACTTTTAATTATATTGCTTTTATTCGTGGTATAATCTTTGATAAAATATTATTAAATATAAATTTAAAGAAAGTAACTGGTAATTATCAAAAAATATGGTTACCTCCTTATATTATAAATGATTTAGAAGATCATCAATTCTCAAAAGTGTCAATTCCAATTATGAAATATTTTGTGGAATACTTATGCAAACATTGTAATAATTTAACAACATTGGATTTTCCATTTGCAATATCAAATGATAATTTATCTGATAATATAATTAACTTGTTAACTTTTAGTGATGATAATGGAATAAATAATTTAACTAATCTAAAAGAATTAAGTTGTATTTATAATGAAGATATAAGTAGAAAAAAAGGAAAATTACCAAAGGATCTTTATTTTGCTCTTTCAGATAGCATTTGTAATCTAAATTTACTATGTAATGAAAGAATAGGATCTTCTCGTGAGGCAAATTCATTATCAAAATTTATTTCTTCGCAAAAAAATTTGAAACATGTTAAATTATCAGAAAATAAAATGATTTCATATTATAGTGATGCTATTTGTGGATACTATAATATTGTTTTTAATTCATTATCAACACAAAGTGAAAGTTTGCAAGTATTAGATTTTGGGTATTTAACCTTTCATAAAATCAGTAGGGAAGCCTTGAATTCATTATGTTTACTTAAAAATATCAAAGTGTTAAAATTACGTAATTGTACAATAGATAATTATTTAAATGCTTGGGCAGAAAATTTAAAACTTGAGGTTTTTGAATTTTATGATTATAATATTTCATATACGTTAAAAACCTTTTTAATTCAATTAATTCGGTCTTCTTCCAACACTTTAACTAAGTTAATATTGAAATACGTTGAAGATATAGATGATCAAATAGTCCAACAAGTTCCACTTTATTTACACTCTATAATTCATTTAGAAATTCCTAAAGTTTGCCCAGATTTGTTAACTAATATATTTGAATCATGCACTGAATTAATTTATCTTAGTGCAACATTATCAGATGATAAACCATGGGAAAATTGTAGAAATTTAGGTAAATTTATTCCTAAAAATTTACAAAAAATTCGATTCGGATATTTCCTATTGATTAGTATTAATGAATTTAAATTCTTTCTTGAAGAGAGTAAAAATAGTAATAGAAAGTTAAAATATATAGAAATAGTAAATTGTGATATTGATGAGTATTTAAATGTTGCTAATGAATTTGGTGTGGAGCTGATTAAAGTAACTGATTTATATGATTAGGCCAGAATAGCCTTTTCAACACGCCTATTAAATCCAGTATCTGGAATCTGGATATAGTTATAAATCTTTATTATTTTCATTATTTATATTATTTATCATGATGTATTACATATTATTAGTTATTTTTATAAATAAATTTAGAGAACATTTTTTAAATTGATTCATATTATAACTGTTACGCCCAATATCTTAATTTTTTGTAAAAATCTATCTTTGCTATTTTTTCTTTGCAAATATCCAACCGTAATTGAACAATGCGCCCATTTTGATAAATTCTGAGTATTTATTATGTATATACTGCAAATTTCGTTAACTCACAATTGTATTTAGAAATATTTTTACAGGTTCTGTATATACAATCCCGTAAAAAAGTTGATCTGCTTTTTATATTCCATCTTTTTTCCGTAAAAGGCTCATATTTCCGGAATTAATAACCTTATATCAACGGAATTTAACGAATTATTTACATTTTCCGTACGAAAGGCTCATTTTTACAGAGTTTTTAAGTTTTTACAGAAATAACGGATAAAATTTTTTATAGGGAATATATACCTCAAACATCTCAAGTTTTCTACACCTATTATCTCCAAAAAAATGTGTGTGAATTGTTTACTCCTGAGAAAGACTTTATTGATGCTTTTTGGTTAGCATCGGAACCAAACTTATATTAAATAAGGCAAAAGGTCATACAAAATTTAATATGTGTTTAATTATATATCAGATATAGTAAAAAATATTTTTAATTTTTATATATTTAATGTTTGATTAAAAAAACTTTTTAATAGAATTTATACCGTCATGTTTCATAAAATATATGTATAATTTAGCGAAAATTTTATATAATTAATTGCAATCATTTTATTGACTGTAACAGAATCTTACTGCATTTTAATAGTCAATTGATTTTATTTTAATCTCATCATTGCTGACTAATTAAATCTAATATTCCGATCTCAATCAGTAAACAGTTATTTATTATATAATATTATTATATTGGCAGCCCAAAATATCATGAGTAATATTTATTAAATAGGAAATTAAATATGTCTTGTGGTATGTTATATATCAGTCAATTAATCAATTACATCAATTACATCAATTACAGCAATGCAATATAAGTACTATGACTCAATCTTAGTCGCGTCGTTTATATTATAACACGTATTCTGACGCGTAAGATGTTATGGATAAAAATTCAATATAATAGCTTAGTCTTTTTTTTTTTCTCTCAGCCTCTTTTTTTCGGTTTTTTCTTTTTTTCTTTTTTTAGGTCTTATCTTTCTCTCTTGTCTTAACCGTCTTTACTCTGATCTCGTCTTTCTCATCTCTTAACTGAAGAACTGTGATATGTTAGAAACTAGTTGAGCTATTCAACTCCCATGGTTAGAGTCTTGTTTTTTACTCTATTGTTGATAGTAGAACCACAACACTCAAATTTCCCAATAATAAAATAATATTTTTCTACATTCTGTACGAAATATAGCCATTTACTCACATGAAACTGTTCACAAAAATCATCAAGTGTAACCTTTCTTCTCTCAGTTATTTTTAAACGCTATTACTAATCTTTTATCTTTATGCAACTACCTGGTTTACCTTCAACTCTCCTTCTTGCTGTATCATTCAAACTGTCATCTGTTATACGATTTTTATCTTCTAAGATTAATCAGGTCAATAGTATTTTGAGATGAATAAACTGTAACAATATAGCTTGATACTGATGTAACATTTCACTCATGAAAATTAGAGATTTAGCATTTTTATTTTGAACAAAGTGTTGATTACCAAATTCGGAAAAATTTGACGTATATTTGGATAAATTATCTTGGTAGTGTTTCAATCCGTTTATCCGCGGATATTCGCCATTTACAGTTATCCGGATAGGATTTTTTAAACGGATACGGATGAGAGGATTGGAGGATATCCGTAATGAATCATCCGTATCATTAACGGACCCTGGTGGATCGTAACGGACCGGAATATCTGTATCACTAACGGATTATCCGTATGAAAAAAATTTTTTTTTATTTTCAGCTTTTCTAATTTCGTTAAATCCTTCGGTTCTTCGACCACCTGGACTTCGGAGACAATAGTAGGTTAACTTTTTTTATTTTTTTTTTCGTTACTTTTTTTTTTGTTTCTTTTCACTAATTTCACTAATTTCATTTTTCTTCTTTAGATCCTTCAGTACTTTGGCGACATCGTAGTAAATCTCCATATATTTAGATTATAAGGATATCCGGATGGATCCCTTAGGATATCCGAATAATCTTCAATCCGTCACTACGGATATCCGCATTGTATTTTATTAGACGGATCGGATTGACGGGTGACGGATATTAAACGGATCGGATGGATGGATAACGGATTATCCGCGGGTTGAAACACTATATCTTGGAGGCTTGGATCCAGTTTGGTTTTATTTATAACACTTACTAATTTAAGTTTCTTATTACTGACAAATGAAAATGCATGGAAGAGTGTGAAAGAATAATAGAATAAGAGATTAATGTTTTTTTATCAAATTATCAATCCATTAACTTCTATCTCTCTTTTCTACCTTTCTATTTTAGTGATTGGACTTTAAAAAAAAGAAAATAAACAAATGAAAAAATCAATTTTTTTTTCTAGAGTTGATAATTGAGATAAATCCTTGGATATGGTTTGATTTTATTGCATGTTTTTTTAACAGTACAGCATTTTACTAACATGTTTTTCATTTTTTTTTTTTTAGAATTAATAAATGAGATAACTTGAATATGGTTTGACTTTATTACACGCTTTTTGATAGTATGACATTTTACTAACATGTTTTTCATTTTTTTTTTTCCTAGAGTTAATAATTGAGATAAGGTAAATCTTTGGATGGTTTGACTCTATTTGCATGATTTTTTATTAGTACAAAATTTTACTAACATGTTTTTCTTTTTTTTTTCTAGGGTTAACATAAATATGGAATGAATATATTTATATTGGATGTAGTTAGGGTTAATAATAATTTAAAGATATATTTATTTGGATTGTTTATAATCTTGGATATGGTTTGATTTTTAAAATTTTGTGATTTTTCTTATTATATAACATTTTACTAACATATTTTCTTTATCTGGATGCTGAATAAAAAATGTTGAAAAGACAATAGATAAAAAATAATATTAAAATTTAAACAATTTGGACGCTAAACTGAAAAATTAATTATTGGTGATGGAGATAACAGATGATACTGGAAGATTAAGATTAATTATATGATACTGAAAAAGAAAATTATATGATACCGGAAAAGATTAATTATGTATTACTGGAAAAGAATAATTATTTGATATGGGAAATATTAATTATTTTAGATTAATTATATGATATTGGAAAAGATTAATTATATAATACTGGAAAAGATTAATTTTTGGTAGTGGAGAATAATAGATTTATGATTCTTAATATGTTGCTAGACAAAATTATTTGATGAAAAAAATCTCGGATATGGTTTGATTTTTAAAATTTTGTGATCTTTATTATTATATACACTTTACTAACATATTTTCTTTATCTGGATACTGAATAAAAAATGTGAAAAGACAATAGATAAAAAATAATATTAAAATTTTGAACAATTTGGATGCTAAACTGAAAAATTAATTATTAGTAATGGAGAATAATAGATGATACTGGAAAGATTAAGATTAATTATATGATACTGAAAAGATTGAAGATTAATTATATGATACTGGAAAGATTAAAGATTGATTATTTGATACTGAAAAAGAAAATTTATATGATATTGGAAAAGATTAATTATATGTTACTGGAAAAGAAAATTATATGATACTAAAGGAGATTAATTATATGATACTAGAGGAAATTAATTACATGATACTGGAAAAGATTAATTATATATGATACTGGAAAAGATTATTTATATGATATTGGAATAGATTAATTGTATGATACTGGAAAAGATTAATTATTGGTAGTGGAGAATAATAGATTTTTGATTCTTAATATGTTGCTAGATAAAATTATTTGATGAACAAATCTCGGATATGGTTTGATTTTTAAACTTTTGTGATCTTTCTTATTATATACACTTTACTAACATATTTTTTTTTATCTGGATACTGAATAAAAAATATGAAAAGACAATAGATAAAAAATAATATTAAAATTTGAAAATTGGATGCTAAACTGAAAAATTAATTATTGGTAATGGAGAATAATAGATAATACTGGAAAGATTAAGATTAATTATATGATATTAGAAAGAATAAAGATTAATTGTACGATACTGGAAAAGAAACTTATATAATACTGGACAGATTAATTATATGATAACTGGAAAAGATTAATAATATGTAACTGGAAAAGAAATTATATGATACTAGAGAGATTAATTATACAATACTTGGAAAAGATTAATTATATATGATACTGTTATATAATATTGGAAAAGATTAATAATATGTTATTGGAAAAATATTAATAATATGTACTGGAAAAGAAATTATATGATACTGGAAAAGATCAATTATTGATAGTGGAGAATAATAGATTTTTGATTCTTAATTCATTACTAGATAAAATTATTTGATGAAAAAATCTCGGATATGGTTTGATTTTTAAAATTTTGTGATTATTCTCATTATATAACACTTTACTAACATATTTTCTTTATCTGGATGCTGAATAAAAAATGTTGAAAAGACAATAGATAAAAAAATAATATTAAAATTTTGAACAATTTGGATGCTAAACTGAATAATAGATATTACTGGAAAGATTAAAATTAATTATATGATACTGGAAAAGATTAATTATAGGAGAATAATAGATATTTGATTCTTAATTCATTACTAGATAAAATCATTTGATGAAAAAATCTCGGATATGGTTTGATTTTTAAAATTTTGTGATTTTTCTTATTATATAACACTTTACTAACATATTTTCTTTATCTGGATGCTAAATAAAAAATGTTGAAAAGACAATAGATAAAAAAATAATATTAAAATTTTGAACAATTTGAATGCTAAACTGAAAAAGTGGAAAATAATAGATATTACTGGAAAGATTAAAATTAATTATATGATACTGGAGAAGATAAATTACATAATGTTGGAAGAGATTAATTATATGATATTAGAAAAGATAATGGAGAATAATAGATATTTGATTCTTAATTTATTACTAGACAAAATCATTTGATGAAAAAATCTCGGATATGGTTTGATTTTTAAAATTTTGTGATCTTTCTTATTATATAACACTTTACTAACATATTTCTTTATCTGGATATTGAATAAAAAATGTTGAAAGACAATAGATAAATAAATAATATTAAAATTTTGAACAATTTGGACGCTAAACTGAAAAAGTGAAGAATAATAGATAATATGTGGAGAATAATAGATTTTTGATTCTTAATTCATTACTAGACAAAATCATTTGATGAAAATCTCGGATATGGTTTGATTTTTAAAATTTTGTGATTTTTCTTATTATATAACACTTTACTAACATATTTTCTTTATCTGAATGCTGAATAAAATGTGAAAAGACAATAGATAAAAAATAATATTAAAATTTTGAAAGATTAATATATATATGATACTGGAAAATATCAATTATTGGTAGTGGAGAATAATAGATTTTTGATTCTTAATATGTTGCTAGACAAAATCATTTGATGAAAAAATCTCGGATATGGTTTGATTTTTAAAATTTTGTGATCTTTCTTATTATATGACACTTTACTAACATATTTTCTTTATCTGGATATATTGAATAAAAAATGTTGAAATGACAATAGATAAATAAATAATATTAAAATTTTGAACAATTTGGATGCTAAACTGAAAAATAATTATTGATAGTGGAGAATAATAGATACTGGAAAGATTAAGATTAATTATATGAATACTGGATTAATTATATGATACTGAAAAAGATCAATTATTGGTAGTGGAGAATAATAGATGATACTGGAGAGATTAAATTATATGATACTGGAAAGATTAAAGATTAATTATCTTGGATGTGAAATATTTTTCTGATATATTTATCTTATTGCTGGATAAAATGATTATGTGGAAATTGGTAATAAATGGATTATAAATCTGAATAAACGATGATTATATGATTTATTTAAAGATATAATATTCTATGTGGATATGGTTTGATTTTATTTGCTAATTGAAGTAACATGATCAAAAAAAATAGAATATCGTTATAACGTATTTTTACCGAATACATACTATGGAAATAATGGATGGATAATATTAATTTTGATTTTGATAACTATAGATAATGTTATATTAGTAAACAGTATTTTTTTAATTGTTAAAGAGACGAATGAATGAATGAATCTTTAGAATTGTTATTACATTGATCTGGATAAATTAAATTTTGTATTCCAGGATGTGGTTTGATTTATTATTTTATTTATTCATTTTTTTTTTTTATTAATAAGGTATTTCGCTAATTTGTTTTAAATATTATTGTTAATTATTTGGATAAGTGTGGAAAGTATGAGATGTGTTGGAAGAATGGATTAGTAGATTTCAAGTGAAAAATATATGGAAGAACAATGGATAGTTAATTAGATTTGGCTTGGATAAATATAAAGATGACCGAGTTATCTTGGACTTCAAATAAATGAACGAATGAATTTTATCGAATTAGATATTTATTTAGAGTTCAAAAATATCCTAGGATATGGTTTGGTTTTTATTTGTTTATTTATCATTATTGTAATATTCTATTAACATGATTTTTATTGCTGAATGAATGAATAAATATTTGGTATGTGGATGTTTGATTATTAATTTATTTAAACATATTGCTGGACAAAATTATTGGATAAGGTAAAAACATTTGGTAACTGATTTCTTAAACTGGAGGTATTATAATTTATTGATAAAATGGATTATATTTAACAAAATGAAAAATAGCTACCAATTGCAAAGAACTCTGAATCTATTGAATGATAAAAAAAATTGACGATCAAGGCGAATAATGTGAATATGAATATGGCAAGTATCTCTGAAAGTTTAAATAAGTAATATATAAATGAAATCAGATTGTCTAATTATTCATTTTAACATGTTTTATATTAGCCAAAACTCTCAACTTTAATTCATATTGGTGTCAATGATGATATACAATACAAAAGTATTTAAAAGTACTGAGATATTTATACGAATTTAAGTTTGAGTTTAGTCTATTCGCATTCATTACAGATTTAATTGCCCAAGAGAAGATTTATAATGGTACCACTTAGACTATAGCTAACAAGTGAGAAAGCCGACAAAATGAAACATTAGAAGAATTACAATACGGTAGGGATTGATAGAAAATCTCTTTATTCATGTCTTAATAGAAATTTTGTGTGCATGCAATAACTGATACGTACTGAACTCAATTGTCCCAACTATTAAGCAAACGTGACTTGTTCCACACCAAGAAGCAAGCAAAACCTAAAGTAATGAGTCCATTTCTACTGGAATTACTGCTGTTTTCATTACCGTTTCAACTTATCTGGCTCTTCTGGGACTAACCTTTCTAGCCCCTGTCTCTTATACACATCTCTGATAGCTGTTTTCATTACCGTCTCAGCTTACCTAGCTCTTCTGGGACTAACCTTTCTAGTCATATACGTAGGAAAATGTTCTCCAACTGATAATTTGAAAATTTGAAAAAGATATTATTTAATTTATTTAATTTATTAAAATTTTACTTATTTTAAAATTAAGCAATTTAATAATGCCATACAAAAATATTGACTCAAAGCTAATAAATTTATTTATATTTAAGCGGGTAACATAACAAAACGTCATTATATATATTTATCTGTTATATGTTTTAAATTTTCAAATCGTAGCGCAAATTGACTGCGCCACAATAATATTATATTTTATAAAATAATCTTGTATCACTAGCATCACTAGGGCCAATAATGATCGGCACAATTTTTTTTTTATAAATCGATTTGGAAATAATGATCTTCATTTGGCGTTTCGTTTCTTTCTTTCTTATCTTAAGTCGATTTTGGAAAATGTAAAGAATGTGGCGAAGCTTATCTGGACGGATATTATGTAAATGAATGGAAAAAACCATGTAGTGTAAATTATTTTATAATTATACTAATATAATATTTGAATGGATACATACAGTATAATCAGTTTGATGATATTAAAGAAATGGGGAACGATGGTTTTGCTACAGCAATATGGAAGGATGGTCCATTATATTATGACGATATTGAACTTGTATATACAAGAGGTCAGAATAAAAAAGTTGCTTTAAAACGTTTATGTAACTCCATACCCTTCAAAGCCCAGGATATATTCTTAATAAGTTGGAGAGAAGAGCGCAGAATAATTGGATTATACAGAAGCTCATCAAAGATTTCTTCTGAGATGAAGGGAAGACGTAATTAATAAAGAACATAGATTAATAGATTAATTATTGTTTAATGCTGAGCCTTGATCATCAATAAAAGTGCTTCCACAAAGTCCTCCAGAGTATATAAGAAATTTATTTGATTGTGGAAGAGGCCGACAAAAAGGGATTAATGAATCTCTTCTAAATGAGGTATGAGATTTTTGGATTTAATCGGAATAATTTCGTATTATAGTACATAATAATAAGGGCTATAATTTTTCTTTTTTTACAATAATAGATACGTAAAGATCCTGAAGTATATGGAATATCTCAAAATCCAGATACAATTGTGGTGAAAAATATGTGTATAAAAAATGGTGTAAACCTGTCAAATAGGTTAACTTAAAAAAAAATTATTTTAAATTGGACAAGTGGGAACGAAATAATTGATGATTCAATTCAAGAAATGCGTTTAAAAATCAATCATTACAGAGATAATATATTTGAATGGATACCATACGATCAATTTAATGAAATTAAAAAAAATACACAAAGGAGAGTCCGCTACGGCAATATGGAACGAAGGTCCATTATGTCATGATTACTATGAAGAGAAATGGACGAGGATCTCAAATAAACAAGCCACTTTAAAATGTCATATAATTTACAAAATATTATTAATGAATTTCTAAATGAGGTATGAAATTTCTCTATGAATTTTAATTTAACTCTTTTTTTTCTAGTATAAAATATAATAATTTTTTTTTCGTGTGTTTTATAGGTTAAGACGTATAATTGTAAGAATAATCTTAAATCCAAATACAAAAGAATGTATCATCGTTTTCAAAATGGACATTGTGAAAAATGTGATGAACAAATCAATCTGATGTAAGTTATAAATGGTGCAAAAAATTGATAATTTAATTCAAGATATATAATTAGAAATTAATTCTTACAATGATATAATATTTGAAGGGGTCCCATACGATCAATTTGATGATATTATAAAGGTGCTACCGTATATCCAGCAATATGGAAAGATTACTTGATTAAAAAAGAATTGGTAAGAAAATCAGATACAAAAGTTGCTTTGAAAGTGTTTATTTAATTCACAAAATCTCTCGGATGAATTTTTATCATGCTCATGATGAAGGTTAGTATTAAAAATATGTGACGGAATTAGACCTGAAATTAAGGAGCCAGAAGCACTAAGATGTTATATCGACTTAATGAAAAGATGCTGGGATCCTAATGCAGACAATAGGCCAAGTGCTTAGAATTGCTTCATGATTCATATATGTATGATGAATTAGATTATTCTGATATTTCATCAATTGAAAAGGTACAATAATATCGTGAAATATTTCAATTATTTCATCTACTGAAAACGAATCAACTTCTCATCCACAGGCCAGTAATGTAACCCAAATACTTAACCTCCAAAATTTGCAACATCCGGGTAATTTGCCTTATACGGAAGATCTTATCATATATGATAGTATAATACTTTTAATTCTGATTGTTTAATATTCATAGTGATGAGAATTTTATTATAATTATAGTATTTTTTCTTATAATTTGTAGTATTATTATTTTAGCAATTATGTATTTATTCTTAGAGTGTGGAGTATACATAATAAAATCGTTTCGTAGTTGAATGATATATTGTACCCGGTTTTATCCTTTCTTTATAATCCAAATATTTTACTTATCATGTTAAAAACTCTCTAAATATTTGAAGCGGTGTGGTCTAAATTTCTTACAAGTATTCTTTAAATTCCGTTTAAATGTTTCATGTAAAATTAAATTTTTAACGGGTTGATTATGAAATTTACAAATGTTATACTGTGATTTATAAAATCCATATAATCGATAATTGCAGTATGAGAAAATAAATTCTAACTGATAAAGGATGATAAAATATTAATATTCGATTCTGATTAAAATATTTGAATTCGTGCTTTAATTGAAAATTTGGAAAAACTATTAAACTTTATCCTAATAATAGATTAGAAGAAAACGAAAATACAATACCGCACAAAATTAATACTTTGCTCAGCAAAGAACCTAAAATTATTGCTAATTTTACTTATCCATTTAACACTAAAATTTTGTTTCGAATAAACAATTTTTTTGATTAAAACCAATGAAGAGGGAGAGTGCAACTAATGAAACGTGTTAAGAATTATTAAAATAAATTTTGCAACATACAATCACCAAATTTATTGGCTAAGCTGATAAATGTATACTGTATATATATATATATGTATTTTTTAAAAAAAATTAGGTAAAAGTAAACCACATTAAATCTCAAACTATTACACGTATTATCATTCTTGATTTTAGATTTGTTTGCTAACATTTGTTGGTTTCAGTTATCCTGAAACAAAAAGAGCCGACATATTTCAACATAATGTACAATCGATAATAAAACCATGTTATCAAAACAGCATTGTTATAAGGAGTGCAGTGATTGCAGTGAATCCGCTGACTCTTATACGCACACAGATCTGGAATCTCAGTGAAATTCATTATCAAATGAAACATGTATGAAGTAGCTTATTATTACTGTTCAGAGTATTGTTCTACCTGTTGCTCACCTAAGTGTTTAAATTAACTACAGCGTCTAAACCCTTAAATTTATATCGAAAAAATTTTTTACGTGCTATCACGTTACATGATCCAGCTAATCCTACTTCATAAATGACAAGCTAATCGCCTTTCAGGAATCGTCTGTTCCAACCCGTGACCGCCGAAAAAAGTATCGTCGTCGAAACTAAAGACCGCCACTATCACATGACTGTTCATCTCCATAACATTTCACGTGACTTGCGTAATTTGCTGCGGTTGGCTAAGCTAGAAACATCCCACTTTGAAATGTTGCGGTAATTATAATCACGTGTTACTATTGACAATATTAAAAATTGTATTACACAAAACAGTGATACAAATTACAAATATAAAAGGAAATAAGCAGGGGTAGTTTAATTCAAAAAGGGAATTATGACGTAAGTGGAGAAGGACATGGGTTACAGCTAGGGATGGTTAGGTCGGTCCTGGTCCGGTCCTGGTCCTGGGACCTATAAGTCCTATTGCGGACCAGGTCCTGTTAGGACCAGTCCTGGACCTGGTCCCTGGACCTGGTCCTGATTAAGTTATTTATAGATTTTATGAATTTAGTAATAACTAAATATAAAAAAAGTGAGTTGCGATATTTGGATTCACTTTTTTATATTGATTTTATATAAAAAAAGTGAGTTGCGGTATCGCGATTCACTTTTTTATATTGATTTTATATAAAAAAAGTGAGTTGCGGTATCGCGATTCACTTTTTTATATTGATTTTAATATAAAAATGTGAATCGCAATATCGCAACTCATTTTTTATATGATTTTAATAATATAAAAATTGTATTGCAATATTGCAGTGCACTTTTTTATAATTTATAATTACTTAAAATCAAATTTACAGCAAATTATACATATATAATTTAAACATATGGATCTCTTATAACCTTATTGGCTAGGACTTTTTAGGACCTGGTCCGCTTCTGGTCCAAAATTTGGACCTAAAGATCTGCAGACCAGGTCCTAGGACCAAGTCTTTAGGTCCAGGACCTAGGACTTTACCATCCCTAGTTACAGCTAAGCACGATACTTTACAAATCATTATAATTAATTCGTTAATTAAGAATATTTTAAATAGTTTACAACTTGTGATTAAAAAGTATTGAATGTGACTAATATTTTGCTACGCCCGATTACAGTGAACCCTCGGTTCTAACCATTTTCGTTTACTATTACGAATATTCATAATAATAATTGATACGGTATTTTTTTATAATAATAAAAATTTTTTTGGCGGTTTTATGATTTCATAATTTTTAATTACGAAAATGTAACTGATAAAAAAACCTGTTTAATTAAATCAAATCAGAGATGTCATCTATTCCGTTATACATGATTGCATCAAGATTAAGAGAATTCTTTAATTAAAAAAAAAAAATAATAAAATAAAATAAAATAAAATTTCTTCTACAGAAAAAGTTTTTGATTTTGATCTTAAAGCATTAAGAACTCTCAATCCTGTGTAATTAATTATAATATTATTAGTGGATTTTAAAAATAATGGATTATTTTTTCTAAGAATGAATATAATTCATAACCTGTGAAATAGAAATCAAACCCATGATAACGGCAACTATAGTGTAATTTCAAATTTATTTTATATTATGAATAAGCCAAAAGTAATTTTTTTTAGGATTAAGTTTTATATAATAAATATTACAAAACAGAGCCACGTTCACCGACAATTTATACAAACGTTTCACCGACAGGGTCATTTCGGACAAATGTTTCGCCGATGATCATCTCGAAATTAGGGCTGAAATAAGGTTAGAATTCCAAACTTGTAAAATGATCTTGTCGGTGAAATGATTGTCGGTGAAATGAACCCTTATGATTAACATAATGAAATGTTACACTTTTGTTTAACATAACTAGGCTAACTGACGCAATAAACAATCACAGATCAGCCTTAATAGATTAAGATGATCGGTGATCATCACCCAATCAAATACTATAAACAATCCTCGTTATTACGAACTTCCTAATCAAAAATCATATTTGTGTACGCTGACTTCATAATACTAACCGATTAAGGACTTTCAAATGAAAAAAAATTATGACGAAAAAGACTTTATTTGCATGCATGCATAACTAAACAAATATAGAATAAGTTCCTTTGTTTGCAAAATCGCACAAACGTTCTATAGTATTGTTCACGAGAACGCCAAATGATCGACTGTAACGTTCTTCAAAGCAGGCTTTAAATTCATAATACATACATATACATATACACACATTTTTTTAATTTAATAGAACATGCAATCTTCAGAAACCTTCTTAAAGACTTGTTCTTTGATATTACTACACGTTTGAATACCAAAAAGAATGTTTCCTACTGCAAAAATTTATGTGTCGGCTTCATTTTTACTTTCAGAATGTTTAGAGAAAATTTTCTCATATCTTATTGATAAAAATTTCTCTCACAATATTTATACCTCTATGTCAATGAAAAATATACACTCTTGTACGTTAGTATCAAGACATTGGTGTAGAATCTCGTCACCATTCTTATATGCTTATCCATTTCATTATTTCTGTCGTTTGGCTGATTCAGTTTCTTATAGTTCAGGCCATTTACAATATTTTAAATTAATTCGCACATTATTGAGTTGTATTCCTAAATCCGAAATTGAGCAAATTAAATCATCAAATTCTTCTAATACTTCTAATACACAAAAGTTAACATCAAAATTTATCATTTCATCGACATTTAATTACATTACTTTCATCCGCGGTTTAATTCTTGATAAAATTAAAATATTATATAACCCATATACGTTATTCATTTATCGAAATTTATGGTTGCCTTCTTATAACGCATATAATATAACAGAAGATCAGTTCTCAAAAATATCAATCCCAATTATAAATCATCTCGTAAGATTCTTGTGTAAACATTGTAATGATTTAACAACACTACAATTTAAGTTGAAGATACAAAACAATGAGATATTTAATAATTTAATTGAATCTTTATCTTTTAAAGATTATAATGGAAGAAATAAATTGGGTAATTTAAAAGAATTATATTTTATTAATGATATAACAAGTAAAAATGAAAAATTACCGCAGAATTTTTATTTGGCTCTTTCAAATAGTAAAGTTTGTAATCTTAATTTACTTTACAATGAAAACATCAGCACTATTGAAGAAGCAAGTTCATTATCAAAATTTATTTCTTTACAAAAAAAGTTACAACATATTATATTATCAGAGGATAAACTTGACATATTCCTTGGAGATAATATTGGAGATAATTATTATGTCGTGTTGAGTTCATTATCATCTCAAAGTGAAAGTCTGAAAGTATTAGAACTTAAATATATACCTTTTAATAAAATAAATGGAAAAGCTTTAAACGCATTATGTTCGCTAAAGAATATCCGAGAATTAAAGATTTATATGTGTAGAGCAATAAGTGATAACTTAAATTCTTGGGCAAAAAATTTATCAAGACTTGAAGTAATTGAATTTATGGCATACTATTTTCCAACTATATCAGAAAAATTTTTAGTTCAATTAATTCGATCCTCTTCTAACACTTTAACTAAATTAGTATTACATTATAAAAGAGCACAAGATCAAAGCACCAGAATATTTCAACAAATCTTAAATTTAAATTCATTAATTCATTTAGAACTCCCTAAAATTTATTCATACGAATTAATTCACATATTTAAATCATGTACTAAATTAGTTTATCTTAGTACAATATTATCAGATGATGAACCATGGGAAAATTTTAGGGATTTAGGTAAATTTATTCCTATTACTTTACGAACAATTCAGTTCAAAGAGATGCATAATTTAGTATTTAGTAGTACTGAATTGAAATATTTTCTAGAGGAATGTGTAAACAATGATAGTAATTTAATGTATTTAGAAATAGTTGGAAATCAACACGTTAGCCAAGATTATTTTGATGTCGCTGCAGAATTTGGAATAATTCTTTATTATATCAATTGTTAAATAGGTCACCTTTTTTTTATTTTTTCTTTTTTTCTAAAAAATTATTTAAATTATTTATTATTATTATTTATTATAAAAAATATATATATAATTCAGGTTCTATTTTATTGTAATTATCCCTATAAAAAATTTTTCAGAAAAATGATCACGTGTCTGAGTTTTTTTCGGAATAAAAACTAGAAAATGATCATTTATCGGAATTTTTTCCAGAATTTTTTTTTATAGGGAAAAAAGGTTTGAAATTCTGTACTAATAGTGTTGCAGTACAGTAAAACGTAAAAGAAATTAATGAATTTATAATTAGAATTATTATTGCATCGTTAAATTAACGCAAATGTCTAACTCGAATTCGATTAAATAATAAATTGGACGTTATAATTACCGCCGTGCTTAATTGAAAAACACTGTTTGTAAATTATAACAGGTATAATGAAATTTTAAGGACTTTCACAATATACAAATTGACCATAATATTAATTTATTTTTATTTTTATTTATCAATAATAGTTAGGCCATTCCAAATTAATTTTTAGTTTAACGTCCTCCCCCCCCTGCTTTATTTTTGAAAATTTTAAAATAATTTAAACACATATGTTCACATATGTTTAAAGCACCCCCCCCCCCTCTTTTCTGAAATTTGGTGTACCGAATATTTCCGATTTTACCGAAAACTTCCAGAAATGTTAATATGTTTAAATATCATGTTTGTTTAAATTATTCCCTCCCCCCCCCCCTCAAATTTTTCAGCCAGAAAGGACGTTAAACTAATTATTAGTTTGGAATGGCCTTAGTATACATAAGATTTTATAAACAAAACAAAATTGAAAAAGTAAATAAAAAATTAAACTGACCATAGTATTAATTTATAGTCATGATTTTCAACTTTATACTGTATATTAACTTGAATAGCATAAAGGGATGGCCAGAAAATACGTCATTTTCTAGGGGTTCAAGAACACATTTTCCATTTTTAGTTCTTATTAAGATTTTTGGGTTTACATTAAGTGCCATAATTAATAGTGGTTGTTGGACTACTTGAAGTTTTATATCTGATTCGAATTAATACCTGATTCGAATTAAATAATTATAAGAAACTCATTACGATACTTTAATAATACGTTGATACGTTAACGGATGGAAATAAATTTTTTATAGGAATATATATTAGATATATTTCGAGGACGTATTTTAGAACGTTCCAATTAAAATATTTACTAAAGAATTAGTTGATGAGGGGGCTAAAAATTTAATTATTTATTGCGAAATTCTGAAAACAGAGGAGGGGATTAGTTGCATTAAATAAAAAAAATATCTAAAAAAATTGTTTGTAGGTAGTGTTGTGGGTGAAACCTATAAGTTTCATCAGAGCGCGAGGTCTAGTTTCGCCAGATTTTCAGATCTTATCGAAACTAAATAGCGAAAACTTCTTATTGGTTAAACTATTTAATTAATACCTTTATTGAATAAAAATTTATAAAATGATTATATTTTATACTAATTATATTATTTGCATACTATGAAAATAAAAAGAAAAAATTTTTTAACGGGTTTATTTTCGAATCTTATGACCACTGTCACGAGGCTTAATAGCTTCGATTCAATTGGTCAATTTCATTATTATCACATGATCAAAGGTTTTGCTAATATCAGTATCGACCTTTCGAAAGTTTCGGATTTTATCACTTGAAGAACGAATCACCTTAACTTTGAATTTTTTGGTTTCGTCCACAATTTAATATATCCATGGAAAATTACTTATAAAAATAAATCTTCGATCATTAAACGATTTATTACGGTTTACCTTTTTTTGGCGCTTTCTCACGTTAACTTAATGCATAGCATAAATAAAAATTACACAAATCTTATTTATACTGAGAATGCAAATATAAATCTTTAAATAACAAATATTACATAAATATTACAAGTAAACTAATCCTAGTTTATTTAGCGCTACTAAATGTTGGTGATGATCATTTCATAATTTTTAGTACATTTTGCTGGAAGCGCCCCAATTTTTAGTTAAAATTTTAACTCTTACTTTGACTTTTGAGTTTTTTTCAATGGCGGCAACCTATTTAATTTCAGAATGTCTAGAAAATGTTTTATTGAACCTTCTCGACGAAAATCCTTCCGGGGATACTCGTACCTATACATCAACCAAAGATTTATATTCTTGTTCATTAGTATCAAGAAATTGGTGTAGAATCTCAACGCCATTATTATATGCTTATCCATTCCATCATTTTCGTCATTTAGCTTATTCAAACATTCATTATATTAACTCCAATATAAACTATTCATCATATTTTAAGTTAATTCGAACATTATTAAGTTGTATTCCTAAATATGAAATTGAACAGATTTTATCAAATTCTTCTACTAATGAACAAAATCCATCGCCTAATCCCTTTGTATCTAATGGAATTTCTGCTTTTCATAATAATTTATTAACGACCTTTAATTATATTAATTTTATTCGTGGCTTAATTTTTGATAAAATATTATATAAAACGTACGAATTGTTTCAATATCGAGAAATATGGTATTCTACATATATTTCAAATGATACAACAAGGGATCAATTCTCAAAAATATCAATCCTAATTATGAACCATTTTATAAAATATTTGTGTACACATTGTAATAATTTAACGACATTAGAATTTCCATTCAAAATACAGGATAATGAGTTCCTTATTAATATAATTGAGTCGTTAAAATTTAACGATTACAACAGAAAAAATAAATTGTATAATCTAAAGGAATTATATTATATTAGTAACAAATATGGCAAATATGGAGAAATTTGTTCATCAGCAGACGATCTTTATTCGGTTCTCTCGAATAAAATTTGTAACCTTAATTTACTCTATAATGATAAAATCAATTCTATTGAAGAAGCAAATTCATTATCTCAATTTATTTCTTTACAAAAAAATTTGAAGCATATTATATTATCAGAAAATATATATAATTTGGAACAAATATATAATGATGATATTATTGATGATAATTATAATATTATTATTGAATCATTATCAACACAAAGTGAGAGTTTACAAATATTGGAATTTAATCATATACCATTTAATAGGATAAGTGAAAAGGGTTTAAATTCTCTTTATTTACTTAAAAACATCAGAGAATTAAGGTTTTGTAGGTGTAAAGATATAAATGATAATTTGAATTCTTGGGCAAAGAATTTAACAAAGCTCAAAGTTTTAGAATTTGGAGCATATTATTTTCCAATGAATTCAGAAGATTTCCTAATCCAACTAATAAAATCTTCTAACTCCTTATGTAAACTAGTATTGGATTATAAAAGAGAACAGGATCAAGGTTTTCAATTGTTTAAGCAAATTCCAAATTATTTACACTCGTTAATCCACTTAGAACTCCCCAAAATTTTTCTATCTGAATTAATCCTCATATTTAAATCGTGTACTCGGTTAGTCTATCTTAGTATGATATTATCAGGTGATAAATTATGGGAGGGAAATTTTAGTAATTTAGGTAAATTTACTCCTAAAACTTTACGAAAAATTCAACTTAAAGGGATTGAAAATTTAGTATTTAACAGTAATGAATTAAAATATTTCTTTAAAGAATGTGTAAATAATGATAGCAATTTAAAATATTTAGGAATTGTTAAAAATTGTGATGACCTAATTAATCAAGAATACTTTGATATTGCTAAAGAATTTGGTGTGGAATTAATTATAGTGTAGAATCAATTTTTAATTAATATAGTATCATGTGCATTCTTATTTTCGTTATCATTTATTTTAGTTATTATCTTACTTTAACGCATAAAGGATATTATAACCGTGATATATATAAAGTATAATAAATGATAAAAATTCTGTCCCAGAATATTTAATAAAATGAGACATGACGTGAAGCGTGACTGGTTGCGATTTATTAGAGACACGAAAAGCAATGCGTATAAAAATGTTGATCCAGTGAATCGCTTTCTCTTGCGGAATTTACAAGTGCTATAAAAACACGTTAGTTTTTTCGAAACGGAAAGTAGGTAAATTCAAAAATGTTGAACTCAGGAACATTCAATGTACTGAGACGGTACATTTCAACCCATTTCGATCGCCGAAGCCATTTCGACGAAATGATGTTTCACCGAAAGTGTATTTTATCCAAGGGTGAAATCGTCCATTTCACGCATGCACCGAATTGTCCATTTCGACATTTCGCCGAAAATGGCAGCGATTACTATGAAAAATATTCATCGCGCGATGAAAATAAAAAATAAATTATTTTTAAGGATCTTTTTTTTCAGGATATTATCTTTCACTTTAACATTCAAGTAACTGATATTACTTGCTAAACAATAAATAAATAACTTTATAATACTGAAAACATTTATTTACGAAAAAGTAAGTAAAAAAAATAATTTTTCGGCGAAATGTTCATTCAGAAAATATCCATTCGGCAAAATGTTCATTCGGTAAAATGGCTTCGGAGAAATGGAATTCGGCGAAATGGATATCGACACGAAATTTTTTATTGTAGGGATTGGGTTACTCGGCTAGTCGGGTTATTAGAAAAGATATATAACGCGGTTATTAGCTTTTTACTACAACAACGTGCCTCTGATTATAACTACTTTACCATTATGTACTACCTAACTACGTAATCATATTTTTTTACATGACTACATGACTACGTGATATAAGTCACACCTGCATTGTAGTTGTAGTAATTAAATATATAATCTATATAACGCGTGGAATATATATATAATGGCGTAGTATAAGTATAATAAAGTATAATTGTATATACTATATTAAAATTTAATTAAAGTATATCTTTTCTAATAACCAACTAGCCGAGTAGCCCAAGTACCCGACAATGATCCCGACAATAAAAATTTTCAAGTGTCGAATTTTGCTGTAACAAATCTTAAAGAACTCGGAAATATTAGGTAAAGCTTGATATAAAATACAAATTATACGCTAATTTTGGTATAATTTTATCTTATTTTGAGCTTTTACCGAATATTTCCGAGTTCTTTAAAATTTGCCAAGTGTCCCGACCTTTTTGAATGATCAATATTAAAATCTTAATTCCGGCCGAAATAATTTCGACTGGAATTCGCCACGTTGTTTTAACAATGTTAATAATAACCGTCCCGCTACGGGAGAAAAAAATTTTTTAATATTAAAGTGTATTTCGATTCTTTTGTTTCGTTCCCTCATTATAACGATTATAATAATAAATATAAAGAATAAATGATAATAGCAATAAAAAAATGCGGGTTGCCTATTAATTAAATTATTTAGAAAAGATTATAAGTTCGGTTTGAAATTTAAAACAGTATCACCATAGTAATATCCGAGAGTTCATCATTTAAACCCAAATTTATAAATTATCCCCAATGATCAGCTGTGTTCAGAAAGTATATGTCAACAAAAGGATTTGCACTCTTTTATTGGTGTACGACAAAATCTCTAATAACGCCTATCTATTTCATATTTTTCGTCATTTACGTTATAAAAGCGTTATCTGTATCGGGATATTTTCATTCATGATTCCGTGATTACGTTCATGATTTAGAATTACGTGTTTCACATAGGTTGAGCGAATTATAAATTTCATGAATGGAAAAAATCACAGAGTAAATTTGTTTAGAGGATTCGTTTATTTAATGCTAATCCTTATTTTAAATCGATAAATCGATATTAAATCGTATAAAAACTTGAATCGTCGAATTAATTAATAATTCACATATTTTTAATTATATTACTTTTTATATGTTGACTTTTTCAAGTAAATTATTCAGTTACAGAAATATCTCACATGGCTGACCTTCTAAATTTCAAATAACACTAAAACTATCATGATTCTAGTGTATCAACATTCTGTAATTCACTGTACTACTACTATTTTCAATTAAGGAAATAAGCATCGTTCTTTCAGGCGAACTTGCGTCGCGAATTGAATTTATGACATTATATTTTGATTATTTTCTAACCATCGCATATAGTACTCAGTCTTATTCAAAAGCAAGCTAAATTGAATACAGTCAGAACTCGATATGATATAACGAATTTCACGATAAACCGATTTTCTAAGGGTTTATGAACATATAAAAATTTTTTATATTAAATTTGTAAATTTTGATAATTTTAATCGATATTTTTCAGTGAACCGGAGGGTCATTATATTGAGTTCTGACTGTTGTATGTCAAGTGTATTGTATTATATGAGGATATAGCCGAATAATGTCGATACTCCTTCTTTCATATAAAATTTAACTAAATTGCCGTAAACTGTAAAATTATGGAGAACAAACCAGTTACGTTCAACTTTTCGAGCATACTGTATTTTCACTTTGTTTGAACATTTAGTCCTATATAAAATTTTACCAAATGAACTCAATATTATATGGGAAAACAATTTTTTTATTTAAATTTAGACAAATTATCTCTCAATATTAAAAAAAAAAAAAAAAATTGATTTAAGGATGAAAATCTCACGTATAATATAATGAAAACTAGTAACGTTACCCCATTAAAAATATTATGAAAGCTTTAGAGTTATAATTTAATTATTTTTTTTTGAAATAGTTTAAAAATATTTTTTTTTTATAGTGTAAAAAGACAATTTAGTGATAGGTAATGTAAGAAAAGATGCTTTCGTATAACCGTAATAAGAAAATTTTTTTTTATAACTCAGATAGTGCGGCAGGAATTTTTTTTAAATAAATAAATTATTTTTTTATTTTTAAAATTTAACGTTGTTCAGCTAATAAATACATGAGGGTGAAATCACAGAACAAATGCATTAAAGTAATAACGCAAGCCGCATAGTGTAAAATTATCTGTTATTAATATCAGGGGTAATCACGCACCAATGAAGCAAATGAAGCAAGCGGCTAGCTGGTTTTATCATTACTCATTAGTTTGCGAGTCTTCATATTCACAGAAAGAATTTGATTCTAGAGGATAGTATCATATCATAATTTATAATAGCCATCCATACCTGATATTCCGTGCGCTCTTGACTCTTTAACCGCATAATTTTTTTTTTTTTAGCTTAATGTTTATCAATTTCATTTTTAATTAAAATTATAGAATTTCATAGCATTTTAACTTTATGCAAAAATTCTGTGGGAGTCATTTGATAATAAATTCTAGGCTGTGTAATATTCAAATAATAGTAATTTTAGTAAATAAGAAAAATAAAATGTTTATGATTCAAAGTATTTTAATATGATGTAATACAAACAAGAATTTATTGTAATTGATAATGTTAATCATATTGTATGATTATAAAATGACGGAAGTTTCAAATAATCAACTGATAAAATATCCTATGACCCTCTTTCCATACATGTCATCATTTTGAAACATAATATATAAAATGAAATGTAAAATGATATACTGTATGAGTTGTATGTACTATATAAAAAATGTAACACACGTTTCAACTATGCATATAAAATAATAATTAAACACAACACTTTATTATTCTGTACAAAAACTTAAAAAACTATTGAAAAATTGTCCTAATAATAGATATACAAATGTTTGTTCAAATATTTTAACTACACTGTCAAAAAATAAAATGAGAACTTTCCATTCACGTGTGATGACCTTTTCATATGCCAGTATAGGATAAGACATCTAATATCTTAATATCATTGTATTCTGACATTTTCACATGGTAAACAGAACATAATTTTAGTAATATTGAATTATTCTAGCTTTTATATTTTAAAGTTATTTACATATGAATGATAGTCTACAATAATTCTATTTCAAAGAATTTCTTAGTAATATATATGCATATCATGTTACAATTATGCTATGTTGCTGTATCATAATCACATTTTATGTATCCAAATTCTTTGAAATTATGATCCGCAAAAAGTCGATCAACATTTTCCCGTAATTTTAATGTAACTAATTGTCAGTATTTAGAATTTTTATATTTTCAAGTTGAAATATTTCATCCACTCTACTAATGTTGATATTACTATAATTCACTCTTATCACTCTTAGTTGTTGTTGTTGTCTAACTATCTCTCTTAAATAATTATGAACATTTGTATCGTATAAACTTCTCCATGTAAAAATTATGGTTTGTAACATTTTACATCGTAAAGATAGAATTTCCATGAACGTTATTAAATTTGGTAAATGTAATTCGGAATCGTTTACTTCACATTTAAATGTTGTTAAATTTTTCAAAAAATTCGAGTTCCTGGACGCAGCAGGTGACGTTCTCAAAACATGGGATGACGACACTATTAAAGAGTTGTTCGTTGTAGAATATGTCGCAGTGGAAACCATCCAAGTAGGCAATTCCGGTATATCTAAACACATTTCACCATCAGAATAAAAACTAAAATGCGTTAAATTATTACTCTTTTCAATAAACATTGAAAATAAGCATGGCAATAATTTTTTTAGTTGATTATTAGTATATTCAATTTCTGTTGATTCCAATGATTCTGCAATTGTATCCAGATCAGAAGCTCGGTCAGAATAAATATTTTCGATTAACCAAAATCGTGTATATCTTTCAAATATTTCGTAATCTAATTCTCGTAAATATGCCGGATAATTTATTTGCGGTGTTCGGTTTTGTCGTAAATATATATCGTTATCAATTAGATATTGTTTTTGGATTTCATCTAAACATGAAATGTAGGTGTTCATCAATTTCGTGCCATTCTGAACCGGTATTGATATATCAAACGGTCGATTCCATAATAAAGGTAAACAATTTTTCATCCATTCTCGATTTACTAACATACACGAATATAAATTAGGATTTGGTCCTTCTTTAACGAACTCGATTATGTTTTTAAGACATTCTGGTGGAATATTTCGTGAAAAGATTGACGACATTATTAAACGATTTAGGAAAGAAACAAATTTTTTTTTTTTTTTTTTTTTTTCATTTATCAACAAAAATTTATTCGTGATGTCTCACGAATATCCAAAATAGTGTTAATTCCTAATCTCTTATCTAATACTGCAATAATAATATGCATAGTAATACAAAAAAAAAAATTTTTAAACTCGCCTAATATTACTCCATTTAAATTGATAACGATACGTGAGCTTCCGATTTCCACATGATTTATTATGTTTTAATATGCTGTCAATTTTTTGTGTAACTAACCAAAATAGCTTATCACATGCACAGTTTGGTTTCACATTTTCTTATCTAGCAACTTAAAAGAATTAATAAAAAATGAAAAAAAAAAAAAAAAAAAACCAAACACAAAAACTATGAAAATCTTCTTTTAGCCGTTAGCCTTATTCACTATCGGTTTATCATTTAATTGGACGGAATAAAAGATTATGTACCTTTTTTATTTTCTTATTCTATTTATCGACTTAGAATGTTTAGAGATAACGTTATCAACTACTGCGCAGCAAATTTTTATTCGCGAACCGCAGTATTTATATAGATAACGTTCATTTAATTTATACATTAACAGTTAAGATAAAGATAAGTTCTTATCATCTCGGATGTATCAAAAATCCGAATACCCGAAAATTCTTATCAATGCTTAATCACGTGATTATTTCGATAATTCTAAAACCACGGGAAATAACCAATTAATTTTCATTTATTAATTAAAAAAATGGGATTAAATTTATTAAATAACTCAATAATAATTTTGAGTAAATTGTAAAATCAACTATCTTTAACTTCATAATTATAAATTTAGGACAATCAGACTTTATTAGGTAGAAGATTAGTAAGAGCGAAGCGATTTACTGAATCCGCAGTTGATCTTTGCTTGGCAATTCGCGCAGTTAGAAGATACTATTTCTCCTTTTCTTTATATAATTTCATACTTAGTAAGTGAAGAGTAACCTTTTGTAAATTAAATAAAGCAATTCTAAAATGTAATTACAAAAAGAATTTTGCGAATAAAAAAAAAAACGTTTCATGTAGTGGCCAATCATTGTTTAGGGATCATCGTCATGTGATAAAATATTTTTTTGATACGTTTCTTTTTAATACCAATTTATTTTCTCTTTTGGTTTGCTCCTTTCTTTATCATCATTGCTACAAAAAATTTTATAATTTATAATTAATGATGAAATTATTTTAAAAACTAAATAATATATAAGCTGAAATAAGTTACAGTATTTCGGAATCTGAAAGCAACAAATAAAATGTAATTCCGACTTTTGAGTTCAAATTCAAGAAACAAACTTTTCCAAATTATTTAGTTAAAGAAAATACACCGATATCATATCTAAAAACTTATCTGAAAAATCCGGTAAATTTAGAATAGATTTTATACGCTATGGCACATTATTATTAAATAAATTGGGTAAAGTATTACTTTTTTTATGAATTACGAGAGTAACGGGACTATATATACGTGTATATTTTCAATAAATTTGTTAAAAAAATAACTAAATAATTAAATTTTTTACTCTTCATTATTTAGTCATTTTTATTTTCAACGTACATTTGCACCAACTTTTATACTTATTTCAGATCACTATTAGGAACCGATCGGGATCAAAGAAGTTGAAAATTAAATTAAGATTGACAATCAAATGAGATAACAATCGAAGTAAACCAAATTTGGAAGGAACAACAGAAAAATCATATGCGTGGAAATTGATCGATAATAGAATGGGGGTTATTATCGTCATCAGTATTACTAAAATGTATAATGTGATAATCTTATCATGTTTATTAGTAGGATGAAGTAGTAAAAATTTCTATTTCGATAGAACATTATTGCTTTCAAGTTCTTTTATATCATCATTATTATTATTAATTATTTTCAAGATCAAATTTTATGTCTTCATTACATTTATTGTTGAGGCCAAATGTTCGCATTATTATTGTTATCATTAACAGGATCAATATCTTTTTAATTGTCAACAAATTTAATTTATTACTACTTTTGTCAAATTTAATTTATTACTATTGTCATTGTTAAAGACATTAATCTCATACAGTACAATGAAATTACTATATAGCGCGCTGATATTTACGATATATCTGATTCAAATTGCTAGTATATCAGAGGGATATAATGTAAATTTAACCAGATTCAAGCACTAATTCAAGTTTTTTACTAGTGAAAATAATGTACTATATGATTATATGGCACTTGACATTATCATTATCATTAATTCCTTATAATTGTTACTATTATTTGAAATTATGTACCCATTTATATTTCAACCATCATTAAAGTAGTTTCTTAAGCATCAATTGTAATTATAATTTGTAAGTATCCATAATGAATAATTTAAAATTTTTATAAATTATCAAATCATCATTATATTAAATCACTATTAGAGATAGTAACTACAATTAATAACTTATTCGAAATAAGAAAAATTATAGAAATATAATGCTGTCGTTTTGATAATTGACTGTTAAAGATCTGAAATCTTTTGCTTTATGAAATTACAATGTTGTTGATATTGACCATGTGAAGAGTATGAAACGAACAATAGATAATGCCATATATTTAATAATTGTAATCTATTATCTCTGGCTCAAAATAATAATGATAATAATGATGGTGATTATAATATATACTAAACGAAGTTATAAATAAGCAATAAAGATTGGGATAAACCCTAAGATAATTGTGTTAATGGATGTAGCACTTGAGTATGTATGAACTATTTATTGGTTACGGTACGTTTCGCCTAAATCCATTTCGTCAAAGGACTTTTTGCCGAAGCCATTTACAAAGGTTGTTTCACCGAAGGACATTTCAAATAGGACATTCTGCTGAAGTGTTAGCGATTGACATTTTATCATTAAAAATTCGATACCCGATTTCTATTAATAAATATAAGTTATATATCAAAATAAACGTTATTAATAATGTTTTTAGTAACAAAGTTTTTGTAAATATAAAATATGGATATTTTGGAAAAATATGACTTGAAATTTTCGGCGAAATGGCTTCGGCAAAAAGTCCTTCGGCGAAATGAACCGACGAAAAGTCGGGATACCCTATTTAATTAATAATTCTTATATGCTTTTTAATGAAATTATTATACAATTATATATCACAAATATCATTTCCGGTTTAATTCAGTGCTTGTTTAAATGAAACAGGTCTTAGGCGTTTAAGTAAATCGTTCAGTAGATATTGAGTAGATATTGAGATTTTATTGTTCATTAAATTTTCAAGATTATTCATCGACAATATGATATAAAAGTACTTCATGGAAATTTAAAGTTTTTTTTAATATTACAATAAATAATGACATCTCAAAATTTGGGTGCTAAATGTGAAATTTTGTTTATATAGTTGACCATCAGGTTTTGAAATTTTGCATGTTGTTCATTAATAATAATTACAAATACATCCTTCTATTTTGTGTTAGCACATTAGCAGGTTACATTTAAATTTTTTTAATGAGAATAGTTGTAGAAGAAGTATCCGGTAAATACACAGTGAAATTCGATATACCGGAACCTTGATATAATGGAAGTACGGAACATAAGTAAAGTCTTGATATATTGGAATTAGGAACTGAAACGGATTATCAGAATCTATAATTAAATTACCCTCTATATAACCTCTATATAACGGATTTTTGACAAATTTTACTAATGGAACGGATGATTCCATTATATCGGATTTCACTGTGTAAAATTTATTTATCATATTAGATCCATTTATAGTCAAAATCCTCCATAATTCTTCCCATATAATACTAGGGAAATTTTTTTAAAAAATAAAAGTATAATTTTTTATTAAAAAAAAGGGAAGCTAATTTATTCCGTTAATTTCGTCCAAAGAAACCTTTCCATCCATTCCTGCTGATGATTATTTAAATAAGTAGGACGAAATGACCATAACATAATAACGTGGTTTTAACCATCTTTTTATTACACAAATAATTTATACACAAATTTAAAACGTAAATCTAAAGCTGCAATACAAACTGGTCGTTTTGGATCGATTTTTGCGTTTCATTAATTTATTTAATAAATCTATTTTGCTGAATGTGAACAAAAATTATTTAATTACGGTCCATCTAAAAGTTCTAATCCTGTAGCAAAGTTTATAATGAAACGAGAGATTTTACTTCATTTTTCGCTGAGTGCAATATGGAAGGATTCCTTGCTATTGCCATAACTTATTTCTGGCACGCCCTAATATATCCTTTCTTAATATTGGTAAATTAGTATTTGTTCTAATTAAACTTATATATGCCTCTTTTATATAATACTCAGTAGTATAAACAGTTATTGTCGGACAAAAAAAAAAAAGTTAAAGCTCAGTTCGTGATGAAATTTCTTTTCATATTTACCAGTCCCTCGCTCCAGTAGCTTCAAGTCGCGTCAATAACTTTTAATTTCAGCGGGTCATTTATTTAATTACAAATGTCTGAAACATTTTTTTTTTTTAATTCTTTTATTATCCAATTTATAGTAAGTCGGTGTTAAAAACATCTAGTAAATGATGATAAATTTTCGGTGTAAATTAACTTCGGGTCTATTTCGGGAATAATTATTATACTAATCTATTTGAATTTTCAACGATTGCGTATAGACCTAAATTTTTAAAAAATTTAAACCAAACCATAAAGTGGAATTATTTGAATCTCACCTTATAAAAATTTTCAACGCATTCGATTTATTCCGATTAAAAAAATGGAGGTAAAGGAGATAGATTGCGTCTTGTTTTTAAATTACCGATCTTACACTAAGAAATTATGTGAAATTTCAATGGAACCCGAAATGAATATTAAGAATAAAGCAAACTACTATACCAGGCAAAATATACGACCCATCTTTGATAAAAAAATAAGGCAGTTTGTAGTAACTGAAAGATTGAAAGCTCGCTCGGTCCGCTACGGTTTTGAACCATCCCTATAAAAAGTATTATACTTAAAATATATTTAAAATATATTTAAAATATACTTAATTTAAAAATTGCAAAATACTTAAAATATATTTTTAATATATCTAAAATATACTTAAAATTATCTTAAAACATATGTCTAATATATTTTAAGATAATTTTAAATACATTTTAAGTATATTATAAGTATTTCGCAATTTTTAAATTAAATATATTTTAAGTATAATTTAAATATATTTTAAAAAGTTTTTAATTATATTTTAAATATAAATACTTTTTATAGGGCATTGGGCGAAACAATAATACGATTTGGTCAGTTCGGTCCAGAACTAAATAGGAACGAATCGATTCGAACCGCTCAATCTCATTCCCAACTGTAATACATTAATTAAGTCGAGAAAAGTAAATTTTGGGATTTCGTACTCCCGTCAAATTTGAATTAAAAATGACACGGCGGGGGACAGCTTTTTTACATATTACATATGACATATATTCAATTATTAAAGATAAACTAAAGTATAGACCGCCGATTTTACTTTGTAATACTTTTTTAATCAAAATAATAATTACGGAAAGGGTACTAACTCCAAGCCCACGCAAAACTTTGTCTTATACGGATTATATATAGTAAATAGTAAATCCTTTCGGGAATAAGAATTAAAAGTAATCGAATAATTGGCTCATGCACTGACCATTTACTAATAATAGAGTGATTTAAACTATTCTAATTTGGATTGTTATTGGAAGTGGTATCCTCAATTTTAATCTCGTTAAATAAATATGTTTCAAATCTTTACGAAACTAAATTATATGTAAGCTTTCTACCCCTAATATTTACTTTCCAGCCCACGTATATTATTTATATTATTACAAAAAGAATAATTATTGAGAAGATGGCGCCTTTATTCTTCTTTTTACCTCTGTAAAAAATTTTATCCGTAATTTCTGTAAAAACTCTGTAAATATGATACATTTACGGAAATAACATGGAATTAAAAAACACGGAATAAATTTTTTATAGGGCATTTTAAAGAATGATTTCAAATACAACATTGCTCATTATTTTTTATGAACAACAAGTTTATACAGTATATATATATATACAGTATAGGGTTAGACTCCACCCTTAATATGACATGTTTAGCGACCGAATGTTTTGGTTTATTGTGTTCCAATTTCAGGGTATATTGAGAACGTAATATTACTGGATGTGATGAATTTCATATCATATAGACAATTGGTGAGCGTATATCGTAATAAATACATTTAAAATTACCTTAGTTCTTTCGCGCCGCGAGATAATTATTAAAATATTGCGGAATTTTAAACCTTTCAATGTCCAGTATACTTCCAAGTATTATAGGATCACCGACAGTCCAACACTGATCAAAACTTGGAAATTAATTTCGATCACTGAATATATAATCGTTTAATCGTTTAATTAGATAATTGAAAAATATTTTTTTTTCGAATTCGAAGATATTGGTATTTTTGCGCAAAAATATTTTTTTTTTTATAATATGTAATTAATTATTAATAAATACAAGTACTATACTGTATTGTATAAAGCATGCTTTCGCGCATATTTTAGCAAAAAATAAAAACGCGTTAAAATACAATTAGTTTAATTAGTTAACATTTGTAAATCAACGTAGTTATAGTATTATACGGTTACGGTACATTTCGCCGAAATCCATTTCACCGAAGCAATTTCGCTGAACGTTTCGCCGCAACTGCATTTTATCGAATCCATTTCACCGAAATCGTCCATTTCGCCGAATTCCATTCGCCAAATGGACGACGTTTCCACTGAAAATGGTAGCGAATAACAAAAATATTCATCACGCAATGAAAATAAAATTTAAATTATTTTTAAGGATTTTTTTCTTTCTAGTATATTATCACTTTAACATTCAAGTATAACTGATATTAATTGTTAAGCAATAAATAAATAATTTTATTTTCTTGAAAACATTTATTCGCGAAAAAGTAAGTAAAAAAAAAGATCAATGCATTATAAATAACTAATAAAAATCAACTAATTCAAAAATTTTTCTAGAAAAGATTTCTTTATGTATTTAGTATGTATAAAAACGATAAAAATAAACAATTTTCGGCGAAATGCCGGATACCGTATTATGCTAATTATTATTCTATTTATTTTTAAAGATATATTTAACGTGTTTCTATAAAGAAAATATATATGCACAATCGTTATTAGAAGAAAGTTAATTACATGGTGGAATGCAATAAGTTCAAACATATTGGTTAATAAATTCTAATTGAAAAAGGATAATAAGAAAGTGCAAATGTCCACCTAATGCAGCATATTTAACCGACGAGAAGGATCTTAAATCCAAAGGCGCGTACTACAAAAGAATATAGCAACTTACGATTTGAAATCGTTCATTCTCAAGCTCAAAAAAGAAAAATGATGTAATCGTATAACACAGTCCTACCTTACACAATCAGCAACAAATAATTATCACCCCATTTCGTGCACCTTCAGTAATAGCAGGAAACAACTCGTAAATATATGGTTCATCAAAATATTCATCAGATGGATCTGGGAGGATTTGAATTCTGAAAGCTTAATCGCATAAGTCTTTTTAATTTTGTTTAGGAATTCAATTGACTCAATTTTAATACTTACTATATTAAACATATTACCAAATAATACGTTGTTAACATTTTAAATAAACATCTTTATTATAGAGAGTTATTTTACATTTATGGTACTTAAATTTGCAAACATATGATCCCGAGTTACATCTGAAAACTAAAGGAATTTTTTTAAATTTATGACACAACTCAAGGAGATATCATAATTAATAAAATTATTTTAAATGATGTATACATTTTTTTTTTTTAATAAAATGATATTATTATGATGATAACTAATTTGCTACTAAAATTGTTATTGTTATTAATTAAAAAATGATTTTGAAGTCAATAATATATTTTAAAGTATTTGCACTGCCCCTGACTATTTACTAATTTAATATAACTTTCTTTTGTTAATTAATTTTATACCAAATTCACTGGCAACATCAAAATAATCCTGACTCAAAATTAATTTTCCTTTTATTCTTAAAAACTTTAACTTTCCATCCTTATATTTACAATCTTTAAAAAATAATCTTAATGCATTGCTATTAAACATATATTCTTTATCAATATCTTTAAAATGAATTCTTTGTAAATTTTTAGGAATAAATTTACCTAAATTTTTAAAATTTTCACCCCATGATAAATCAATTGATTCAGATAATTTTACACTAATATAAACTAATTTAGTACATGATTTAAATATAGAAATCAACTCATCAGGACAAACTTTAGGAAGGACCAAATAAGTTAATAAATTTAAGTAAAGTGGAATTTGTTGAAATATTGATTGTTGGTTATCTGACCTTTTAAATTTTATAGCAAATTTAGTTAAAGTAGTTGAAGATGATTTAATGATTTGATCCAAGAAATCTTCTGAAATAGATGCATAATAATATGCTACATATTCAAAATCTTCAAGTATTGTAAGTTTCTTCGCCCAAGCATTTAAATTATTATCTATCTTTCTACAATTATATAATTTTAATTCTTTAATATTTTTAAGTGAACATAATGAATTTAATGCCATTTCATCTATTCCAGAAAAAGATAAATATTTAAATTCCAATGCCTTCAAACTTTCATTTTGTGTTGTTAAAGAATTAAATATAATATTATAATGTTCAATATTATATAGCATAGAACCATATTTAGGTTCAGATAATATAATATGTCGTAAATTTTTTTGTAAAGAAATAAATTGAGATAAAGAATTTACTTTTTCAAGAGAATTAATTCCTTCATTATAAAGTAAATCTAATTTACTAATATTACTTGAAAGAGTTGAATAAAAATCTTTTGTTGATAATGTAATCTCATTACTTCTATTAATATAAAATAATTCTTTTAAGTCACTTAATTTACTTTTTTCAACACAATCTTTATTTGTTAATAATTCAATTGTACTATTAAAAAGCTTATTATTTTGTACTCTAAATGGAAATTCAAGAGTTCTTAAATTATTACAATGTTTACATAAGAAATTTACAAGATGATTCATAATTGGGATTGATATTTTTGAGAATTGATCATTCTTTATATTATTACTATCAGGAATATATGGAGGTAACCATATTTTACGATAAAAAAATAATAATGGTTCAGATAAATCACTAAAAATTAATCCACGAATAAAAGTTGTATAATTAAAAGTTGTTGATATATCTAAAGATTTTGGTTTATAATATAATTTTTGTTTAATTGAAAAATTTGATAAAATAATTTGTTCGATTTCAGATTTAGGAATGCAACTTAATAATGTACGAATCAATTTAAAATATGTTATGTTAGGATAAGACAAATGACGAAAATGATGAAATGGATATTCATATAAGAATGGTGTGGAGATTCTACACCAATGTCTTGATACTAACGTACAAGAATATAAATCTTTAGTTGATGTGTAAATTCGTATATTTACAGAAGGATATTCAAGAAGATTTAAAAAAATCTTTTCGAGACATTCTGAAAGTAAAAATGATGCCATAAGTTATTTTTAAAGGAAAGATAAAAACCGATTAACGTAAAAAAAAAATTTAACCATATAAAATATATATATATCAAAAAAAAAAAAAAAAAAAAAACTCCGGAGTACAAATTATGCTATTTTTGGTCAAGTAATTGATGTGTCGATCAATTGGGCGTTTGCTATTTTTAATGAGATTTGTACAACTTGTCTTTTAGAAATGTTTCTATTTATATATATTGTTGCACAATTCCATAGTTATTTGGGACCCGAGTGTTATACAATTTATAATATTTTTAGATTCTTAATCAAATTAATTATAAGGAATCTACAAAGCGTTTAATTGTACAAATCATTAAATCATTGTTTCAAATTTCAAATATGAAACTTCCGGAATTTGAATAGTAACGTCATTAAGATATAAATAACTGTGTAAAATAAAAATTTTTTGTAATTTTATTGTATTGTAATTTCGTTGTTTGTTAATTTCGTCGTCTATAAAATATTTATTGTATACACATACTTGGTTAAAATGATATATAATCAATTTACACGTAATACCATTTACTTCCGAGTCTCGATTAATTGATTGGAAAAAATCAAATTTAATATAATTATGTGTAATTGATAGTCTATTTAAAATGATGCCCATATAAAGATATAATAGAAAGATATTTTTAATAAACAAAGGTACAAATTTCTGGGATTTCCTTTTTGTAATTGTATTTTAATCAATATTATTGTAAATTACGTAAATAGTATCATACTATTTTTAGTGTAAGATGCATTACGTAACATGTTATACAATACATGCACAAATATCTGAATTATTTACACCATGCGAAACAAGAAGTTGATTGTAAGCAGACGATGTCATTGTTTCATTGAAATCTTTACAAAACGGATCTAATTATTAAATTACTTTTATTATGCAGTTACTATGCGGTGTTTCGATAGTTTACCATCATATGACGTTGCATATTAGAAATCGTGTCCTTTAAATTTAATATCGGGATGAAAATATATTTACTGCGTGTGATAAAGTACTTTATGCTTGGAAAATTTATTTTAAAAGAGATGCTTTATTTCCAAAGAAATTCTTTTATTTTCAAAGAAATTCCTTTATTTCCAAAGAAATTCTTTATTTTCAAAGAATTCTTTTATTTTCTTTTTTGCATATTTACAAAAGTTTGATTATTAAGTGTAACCATTATAAAAAATATAAAAAAAATTTTTTATTCGAAATTGTTGAAAACAAAATTAATATAAAAGTACTGAAAATAGACTTTTAATTTCTCGTCTTTTAAATTTTTTCCACGAACTTCTTTTTAATTTACAAATATAGAAGAAAAATCGGGTTCAATGATAGAGCACGGACCAAACTAAGCCACTAATTTAGCATTAATGGTTGAAAACGCCCTCGACGCAGCACAAAGATTATAATAAACTACGCAGGATGAGTAACGTAACTGGGCGTATGACAATTGACAATAGATTCATATTTAGTTTCATTGACGCAAATACGCCCAATGATCATCTACCTTGACCAAAATTAGCAAGTGATCGATTACCTTTTTTTTTTTTAAAAAAAAAAAAAAAAAAAAGGACGACTATGGCGTCATTTTTACTTTTAGAATGTTTAGAAAAGGTTTTCTTGAATCTTCTGGATGAAACTCTTCTTGATACCAATTGTCATGCCAACATATCAACTAGAGATTTATATTCTTGTACATTAGTATCAAGACATTGGTGTAGAATATCAACACCAATCTTATACGCTTACCCATTCAATCATTTCCGTCGTTTAGCTTATTCAAGATTTTATTATAACATCCCAAATTTATTATTATCTTATTTTAAATTAATTCGTACATTATTAAATTGTATCCCAAAATCCGAGATTGAACAAATTAATTTGTCAAATTCTCACGATGAACAAAATTTATTATCCGAGGTCTTTCATTTTGATGAAAAATTTTACTCTTCTAAACCAATGTTCAATTATATTACTTTTATTCGTAGTTTAATTTTTGATAAATTATTATCTGATTCAGATAAATTAGTTCGTTACCGAAAAATATGGTTTCCTCCTTTTATTTCAGATATTAATATAACAGAAAATCAATTTTCAAAAATTTCTATTCACATTATAAATTATTTTGTAAAGTTCTTATGTGAATATTGTAACAATTTAATAACGTTAGAATTTCCATTTTCAATACAAAACGATGAATTTTTTAATGATACGATCGAATTATTATTTGGTAAAAATTGCAACGGAAATAATAAATTGAACGATTTAAAACAATTATATTATACTAAAAATTATGGAAATGAAAGAGGAAAAGATCTTTATTTAACCTTTTCAAATAATGTTTTTAATTTAAATTTGCTTTATAATGAAAAAATCAACTCAATTGAAGAAGCAAATTCATTATCTCAATTTATTTCTTCACAAAAAAAGTTACAACATATTATATTATCAGAAAATAGACGTGATTCAGCTTATTATGTACTCTTTGGTTATAATAGTAATATTGATAGTTACTATAATATTGTGTTAAATTCATTATCAGCACAAAGTGAAAGTTTGCAGACGTTAGAATTTAATTATATCCCTTTTGGTAAAATAAATAAGGAGGCGTTAAATTCACTATGTTTACTTAAAAATATCAGAGTGTTAAAGTTACATAATTGTATAAGAATAGATGATAATTTAATTGCATGGGCGAAGAATCTAACAAGGCTTGAGGTTTTTGAACTTGTAAAATATCAAATTCGAAATGTTTCTGAAGGTTTCTTAATTCAATTACTTCAATCTTCTTCAAATACTTTGATTAGATTAGTTGTAAATTATAAAAAGTCAGATTGTCAATCATTATTACAACAAATTCCACTTCATTTAAATTCATTAATTCATTTAGATCTCGCTAAAATTTATTCAGATGAATTGATTCTTATATTTAAATCTTGTACTCGATTAGTTTATATTAGCGTAATATTATCAAATGATGAATTATGGGGAATAAGATTTATGAATTTGGGTAAATTAATTCCTAGAAATTTATTAAAAATTCAACTTAAAGAGATGGATCGTTTATTATTTGATAATAAACAATTAAAATGTTTCTTTGAAGAATGTGTAAATAATGATAGTAAACTAAAATATTTAGAAATTATTGGAAATTGTGATAATATTAAAAAAGAATATTCTGATGTTGCTAATGATTTTAGTATACAATTAATAACTTATTCCCCCGTTTTACCGACGCCTGTTCCATTTTTATAAAAAAAAAATGTATATTTTATTTTTATTTGTATTTTTTTTTAAAAAAAAATAAATTTAATTTCTTTTATTGTAATTTTGATGTGATCAAATGTTTAAAATAAAAAGTCTCCCATTTGCGTGATTGTTTAACTGAAGTGATGGTGTGAAGAAGCAGTAGGATCATGATCGATTTCCTTAGATTATCACGATTCGATGTAATCCTTACATTGAACGATTTGCGTCTGACGCGCGTCAGATGTCAAGTTTAAATGGTTTACTAAAAGTAACTATTTTTTTTTATTAATTAAATCAATTTTATTTTATAAGTGAAACTTGGGCATCATAATAAATAGCATATATCCTGAAAATTTGGAATAAATATTTTAATATTGAGTTATTTCAAATTTTTAGCTATAATTGAGCACCAAATTAATATTTTTTCAATATTAATTTATCTTATTGGCTAGTTGAATTCACAATCAGATTTATATTTGTGGAAATTGCTATCTTAAAAAATTATAGTTGATATCTGACGCAAATCGACATCTGAGACACAATATATATATTCTTATAAAATCATAATTTATATAATTACTAGCCTGATTTTGTCTAGAATTTTCCTCAGAAGCTGAGATAAAAGTCTGGTCCGATTGGTGTAAAGAAGAAGTTGGATCATGATCGATTTTCTTACTTAGATTATCACGATCAATTAAAGTGCAATTTTCACGATCGATGTAATCCTTACATTGATCGATTTGCACCTGACGCGTCAGATGTCAATTTTGAATGGTTTGCTAAAAGTAACTATTTTTTTTTGTTAATTAAATCAATTTCATTTTATATCATAACAAATAGCATATATAATATTATTTCAAATTTTCAGCTATAATTAAACACCAAATTCTTCAGTATTAATATTTTTTCAGTATTAATTTATCTTATTGGCGGTTAAATTTATTATTCGTCATATTTGTAAATAAAATTTCAGTACAATTAGATTTATATTTGTGGAAATTGCCTTTTAAAAAAATTACAGTTGACATCTAACGCAAATCCACACCTGAGACACAAATATATATATTCTTTTAAAATCATAATTTTATATTATAATTAGTACTAGGACGGTTTCTGTAAAATGATAGTGAATTCATGTCATTAAAATGATGAATCGGTAAAATGAAGTCGGGTAATTTTAGTGAAATGGAAGTTGATGATAAATTTTAATTCACATATATACAATATAGGTGAATAATAATTTAGAATCTACCTTCTCTTTATATATTCTTTATTTCTGTAGATAATAACGAATTCTGTTACATTTTCAATTTGATTGCCAAAAATTGACCATGTTTATGTCGTAAATGTAATATAACCTCAATTATTTATTCGTTAAAAAAAAAAATTAGTTATACGACGGCTATAAACGGCTTGATAATTCATAAAATTTTATGGAAATATTCAGATAAAAAACATGGAAATCCTAAAGTTCATTCTTCAACAAAATACTTGTAAAAAATTAATTCATAATTTAAATCCAAAATTTATTATAATTAAGTCAATTTAAAACTTTATATTTCAATATTAAATTATTAATATCGAAGGAATTTATTAAATAAAAAAAATTTTAAACCACTAGCTACTGATAATTGTATTTTGGCAATATCAAAATATTTTTAATTGACATTTACATCATCCAGTATTTTTTTTAACTTGCTGTTATTATTATTTACACGCTCTTCGAAGAAAAATTTCAATTAATCCCTATTAGATAATGAAATTTCCGTAATTTTTAGGAATAAATTTTCTCAAATTCTTAAATTTTATTCCTTACATTTCATCAAAATTAATTGATTACATGATTTAATATTAATAATATTGCACTGTCAATTCTAGAATTACTCCTAATGATTCATATATTTCGGTTTCGACTTTTTCCATTGGTTTACCTTTCCCCTCACTATTACTACTGTACCAATCTTTCTATCCTATTCCTTATCTTTTCTAAATCAGGGATGTTCTCTTATTTATATATCCTTAGTTTGTCAATTGAATGAAACATACTTAAATTACAACTATGATCTTTATTTTTGACAACCCTTTGTTTATCTTTTACTTTATTTCATAATTGTTGGCGAAAATACATAAAAAACTTAATAAAAAAATAATTAAAAAAATAACAATGATTCCTAAAACATAATCGAACTGAGAAAAAAAAAAAGTTCAACAATTTAAACAAAAATAACTAAACGATGAAAAAGTAAGAAAATTTCGACGTATGTTAATAGACCTAGCTAGAACTTTCTTTTCTAGTAATGGATGGCATAATACGTACTTTGCTGAATTTTATTTATATCCTTTAGAAATACTTACGCGAGTAGAACAAGCGTGTTTTCCTTTAACAGCTTCATTCTTTTTTAAAAATTTTAACAGCTTGATTTCCTACGCCTCCTATTTCTGCACCTAATTGAATTGTTTCTCCTGCTTCTTCCATTTCTTTTGTTCTCTATCAAACTACCAACTACTTTCATTCCAATTCCTGTTCCAAGACAAGCGGTTGACAATGTTCCCCCTAAGGATGGATTAGCAACACTTATCGTTATAAGAGCAGCGCCAATTCCTAAGCTGGCTGCTGTTTTGGTTTTCTTATCACTTTACTTGATTGTTCGATTGCTGTATTGTCTTTCTCATCATCGCTTGATCGTTCATTTTTGATGTTTTTATCACTTTTACCATCACTTGATTGTTCATTGCCCATTTTTTCGTAAAAAAAAATCGGTAGAGAAAAAAGTCGTTAACTAAAAAGAAAGAAAGAAGAATTTTAGCAAAGACAACGTAATAATGACATAATAAATATACTTTATTTGTAAAAAAAAATTCGGAAACTATAAATGATTGTGGGAACGAGAGATTTTCCCAGAGTTCAAGAAATTCCCGACATGCAAATCATTTTATATTAAATCAGGTTACTTTCATTTTATAGTTAGAACATCAACATCAATTTATATATAAACTAATATAAATTAGGTTACTTTATTCTATAATTAGACGCCAAATTCGACGTCAAATTCCATTGGTGGATTATCATCAATTTCATCAATTAATACAGACTTACGCTTCATTTTGTCTATTCCTGACCCAAAATAAGAACAAGGTAGCGATAATACTATGAATTTAAATTTATTTACATTTGTTTTTTATATGATTGATTACTACATAAAAATGCTGCGTATTAAGATCTACTTCAATTTGATCGCGTTCTCGAGCAATATCTCTATCATTATTCAATTAACTTCAAATATTAAAATAACACAGTTCATCAAGTTACATTAAAAAAAATTTTAATTCTAAATTTCTAATCGTAATTGTTCTTTATACTCCAACTCCAATTATTAATTACTACAGTTATTTTAATCATCAATTATTTGTATGCCAAATTCATCAGCTACATCAAAATACTCTTGATCAAACTCACATTCTCCATCATGAATTTCTAAATATTTTAACTTTCCATTATTATTTACACACCCTTCAAAGAAACATTTTAATTCAGAACTACTAAATAACAAATCATCCATCCTTTTAATTCTAATCTTTTGTAATTTTCTAGGAATTAATTCGCCCAAATCCTTAAATTTTGTTCCCCATAATTCATCATCTGATAATATTATACTAAGATACACCAATTGAGTACATGATTTAAATATAAGAATTAATTCATCTAGATAAATTTTAGTGATGTTTAAATGAATCAATGAATTCAAATGAACCGGGATTTGTTGAAATAATGATCGATGATATCGATTCTCCCTTCTACTACGTATAGTTAATTTATTTAAAGTACTTGAAGACGATTGGATTAGTTGAATCAAAAATCCTTCGGAAACATCACGGATATGTTGTGATACAAGTTCAAAAACTTCAAGTCTCGTCAGATTCTCTGCCCATTCCTTTAGATTATCATCATTATCATCTATTCTTATGCAATTATACAACTCTAACACTCTGATATTTTTAAGTAAACATAGTGAGTTTAACGCCTCCCCATTTAATTTATTAAAAGGTATATTTTTCAACTTTAATGTTCGTAGACTTTCACTTTGTGTTGATAATGATTCGAACACAACATTATAAAATCCACTAATATGATTATCTAACGTAAAGCCAATACTATTTTCTGATAACAATATATGTTGCAAATTATTTTGTAGAGAAATAAAACGTGATAATGAATTGGCTTTTTCGCTGGTATTATTTCCCTCGTTGTAGAGTAACGTTAAGTTACGAACACTATTTGAAAAAGCCGAATAAAGATCAACCTTTTTAATATTATAATAATTGCAATAATATAATTCTTTTAGATTAGTCAATCCACTTTGTTCATTATTAAAAGTTAATTGATTGATAATATTAATAAAATATTCTTCACTATTACTAACTGTGAATGAAAATTCTAATTTCTGTAAATAATTGCTGCAGTATGCACACAAGAAATTTATAAGATGATTTGTAACAAGGAATGATTTTGAAATTTGATCTCTTGTTGCATTATTTGAAATATTAGAGGATAGCCACTCATGAATTTTTATACCTGAACCTGAATAAAGATATAACAAATCATCAAAAATTATACCTCGAATAAATGTAATATAATTAAACATTGGATTAGATGAGAAAAATTCTTCAGAAAGATCGGGGAATAAATTTTGTTCATCGGAAGAACCTGGCGAAATAATCCGTTCAACTTCAGCAGATCTAGGAATACAACTTAATAATGTACGAACCAATTTAAAATATGATGATGATAGATCTGGAATGTTATGGTAAAAAAGCGGGTGCATTAAATGACGAAAATGTTGAAACGGATAAGCATATAAGAGTGGTGTTGATATTCTGCACCAATGTCTTGATACTAACGTACAAGAATATATATCTTCAGTTGATATGTTTGCATTTAAATTATCAGTGGAAGTATCATATAGAAATAAAAAAATTATTTGTAAACATTCGCAATGAAATAACGATGCCATATTAATCAAAGATACCAAGAAAGAAGAATAATCAGAAAACAAGAATAATTTATCTTATATAAAGGGATATATTACGAAAAAGAAGAGAGATCAAGTAGTAGTAAAGATTGGGCGCGAGTCGCGCGATTTTATTTAAAAAATAAATAATGGCCATCACGTCATTTAGATTATGTACAATAGACTTAATTACAATTGTCAACGTGGTGTCTGCATAATAACACGCAAAAATTACGTTCTTGACCTCCTCGTATTACTTTCTTGACCCAGTCAAAATATTCAAAATATGCATGATTATGTATGTATGTATGTATGACAAAAATTTATTTTCAAAAAAATTGACGCGACTGACGCGTTGTTATTTTTCTTTTATAGATTAATTGAAAAAAAAATGATTAATAATGACAAAATAATTTATTATTTTTTTTTTATTTTAATATTTAGTTTTATGCGGTTGTGATAGCGATATTAAATTTTAACTAATATGATTAGCAAAAAATGTAATACGCTGCAATTTTTTTCGCGAATTATGAATGTCTTTCCAATAATATTATTTCTCTCGTTGGAAAAATAAAATATTATTTGAAAAAGCAAAGATCTTTTGGTAAAACTTCAACTTTGTTAGTATAACTAGTAGTAGGTAACAGGGACCGTTAGAGCGTCCGAAGTGTCGATGAATTATTTAGGTATTACTAAAAATATGTAACATCGCGCCCGGTATGGAGTGATTGTCAATGCTTGACGTTGGCAGTTTCAATGTATCTCTTTTTTTTTATTTTGTAATTAGTGCGCTTTTTCAATTTAATTAATAAAGAGAAGCGGTTTATACGCGAGNTTAACTAATATGATTAGCAAAAAATGTAATACGCTGCAATTTTTTTCGCGAATTATGAATGTCTTTCCAATAATATTATTTCTCTCGTTGGAAAAAAAAAAAAAAAAAAATATGTAACATCAAATAAAATTTTAAAATAGTAACATAGTAACGCGGTAGACTGATTATGTCTAAAATGTTAAATGAATAAATTATTTACGCGTTTATTTGTTATGCTAAAATTTCATTCATATTTCATTATTGCTACATAATTGTTACACCTGATCCTAGATTTTCATTGGTTTGGTTATACACGCGGCGTGACAGACGGACATTGACGGACATCTCGGACAATTATTGTTATAATGTGATTTCTTTAATATTGCTTTTTCATTGCAATACTTAAAGCTAATGATTCAAAATATTTCGTTTACTTTTGAAATATTAACAACACATATTACCGTGAATAAAATTTGAAAATTAAATATGAAAAATTAGATATAATTAGCATAGTCTTTTATCTTTTTTTGGTCTTATGTGAAAAAAGATTTACTACTCGCATTTTACGGTAAATGATATAAAATAGTATATAACGAACTATGATTATCTGTTTATTCTGTTATTATTTTGTATTAATTTGTTTCGATTTAAGTCTTAGACGAAATAATTTAATACTTTTTCTAAAAATACCGGGAATTGTTAATTATTTTCTAAATCGATTCAACTACAAACGACCTTTTTATAGTATTTGATGATCGAATATTCTGGTTCTCGCTTAATTTTATTTTCCTTTCAATTTAACATATTAGGATCAATAGGTATAAAATGTATAAATTCAAGTTATTTATCAATATATTATTAGGTTTGACAAGTTTTGGCTTCTAGGTTCTCTAATAGTCCAGATGTCCAGAAATTGCAGTATAAAAAATTGAAGTTATAATAGAAAAAAGAGAGTTGCTACATCATAGTGTCTTGTTTCAGTTAATAATGGTAACATTATCACGAAGGCATTTCGATAACTTACCTTCAGGATGATTCCGGTAACAAAGTCAGAGCCGGATCAAAATCGGAAGCTGTGAAGTTGGGCTGTGGTAACGGTAGGTTACTATATAGTTTCTAGTTTATATTGTTAAGAAAATCAAAAAAAAAAGGAGTTAACAAAGATTAATATATTTCAACATTATAAAAAAATCTCCCGTAAATGAGCGGAAATTTTGCTAAACCTCTGAAAGGTTCAATCATTTGGACATTCCTATTAAAAGTTTCGTCAAAGGCCTGGTTAAATGGTGAAAATTAAAAAATTTTTTTTTAACTTACGTGGGACAAAGAGAAAAGAAAAATTCTAATATACTTACAACAAAATATCTTCGGTTTAAATATACCTACTATAACTATTCATATGATTGTCCGAAACATAAGCGTAGGCACTTTTCTGTCTGTCCAGTCAGGGTATTTTGTATGAGACATGACAAAAGTAGTTGGAATCGTCTTAATTCATATATCCGATACAGTAGTATCATAAATAGAAAGGTTAATGATGAGCAATGTTATTTTGAGCAAATAATTTCTGGCATATAGCAATCAATTCTAATTTTTTCAGTGTTGGACTATGACCTAGAATGACCACTATGACCTATATGACTAGTCATAGGTCATTTGGTCATTTTGAATTTGTAAGATCATATGACTATGGTCATAAATTATTAGCCAATCAAATCATGGTATTTTATATAATAAAATTGGTTAAATCCGCCAGAAATTATCCATAAACTCATAATTATAAGATAGTTATATAGATCATATGATCATTAACCAATGACATTATGATTATAATATAATTATGACCAATAGGCAATATGACCACCGGTCATAAGTACATATGATCACGGTCATTTAAAAATTTCAATATGACCTGGTCATTGTCCATCACTGAATTTTTTTACATTAAAACTATATCTTTGCTTTGCCCTATAAAAAATTTTCTGAAAAATTCCGACAAATTGATGAAAAAAAACTCGAACATGTGATCAAATTTCCAAAAATTTTTATATGTTGGATGTGTTCCAAATAAAATTTTAACTTAATACGCTAAATGTACAGTATTATTTTTTGGAAATTACTAGGTCTACTATGTAATATTCTCCGAACTAAGTGTATAACAATATGTAAGAGAGTGGATGACACAATTGACACATACATGAAAATCTATTTGCCCATCCCCTTTATTTGTTACATTTTCTTAATGCCGTAATACACCATCCGAATGGGGTATAATTGTATAAATCCCCATTACAGTAATACAAAAGTAATGTACAACCATATGACCTCTAAAATTGGGCATATAATAGCAAAACTCCGATACTCCGCAAAAAACTTCCTAAATTTTTTTAATATGACTTTACCTTATTTACCAGATGATTGTATTTATAATATTTTACAAAACCTTCAAAGTGAACGTTCAACTTTATTTAACTGTTTATTAGTTAATCGATTTTGGTGTAAATCAACAATTCCTTTACTTTATGCAAATCCATTTGTAAATATAACCGGAAAAAATTACGCAATAATATTGACCTTAATTCTTTGCTTTGATAAAGAAGAAATATTACAATTAAAGAAACTGTTAAAACAAAATCAAATCAATATTAATATTGATGAAGAACACAAACCATTATTTGAATATCTAAAATATTTGAAAAATTATAATTATTTGGTAATAAATTCTGCAATTGAGAGATGTTTTATAGGAGCAATTACTCAGTATAGAATAAAGTATTATAGTAATTATACTATTCCAATATTTCCAATATTTCATCAATCAATTTTACGACATAGTATAAACGTGAAACAACTAGATATTTCTTCAAATATATTTTATAATAAAGGGTTTAAAAATCTTGATATTCAAAATTTCACATCAAATTTAACAAAATTAAATATATTATCATTAAAATTTCATTTAAATGATAACTTAAATGAAATCGAACAAGAATTTTTAGGTAATATAGCGAATGTTTGTTTAAATTTGAAAAAATTAATAATTCAAGTTCATGGTCAACGTACTATTTTCAATAATTTGTCTAATACCAATACTAATAATATGGAAAAGCTTTGTACAATTATTCAAAAGCAAAACAAACTTAAATATTTTAAAATAACAAGTTGGCATCTTTTATTAAATAATATTCTTTTATCTTTAGAATTTCAAAAGCATTCCTTAGTTCAAATCGAATTTATAGATACTGACTTTAATAATAATGTTGGTTTGAAGAATTTTAAAAATCTATATAATTTAAAATATTTATATTTTGTAACTTGTAAAAGTATACTATTAGATCAATGTGAGGGTTTAAATTTTGCTTCACTCAAAGGATTATCACTTAAAAGAAATATTTGGAATAATGATGTCACATCATTAATGATCAAATATTTAGGTGCATCATTAAAAAGCTTATTAATTGGAAATCTGTCAAAACCTCTTATTGAAAATATATTGATGTTTTGTTCAAATCTTATTTTATTAAGAATAACATTTTTTTTTAATTTTAATTTTGATTTATCAATATTATCATATTTTAAAAATTTAAGAATAAGAACATTAATTATTAATATTTCTTATAATAGTCATGAATTTTTTATAAATTTAGCAAATAATATACCTAATAATATTACTGAGATTTCTATTCATTCTCATTGTTACAATAGGTTATTAAGATTTAAGGATTTTTTAGAAAATTGTCATAATAATTTTAAAATAATTAATCTAAATTATTTTATTAAATTAGAATTTCTTAATATTGTTTTGAATTATATTGAAAGAAGTAATAATAGTTTAGAAATTCTTGGTATGCAAAAATTAGATAAAGAATTGAATGATGAGGAATCAAAATTATTGAATCAAATTAAAGATAAAGGAGTTAAAATAGTGGAATTTAATATTTATAATGATAATAGATTTGATATTTGTGATGATTATAAAGATGTATAGTCATTAACTGAATATTTAGTAAACTAAGGTTTATGTTTAGTTTTATAAGTTTCATTTGATTTATTTATTATATATTAATTACTTATAAATAAAGCCAATATTTAAATATCAAAATTAAAATCGTTAGTTAAAACAGGCATGATCTTGGGTGGCGTGCATAATAATCAGATATTGAATGTGAGGGTAGGATATCAGTCACCTCTATGCTCAATATCGCTAAAAATGAAAATTGCCCAAATGTGGAGAGAAGATTAGAATAGGCTATAATTTTCATTATAGAAATTCTTGTCATGATTTCAATACTAAGCATAATTTCATTATGATAATTTTATTAAAGTGTAATGTTCTGATATATTTTATTGCAAAATTAAAAAGGTTATGCAAATAACTAATTATTGATCGTTTGGGGTCAATCTTCTGCTTGGACAAGAGGTATCTTCCTTTATTAGTATTATATAACATTCCACTTCTACAGATATCACAATTTGTGTAAGGACGCAGCGTTTGGGTGAATAAGCGAAAGTAATATCCTTTACAAGGTCGGTATAAATGTAAGATGGCAGGAAGAGTAGAAGAGGACCTGAAATATATATTTAGGGGTAAGGTGCATAATTGCGTCGTTAGCATAGAGAAATTTTACGGGTTAGATATTGATTTGCGTACAACCTGAGGATTTTTTAGCCACGGACAGACTATTAAAATGCGTATTTTTAACAGATTTTTTGTTTAAGTAAGGGTTTATTTTGCGTATTTTTAGTAATTTGGCTGATCATATATATTTATTTCATGAGATAAATAAAAATAAATATAAATATCTATTAATGCAAAAAATATGTAGCACTTTATTTAGTGCAAAAAAATGTGTAATGCTTGTACATTTAACAAATACATTTATATGATTATGTGACAGACATAAAGTTATTAAATTTTTTAAAAAAATTATTCGTTCAACAAAACAATAGGTAAATCACATGATGATCGGTAGGTCAGGAAATTAATTTGCGTATTTTTTTCAATTATCCAAAGTAAGGAGGTAATTTTGCGTACTGAACTTATATAAAACCCTTGCGTACAGCTATTGGTAAAAAGTTCGAAAGCCACCTTATATATTTCGGGGTCCTAGTAGAAGAGAATAATGAGCTATGAGATTATTAGAATTAATATCGCATTGGCGATTTGTAATTCATTTCTATTTTGTATTAAGTACAATATTATGAGTCGAGGACTGGGTCGGCATGTTCCTTCTTTTAATTTAATATCAGCCAATTTTTGGAATTGACCAAAGGTAATAGGTGCGACAACTGCGACATATATTTAGCCAATAATCTACATATACTGTATCTTATACCAAAAAAGGAAAGGCCTAGACCGATCTAATGATACCCAAGGCGTTGTGATACGTTGAAATTTTCCTTATCTGTTATTTATTCTGTCATTATTCGGATTTCGTTTCATTACCAGCCGTAATAATGTTGTTAAATTTTTCAAAAAAAAAAGACGAAAATGATGTTGAAAATTCTAAAACACTTCCACCAGAATTAATTCGTCCGATTGTTCTTCATTTAAAAAATGATAAAAAATCTCTTCATTCTTGCTTATTAGTTTCTCGAGATTGGTGTAAAGAAACGGTAGATTTATTATGGATACAACCATTTCATTTCTTATACACTTGCAATAAAATAAACCCTTCAGTTTTTTCACTATTTATAAATTCTAAACTATGTCACTGTTCAAATGAGAAACGTCAATATCAAGCTACTAATTTATTGATGACCTATCTATTAATTAAACATGATAAAGCATTCGTTGAAAAAGGAATTATTAAAGCGAAAAGCGAAAGAATTACTTTTGATTATTTCGAATTTTTATTTGTATTGGACTTGCATGAATTATATTGTGCAATTAAAGATTGGAATCAATGGAATAATTCCAATTCAAAATCCAACAAAAACGATTATTCACCTTTAACATTTGGAAGTATAATGAAATACTTTATTATGAACATACCAAAGTTAAAAATACTTTCATTTGATACAAAATTTATTTTCTATAAGATTAATAACAAAAATCCTTGTTCATTTCTTATTAAAGTAGATAAATATGATGATGATGATGTAAATGATGATTACAACCATTTTATTTACAGTGATAATTACATTCTTAATTTATTAATTAAGGAATCAAAAATTCCTGAAATTACTCAATTTTTTGCCAATTTAACTGAACTTGTACTCACTATAAGAGAAAGGAAATATGAAATATTCTTTTCCTTTTCACAAATTTGTTATAATATTCAAAAATTAATCATTAGAATTAATTATCCTATCTACTTTTATTGTGGAAATGCAGCACGGGCAGAAGTATCAAGTGAATCTTACTATCTTGCTTCTCTAATAAGATCTCAACATAATTTAGTTCATTTTGAATTATTTGATATTCCAGAAATGGGTATAAATGAAATTTTAAAATCTTTAAAAGAATCTCAACATAATTCATTAAAAACTCTGATTCTTAATAATGCACGGATAAATTATAATAGTACTATTTTATCTTACATGAAATATTTACAAAATTTGCAAGAATTAAGGCTTATTAACTGTATATGTGGTAGAGGTATATTTCTTAATAATAAGAAAAATAAGAAAGATATATTTGATGATGAAAAAAATTATGAGGAAGGTTTATGGTTACCTAATCTTAAATATCTTCAAGTAGATTATATTGATGAAAAAGGAGAAGAATTAAATGAATTATCATTAATTATATCTTCAGTTTTAATTAGATGTTCTCCTTTATTAAATAATGGTATTTAACAATTTTATACCAATGATGTATTATATTAGTATTGATACATATTTACTAGTATATATATATTTTATAAATATTTTTTTTATTACTTATATCATAAATAAATATTTTTAAATAAATGTTATGCAATAAATTAAAATTCATAATTTTTAGTGTATAAAAGCTCATTATCTATACAGTCGGCCCCCTTTATAGTCACACCCCTCGGGACCGAAAAAAAAGGGTGTGATCATAAAAAAAGTCATATGTTGTGACTATAGAGGAGGTTTTTCTAATATATTTATTAGTACATTGGGCCAAAATATGGTGTGCTTATAAAGGGGAATTTTATATGTTGTGATTATACGGGGTGACTATATAGGGGGTCGACTGTATTAAGATTTGTAAGAATTATATAAAGCATAATATTAAAACTTTAGCTATAATATGCAATAATGACATCAGTTTCAAGTGAAACATCCGTTTTGTTTAATAATGTCGGCAATCAAATGATTAATGAAAGGAATCAGTTTGAAACAGCAAGATAAAGCTAATAAACTTTTTTTATTAAGAAGAATAAGGAGACAAGATTACACAGACCTGACTGAGGTATATAAAGTGATAATTTTGCCGTCGCATTTTCAGGTTTAAGATTGAATCAGCAACTTTAAATAAATAAAAGCCATAAAATATTAAAAGGAGAGCAAATATCACCATTAATCTATATTTTATATTATAAATAGTCTGAAAAAATTTCGCCAATTACTATTATTTTCGATGCATTTCGAGATTATATGCTAGTGTAGAAATTCTTACTTGTATTAATGATATTTTGAAATTGTTATTGTCTGTGTAGCGAAGGACTTTCAAGTACACTCAAGATCATGCAATGTTCATCTGTCACGTTGCGTGTATTTTATTTTATTTATTTTATTTTATTCTAAAGGATAACTTTGTGTAGAATGCCTATTACTAGCGGTATTAAATACATAGTAAAGAAGACTGACTAAAGTAAGTTAACGAGCGCGTACTCCACAAGGGTTCACCCTTTATGAAAAGAAAAAAGAAAGAAACAAAGAAATAGAAAAAAAAAGCTATCTACGCCGCTAAGATAAAAATTATGTACGTTAATATAATTGATGATCATGTGCTTGAGGAGCTACAAGTTTTGCGTAACTCTAGAAATGGCTGAAAACAGTTAAAATTTTCCTTATCTGTTATTTATTCCAGCATTATTCAGATTAGTACGTTCCGTATTAATGCTGCTGTTAAATTTTTTCAAAAAAAAAATGAAAATAATATTGGAAATTCTAAAACACTTCCACCAGAATTAATTCGTCCGATTGTTCTTCATTTAAAAAATGATAAAAAATCTCTTCATTCTTGCTTATTAGTTAGTTTTTCGAGATTGGTGTAAAGAAACGGTAGTTTTATTGTGGAGACAACCATTTCATTTCTTATACACTTGCAATAATAAAATAAACCCTTCAGTTTTTTCACGATTTACAAATTCTAAAAAATGTCATTGTTTATATCTATTAATTAAACATGATAAAGCATTCTTTGAAAAAGGAATTATTAAAGCGAAAAGTGAAAGAATTACTTTTGATTATTTCGGATCTGTGTAGTCTTGTCTCCTTATTTTTCTTAATAAAAAAAGATCATTAACTTTATCTGTTTTAAACTGGTTGCTTTCATTAATTATTTGATTACCTACAATATTAAACAAACGGATGTTCACTTGAAACTGATGTCATTATTGCGTATTACAGGAAATAGTAGGGTAAAGTTTTAATATAATGCTTTTAAATATATACCTTAACCAATAATATACAATTCTTACAAATCTTAATATAGATACTAATGAGCTTTTATATAAAGTTTAATTTACCTAAAGCAGAAATAAATCCACTAAAAATAATTTATTGCATAACATTTATTTAAAAAATATTTATTTATGATATAAGTACATAAGTACTAATAAAAAAAAATAATTATAAAAAATATATATATAGTAATAAATAGTAACTAAAAATTGTTAAATATTACAGTCTAACCTCGATATATCGATTATACTATTAAAAACTTGATATACTGATAAAATTTTATTTTCCCACTATATGTGATGACATACAAATATCGGTATAACTTTGATATAACGATATTTCCTAAAAATTTCATATATACCTCAACAAATCTAAGTTATACTAATATAAAGGACTGACTGTACTATTTATTAAAGGAGAACATCTAATTAAAATTGAAGATATAATTAATGATAATTCATTTAATTCTTCTCTTTTTTCATCATCAATATAGCCTACTTGAAGATATTTAAGATTAGGTAACCATAAACCTTCCTCATAATTTTTTTCATCATCAAATATATCTTTCTTATTTTTCTTATTATTAAAAAATACAATTCTATTACAAACACATTTATTAAACCTTAATTCTTGCAAATTTTGTAAATATTTCATGTAAGATAAAATAGTACTATTATAATTTATCCGTGCATTATTAAAAATCAAAGTTTTTAATGAATTATGTTGAGATTCTTTTAAAGATTTTAAAATTTCATTTATACCCATTTCTGGAATATCAAATAATTCAAGATGAACTAAATTATGTTGAGATCTTATTAGAGAAGCAAGATAATAAGATTCACGTGATATTTCTGTCGCTGTTCCATTTCCACAAAAAGAGTAGATAGGATAATCAATTCTAATGATTAATTTTTGAATATTATAACAAATTAGTGAAAGGAAAGAGAATATTTCATATTTCCTTTCTCTTATAGTGAGTATGAGTTCAGTTAAGTTGGCAAAAAATTGAGTAATTTCAGGAATTTTTGATTCCTTAATTAATAATTTAATAATGTAATTATCCCAGTAACTAAAACGGTTGCAATCATCATTGACATCATCTCTATCATATTTATCTACGTTAATAAGAAATGAACAAGGATTTATGTTATTAATCTTATAGAAAATAAATTTTGTATCAAATGAAAGTATTTTTAACTTTGGTGTGTTCATAATAAAGTATTTCATTATACTTCCAAATGTTAAAGGTGAATAATTATCTTTGCTGAATTTTGAATTTGATTTATTCCATTGATTCCAATCTTTAATTGCACAATATAATTCATGCAAGTCCAATACAAATAAAAATTCGAAATAATCAAAAGTAATTCTTTCGCTTTTCGCTTTAATAATTCCTTTTTCAACTAATGCTTTATCATGTTTAATTAATAGATAGGTCATCAATAAATTAGTAGCTTGATATTGACGTTTCTCATTTGAACAGTGACATTGTTTAGAATTTTTAAATCGTGAAAAAACTGAAGGGTTTATTTTATTGCAAGTGTATAAGAAATGAAATGGTTGTTTCCATAATAAATCTACCGTTTCTTTACACCAATCTCGAGAAACTAATAAGCAAGAATGAAGAGATTTTTTATCATTCTTCAAATGAAGAACAATCGAACGAATTAATTCTGGTGGAAGTGTTTTGGAATTTCCAACATTATTTTCGTTTTTTTTTTTTTTGAAAAAATTTAACAGCAGCATTATTACGGCTGATAATGAAACGAAATCCGAATAATGACGGAATAAATAACAGATAAGGAAAATTTTAACGTATCACAACGCCTTTTGCAGATTAACCATTTTTAGAGTTACACAAGACTCGTATATCCCAAATATCCCAAGCGTTAATCACATGATCATCAATTATATTAACGTGCTACATAATTTTCGTTGGCAATATACGCGGCGAGTTATCTTAGCGAGTGGCTTGATATTGATGTTTCTCATTTGAACGGTGACATTGCTTAAATTTGTAAATCGTGAAAAAACTGGAGAATTTGTTTTATTGTAAATTTAAAAAAATGAAATGGCTGTCTCGCTCCATAATATCATAGCTGATGATTTTCCTTTTTTGTTAGCATTTCAATCCTCTTAATCTAACAAAACCTTCACGAAATAACAATCTTGATCTGTTATATTTTACACCATCACAAGCTAATTCACTTCAAAAAAGCTGTCAAAATTATTTTATTAGATCCATTATGTATAATTATTCCTTTTATCTTGATTGTTTTTGAAGTTGATGAATATTTATTGTGTATAAAAATAATCTTTATTTTAACAATAAAATGTATGATTAATTATTCCTCGAACATATAATATTAGACATCAAATCACTAAATGAACACTTTACCTATGTACAAGTGCATCTCTTCATCTTCAAATCCAGTGATAACTATGTTGAAAGCATTTTGTTCTCTGGTTAATAAAAAATTTAAAAGAAATATATCAACCACTTGAAACACACTGTACAAATCTGTACAAATCATAATATACATTTACACTGAGTTAATGTACCTTTGGAAGGCATATGGAATGGAATAGTATATAACTTTGTTACCTTAAACGGTCATCCGAAATTCTCGCTTTATTTGATTCACATTTGAAGAAAATTTTTATTACACAGATTGGCTTCGAAAAGTATGTATAACGACCCTAGCATCGCCACCGAAAAGTGGTAGCTGGTTACATGTGATTTCGGATCGGTAGAATTATATAGGATTAAAAAGTTATATAAATTTACTAGTTTTTTTTATAAATATAAGTTTTGAGTCAAATATTCAGTGCAATATTTGACTTTACATTCTTTATGTTTCTAATATAAGTAGTATTCTCAATACATTATCATATATATCTTATTAAAATCTTCATAGTTTACCGGTTTTTTAGCACTATAATATCGTCACTCATTTTCTCTAATGACTTAAAATTTGAACGAACATTTTTTAACCATAAATTGGCTTATTACGTGACTCTTCTTTTAGATATGAGTTTATAAAAGAGAAGTGGAGATTGGAAATCGATTTTTTATCTAATCTGACGTAAATTGATTAAAATGAGACTACTATCCGAAATCACATGTAACTGTCATGTGTAGCAGATCAAATAAAACACATGATCTATGCTGATTATTAATTTTTTTAAAAAAACAGTTATCATTATCAGTTGGTTCATCATTATTAAAAGAGTATAAGAGTGATATTGAATTTTAATTGTTATTATTAAATTTATTGTAATAAATTATAAATTAAAAGAAGCTTGCTTTATTAATATTAAAAATATATAAATTATAAATTCTGTAGTATTAGGCGTTTTAACGTGAAATTTTAAAGTCTTTACATAAAAAAAATATAGATTTTAAATGCGCTTATACGGAAAGCTTTTTGTGCATGTACTTTAATTTTTATTTAAGCTATTCAAATTTGTATATAACTATAAGAAATTACATGTTACTTAAATTCTTAAAAATCGAAAAAAATATTTAAAAATTAGGTACATCAGTATCGATTATGTAGTTTACTGTACCTATGCCGATCTTGTAACAGAAACACATCTGCATCTGTATACCCCCACCTTGTACGATATAAAATACCTTTCAGGAACTTCCAACTTTTGTTTCCACACTCTTTCTTTTTTCTTTCACCAAGAAAAAGTTCAAAAAGAAACGTTGCCTTTGTTCGTTTTTTACTATAATCTTTTTTCTTTTTTTTAAAAAAAAACGGATTCAAAAGTAAGTTGCTGCTACTGTTTGCCGTTGTTATTATGATTATGATTATTTTTTTTTTTTTAAAAAAAAAAATTTCATTAATTTATCAGGTCAAAAGAAATTTTTGTACGTTCTATGAAAGAATGGGGACACATTGGGCTAGAGTTCCTCAACAAAAATTTTTTTTTTTCTCTTTTAAATTATGATGACAAATTATTAGGTGGAATAATGAGCTTGATCCTAGTAGTACGTAATTTTATTTTTAAAAAAAGAATATATATACATATATTTAAGTGTAACTTTTTTTAATTATATTTTTTTTTTTCTTCTTGATTAGTTAACTATGAACCTTTTACTAAAGATGAGAGAAAGTACATCGATCATTGGGTTGCTACCAATCGAAAAGCAGATGGTATCATAAATTGGATATCTTGTCAAAGAGACATGAAAAAGCTTTTTAATAAATTACATTCCGCTAATAAAATCAAAAACGCATGGAATACTAAACATAATAGACCAAAATCAACTCAAAGCAAACAAAAACAAAACCGAAACCGAATTGTACGTAAAAGCAATGAAATTGAAAAACTTTCTGTTCAAGCTACAACCACCTCTCATCAATTTCCCATGAAAGATGATGTTAGTCATTTCGCTCAACCACTTTTAAATGATGTTGATAATATTGGGAACACATTTTTACCAACCATTATTGAACCAAATTTCTTTCAACTTCACGCCCCACAATTACCACCAAATCCTGAATTTGGTATCTATAATAATAATAGAAATAGTTTTACACATATACCCGCTATTCAGCCAAAATTTCAACCTTATCTCCCAACCATAGTGATGAAACCTGTATTTTAGATGAGATTAACAATGAAAGTGGTTATCATATATTTTTTTGTACATTTTGTATATAGTGAGCCCTTTTTGTATATTTCCTATATATTTTATAGACATTCTTTTATGTGTATTTCTGAAACGTTCCTTTTTTATAGGCTACTTAAAATAGAAAGTTCATTTAGTCAGAAGAAATACTCACCTGGTATTACCCGCCGTGTATATTTGTTTGGTAAAGATTTATTTTTTTAGTATAGATTTTTGTGTAAAGAAATTTTAGTAAAATATATATACGCATGAATCATTGTCTAGCAACATTACTTATTTTAATAGTAAGTATAAATCATAATAAAACAATCATGCGCACGAAAATTTGGCGTACTACTAACATATGTATAGTATATTAGTTATAATGACATGTCCGGAACCAAAAAATTTTTTATAATGACATATTTATAAAATGGTAAAATGTGTTTATTGTAATATTATATCGTGGCTTTATAAAATTTAATTTATCTGTATAATAATGTTATTATAACGAGCAAATTTCTACAATTCTGTCATTATAATCTTATGTCAGTTTATTGAGATTTATTGAGATGTCACCATAACGAGCGGTACTTGTACATATAGATCTGCGTAAAAAGTTTGAGTTGAAACGTTTAGAATGTTATAAGTACTTTTGGCTTGATCTGGTTGACATATTCCTGATAAGATTCAAATTAGATGAAGTAGTTAAGTTATATATATAATGTATATATTTTCCATTTTCCTGAATCTAACCATTAACAATTGGTATAACGAGAAGAAACTCTTATGAATTATATTAGTAAATGTATGGAATATATATGTAATTTTAATTGAATCCATAATGATTTCTAAAAATAATATGCTTCCAATACATGTTAAAAAGTAATAGTTATGTGATTTGTAATTTCAGAATGTAAATATACAAATTAAAGACATAATTTTTCTTATCTAATTTATAACTTTTTTATATACAGAAACTTAAGTATGAAAGTAAGATAAAAATAACCTTATTATCGTATATAAATTACTATTGATTAACGCGAAAAATTACCTGAAATTTTCGATCTTTCAATGTGTCGTAATCATTTTCTCCACACAGAACTGAAGGTTCGTTTTTTTAACCAATCATGTAATATCATCGTAAAAACTATTAATCTAAAAATTATTATACTAGCGTAAAAACAACAACTTATGTAAAAAATAAGAAGACTTCATCATCTATAGTCTAGAATCTAGATTATCGATTTTTATTCTAAATCGAAGCAAATTGATAATTTGGGAACATATATGTATGATGTATATTACTGAGCACGCTATTTTGCTTTCGTATACTGCATGAACACCAGGCCATCTTAGCTTTACATTATATGAGATAAAATCGTGCGCAGTAGTTAGTAGTGGACCCAGATGATAAATAAAATAGTATAATTACCGTATATGAAATTCTCTCAATAGCATAACCTTTTATTAATTATGAAATGAATTAAAATATAAGACCACCAAGAATATGAATACACTAATAACTTAGATATTCAAACAATTTAGCATATATAAATAAGTCGATACCTTATGCATCCAAAAGTATTCATGATAAACATCTTCCGTCTATTTTGCCTGAATATTTGAAAATTTCAAGACAAAAGAGTAAGTATAATCCTGCATTGTAATAAAAAATTTTGACAGTTACCAAAACCAGTTAAAATTTTTATGATACAGTCAAACCTTTATATAACGATATGTCGGGACATATATGAAATTTTTAGGAAATATCGTTATATCAAAGTTATACCGATATTTATATGTCCTCAAATATAGTGGGAAAATAAGATTTTATCGGTATATCAAGTTTTTAATAGTATATCGGTATATCGAATATCGGTATATCGAGATTAGACTGTATCAAGATTTTTGCAATTTAAGATGAAAAATTGAAAATCCTGTATCATTTTCGTGTCGTGAAGTTAAGATCGATCAATTTAATAAATAATATATAAAGCTACGGGTAATGTAACTAGAATACTCTAGGGTTTATCCTATTAGTCTATATCGGTTGGTTTTTATAGAGTATCCGTATATTGATTTTTTTTACATAGGTTTATCCGGATATCCTAGGTTTAATAAAGTTTATAGCTTAATTGTTATTTAAGGACAAATTAAGCTTCTTTTTAACTCTTCTAAACATGGCTACAGTGATAGCAATGAAGAAACCACACTAGCGCAAAATGATATGAATAATAAAATTCAAGACATTTGTCACAAGTGACTGTGAATAGTCTTCTTTAAAACCTTTGATAACATGAATGAAGTTACATATAATAAGGATATTGTTTGGATTTGGAATTGGGGAATGACGTGCACATATAACAATTTTAAAGTTATATTCCTTTGAATGTGAACAATATTTTACAAGTAGCTCAGATTCCTAAGGAGTGGTGGAATGCGAATCAAAGGCAGTTCCAACTTTAGCTCAAATTGCTAGAAAATATTTATCAATTCAAACAACGTCAGGTGCAAGTGAACATGTATTTAGTGACGTGGACTTGATAATGACAATTAAAAGAACTTCAGTGAAAGAAGAATTATTTGAGCGTTAACATTTCTTAAAAGAAATGGTAATATGCCTGATAGAATGTTAATTGATTAATTATAATTAGATACATTATTTAACAAGCGAAAATGGAATATAATTTATTAAAATATGAATTTTATTTGAATTAATTATAATAAAAAATATGGATAATTGCTGCGCCAGTAAGCCTAAGATAATCCGCGGATTATCCGTTACTAACTGATTCGGGATACTCGGATACAATTTTTTGAAACGGATAACTCCTTAACAGCATTAGGGTTATCTGGTTCAAAGCTCTAACAATATAAACTGGAGTGTCGATTTAGAATACACGTACTTCATTAAAAATGATAAAGAGAAGAAAATTTTACTGATAAAATAACATTGGCATTGAACGATTCACTAACTCAATTTAATCCAAATGTAAAAATTTATTAAATTTATTAAATCAGAGACTTATTTCTGAAAAATTGTCAGAATGGAAAAAGTATACCGTAAAAATATAACTTCATTTCACTTTCTCGTACAGTATCAAAATTCAAAGAACAAAATAAATCAAACAAACTAAAGATTCTTTAAACGAAAATAAAACAAAAAAATTTAAAATGAATCAAATAATCATAAACAACGCAAAAACATATTATATCTTTTAATTTTTTAGTAATTTAAAGTTTTACATGTATAAGTAGTAAAGTAGTTTAATTTTTAAATTTTATTAAAAGACATGCAATATGCCATATTAAAATAAGATGGTCGAAATTATTGTTTAATTGAATAAAAAACTTGATTTCTTCTACTAGTCCCTTTTTGTTATAGGTCAATTTTCGTCGATCATTTCAAAATTTTATGAAGAGTATCGAATATCGTACAGTTCCGAACTGGCGATTTTGGCCAGAATTATGAAGTCTTTGACCGGAATTAAGTTTAAAAATGATTGCTTAATTTCAGAACTGTATGGTTATTATTCGATTCTGCTCGCGCTATTATTAGTTGTTCACAAATAATTTCTATATGATTATTCTTAATGCTGCTACTATTAAAATACTATTGAAATTTTTTATTTTTTTTTTGAAATTGGCGTGTTTATAATACATCTTTATATTTTATATTATTTCTTTTATCTCGACACTCAACGATGGTTTAACTATAAGCTTTCTTCATCATGGATGATCATTGGCTTAATGACTACTGGCTAATCCATTTAAATCTCTGAATGATCTTCAAAATTATTAATATCCGTTCAAACAACGAATCCAACCTCTAGAATAATGTTATAACGTGAGCATATTCGGTCTTGTATTAGATAGAGGAATAATTTTAATACTGTGTAATCTTATATATTCAAAGATAAAGTAAATTACACAATAAACCGGATCTTCGATAAACCGGATCTGGAAGGATTATTAGAGTACATTAATAAATTTATTTTCGATATATCGAATTTCTTGATATATCTGATTTTTCTAATGGAAGAATGAGTCCGGTTTATCGAGGCTGTCTGTGTATATCTCAATAACAAAAAGCTACATATACTTTAGGTTTTCTTAAGTATACTAAAGAAATAAATGTTACTGAATTATTATCTCAGTGAATTACTACTCGCGCTAGTTCTTCTATATGAATTTAATAATGTAGAAACAATAAATATTCATAAGGCAAATTATTATCAATAATCTATTCCATTAAATATTATTATTGGTACGATGTGTACAGTACAATCTGAATTAATAGAGTATATTAGAATTTTTACAATAAAAGTTTTTTCTCGCATGGAATGGAAATAGTGAGTACAATACTAGAGTATTAAACGGGGACAATGTCCTCGTTTAACTTCGGATGCAAAGTAGATTTTTTTTTTTACTGTAAAATAAAAAATATAAATCAGCAATAACGTTTTCTTAGCCTTTTTATTACAAAGTAGCAATTCGTTGGCGTTTGGTATTCATAGTTTACGGAAGTTAATTAATTATTTAACGTCTAAAAAGACTATTTAAATTGTTTTTACTTATATTTAAATTACAACCTCCACACAATTTCAAATTAGGTGAATTTTCATTAAATGCAACACAATATTACGAATATTATGTAATAATTCTCTGAGTTAATATTTAAGATTTGTTTATTTTTTGGCAAAACAGCTTTACGCAAAACTTTATTATTACAATATAAACATATACAGTGAAAAAGAAAAATAAATTACAAAGTAAAATATTAATCTAAAAACTATCTTCATATGCCCAACCTAAACCCAATGAAAGCGGCGCATCGTGGAGACCATAAATGTTTATAAATGCGATCTTGGAAACGGAAAAGTGCTGAGAAAAGTATTCCCGCAGTACGTTTATTGGAAAAGACTTTGGATATAAGATTAACCAAATCCGCGGGTATTTAGCCACGGATAAGATCATGTGCAGTCGGTGAGCGTGGGTGCGAAAATGAATCCAATAGTAGAAGGAGTGAAAGACTCTGAGAGTTTCGTTAAAGCGTCAGCACGAGCGTTAAGGATGTTATCCGAGTGAGCAGGGATTTTGTAAACGTCAGTCGAAGGGATTACAATTTCATGAAATAAGTCCAAAGAAGATAATTCTTTAATCAAAGTGTGCGGGAACACAAAGGAGTTGAGAGTACTTTCGCAGCAGAAGAGATAATAGCAGCGGCGTTAGTGCGAATTTCAACAGAAGCATGAGGTGGAACCCAAACGAGACCCATACTAATATTTTTTGTTCCAAAATTTTTAACGGAACCATCAGTATAAACAATATAGTGATTATTAGACGTAGGGCAGAGGTAGGAGTTAGAAAGATCTATAGACCTACAGGAACACCGGGGGAGTAAGAAGACTATCCTGAGGAGCAGTTGAAAAGGAAACAAACCAACTTTAAAGAAGAAAAATCTAACAATAAGATAAATCAATAGAAAGATTAAAAAAAAAGAAAGCAAATGCAATCGTGTGGGGAGATCTTATACTTATTGGATGATCCGTCTGGATACTCTCATATTCACTATCCAGCAGGTGCGTTTGATTGAAGAATTATTATAATTGCAACCAGTACACAGCTGTAAAGATATAGAACTGGAATTAGGAGTAAAATTAATTTTGGAGGAAGGTTCCCAAATAATTGTTCAATGGGAGAGGATAACTTCAGATGGCGGAGCGGTTCGTAAAGTGATAAGCTCGTCAAGGATCAAAGATATGTCAGTTTATACCCTATAAAAAATTTTATCTGTTATTTCTGTAAAAATTCCTTTCACAGATCCATTCACGAAAAATGTAAATAATTCGATAAATTTCGTAATATAAGGTTATTAATTCCAGAAATATAAGCCTTTTACAGAAAAAAGATGGAATATAAAAAGCGGATGGACTTTTTTATAGGGTACGAAGTAGCAATCCACGAGTTATGAGTGGAAGCAGTAGTGTCGACCAGGGGAGGCGATGAGAAGGAAAGAAACTTATCATCAACCCAGTATTCAGGGTGAAATTTGTATGAGGAGATCGAGGAGGTAACTAAGCCAAACAAGGGGTATACCACGAAGGGCGGTCACCTTTATTTCGGACAATAGATATTTAAGATCTCGCCAGGATAAGAGATATAGCCCATCAACGGTGCTCTACCCGTATTACCAATATTAAACTTTTCAATCTTCGAAATTCGCTTGTTTGCAGATGTAACCCACTTGCGCTAAAAGATTTTTCACCACAGTCGAAAAAATGACAATTCTTCCAAGATTGGATTTACCGTACTTTACAAGAAGGACACGATCTGGATATTAACTTCCCCCCCTACAGGAGCATCTATCTTTAGAACAATTTCACTTGCTTCAACTTCTACCTGGTGCACCGAAACATTTTAAATCTCTGCTTTTACTTCCTATTCCAATTGGTTAGAGGAAGGGTCATTAAGAAGCTGATGTAGGCGAGAAAAGCGGTTGATCAAGAGAGTTTGGAAAAGTTCCTTGATCCCGTAGAAAGCAGCCCTATAAAAAAAGAATGTCCGGAAATTGTAGCTGAAAACGTCCGGAAATGTTTATTTGTCTGGAATATGTCCGGAATATTGCAATATTCCGGACGTTGGAAAATTTCCATTTTCCGGAAAATGTCCAGAAAATGTCTAGGAGGGTTCAGACCCAGCGTCCAGAAAGTGTCCGGAATATTGCAATTTTCTGGACGTTTTCTGGACACACGGACATTTTCCGGTTGTTTTTAGCTACAATTTCCGGACATTTTTTTTTTACAGGGCAGGACCATAGCTAGCAGTAAGAGGAAGAAAACGTAGCGTATTGGTGCACAATCCAGAAACCAAGTTGGAGGTTACGATCATGTTCAGGAGAAATATAGGTAGTTTGTGAACGAAATTCTAATCGCGGGAAGATTTAAAATTTGTTTAATATGTTTAATAGATGCGAAAACTGATTGTTTTCAAATTTTTCACATTTCATGTGTATTAAAGTTGGACTTGTTTAATAGACGCGAAAACTGATTATCTTTCGCGTTTTCATGTGTATTAAAGTTTCAAACCCGTGTCAAGATTTGTTTAAAACAAGTTTTTGGCGTTTCAGCATTTTCGTATGTAACCCGTGGGAGACTGAGTTAATTTGGACTGTGGGATAGGACTGAGTTAAGATTAATTAAATACTGTATACTATAGTATTACAGTAATAACTAATTCTTATAGACACGAAAACTTCATTTTGGCGTTTTCATGTGGGAACTAGGTAGACTATCGACTATCTGAGTTTATTTGGACTGTGGGACCAAGTTAAGTTTAATTAAATATACTATAGACTATAGTATTATTATTTAATAACTTGTTTATTTTAATATTTAATAGACGCGAAACTGATTATTTTTCGCGTTTTTGTGTGTACCCGTGGGAAAATCTGAAAAATATTTATTTCCCATTACAAAAGTTTGTACAACAAAAAAGGTATAAAAAGACCTTATTTCCCCCTACTTTTCCCTCTTTCTTTATTAATTTTTTTTATCCTTCTTACCAATATATCCTTATCATAATATCCTTTTTACCATATTGAATCTTTTGCACTTGTTGAAGAAGAAATTATTTCTATCAACAAAGATATATATGTATCGTATTTCATGCATCTATTAAGTCTATTAAGGTAAGCACACTATTCAGGCTAAGCAGGGTAATTTCGATAAACAAGCTTATTAGACAAAAAAAGACTGAAAAGAGAAGGGGGGGAACTGGTTTTCCTGAAGGAGGGATTAACCTACCTTCACTTTTCTTGGAGGTTTTTTTTTTTTATGTTAGTGTGGTCCTCTGGTACCAACCATACTAACGATTTTTTTTTTAATTAATTTTTTTAGCATTACTTTTGTTTCCTCTATTCCTAAAGTAAACCACCCTACAAAAATACAAGTGTAAAGTTTAATCTATCAAGGATACTTTGGTACAGTTCTTTCATTATCTGCTCAACTGAACAAATATTGATAAAATATGAAATATGATCTTTAACATGATGATTTTCGTGTAGATTCCTGGTACATAATTTCTTTTCGATCATTGGTTCTTGTTGAAATTTGTGTTAATTAATTCACGTTCACCTTAATTTTTTTTGTAATTTTTATATTTTTAAAATATTTTTAATTTCTTCAAAAGTGTTCGTACTAAGACCTCTGCAGTGTTTAATCAACTTTTACTATTATCGTTATTTTATGACTTTTTAGTGTTACCTCTTTCTTGTACACTTTACAATGAATTCCATCAGGGAACCTGCAACTTTAAACAATGATGGATAAGAAATCGATAATTATTCTCATATTTCTTGCCTTATTTCAGTCAGAAAATTTGCTTATTTATATATTATTATTATTCCGGGCATGTGTATCTTCCCTCACATTCAATAATTTCCCGCGAAGAGGGAAAGAAAAATCAGAAATTACCAAATGTACGTCTTTTTTGTTGGGTTTCATTCGGTATGCTCAGCCAATTGAGATTTCTGAGTGCATCTATAATTCAAAATAATATATTAGCAGTTAAATATTTAATTGATTAAATAATTAAAATATTCTATCGTTGCAATACATCTTTGAATTTGTTAAGACACCTCCCTGTTTCATCTAGTTGCTTTACAGTTGAGTTTGAAAGTTTCATCGAACCTATTATCATCGTCCCTGCCTCGTGTCCTCTTCTTTCTCCATTTCTAAGATGACTTGAAAATGACTTATCTTAATTTTTATTCGTTATATTTGACTTATTACCACATTCTAGTATTTACCGGCCCGGTTAAATAAATGACTATTATTTTGAATGGAGGATAATCATAAAATGTAAATAAAACTGTGTAACAACTGTTTAGCGTTAATTAACTTTATGCATCAAAATTTGCATGATCGCCTTCTTACGGAATGACTCATTTAATTATTTTGCTGCGTATATTTATACAGTCATTATATATCTAATACGGAAATTAAAGACCGTTTTAAAACTTCGCTCCGTTACTCCGCTATCCGTTCCAATAACCAGACGACAAATTGGCCAAGATTTCGCTTCGGATAAATTTCGGATAATTTCGGCAACTTGAATGTTACACCACTTAATGAGCTGATTGTTTAATAACTTTCTTTAAATGTACAAGTAAATTTAGAACATTAATTCTAGACAAAAAAAAAAATTTTTTTGCCGAAAATTTATCCGATATTTGCTTGAAGACGAAAGAAAAAAGTTTTACTTCGCCTTCTCTTACACATATTTATAACGAATTTATATAAATAGAACCCAAATTAAAGATTTGTCGTCTTCATTCAACTTGACAAGAAAATATCTGGACATTATAAAAATTATAATCAACCTATTTTCAAAAAAAAAAAAATGCAACAAAAAATTCCAACTGTAATTATTACCGGTGCTGGATTAGGGGAACTATTTTTTTACCATGTTTTGATAAATAAAAATTATAATCAACCTATTTTCAAAAAAAAAAAAATGCAACAAAAAATTCCAACTGTAATTATTACCGGTGCTGGATTAGGGGGACTATCTTTTTACCATGCTTTGATAAAGAACAAAGATAAAAAAGAATTTAACGTAAAAATCTTTGAACGAGAATCCGGACCTCAAGGTAGGTATAGAAACATAAAAACGAATATTTTTCACAAAAAAAAAAAAAAAACTTTCACGTGACTAACTCTCTTTCATGTTAAAAGATCGATGGCAAGGATATCATATAGGTATAAACAATTTCGGGGCTCGATCACTTATAAATTGTCTTCCCTCATCGGTCGCTTCAAACCTTCAAAAAGGAATGCCAAATCCAATTCCTGATGTAGAATGTCATGGATTTTCACTCAACGATCATATGGGAAATCTCTTATTAAAACCACCATCTAAACAAGCTAAAGACGTTTACGGAGTCGCAAATGCTTCCGGTTTTTCGGCAATTATTACTTATCGTGATAGACTTAGAGACGTTTTATTAGAAAATGTACCAGTTCAATGGGGTAAAAAATGTATTGGATATGAAGAAACTGAAGAAGGTGTTTGGGTATTTTTTGAGGATGGTTCGAAAGAATTTTGTGATATCTTAGTTGGTGCAGATGGAATAAATTCCCCAGGTAAAAAAAAAAGGAAACTTTTAAATAATTATTTTATTTCTTATTTTTACAATAACTAATTTGCTTTTTTCCTTTAGTTCGAAAACAAAAAATACCTGAATTACAAATTTTTGATTTTGGAATTACTCAAATTAATGCAGATGTAGCCGTACCTAAGAATTTAATAGACAGATTTATTAGAATCAATGGAAACAGTTTATTTCAGAAAACTCTTGGATTAAACGGAGATGCCACCTTTATTATTTACCGCTTGATTCCAATCGAACAAGAACAAGAACAAAATGATAAAAATGAACCTCACTACAGGACAACATTAGCTTTTAGTTATCCTACTAAACTAGATGATAATGTTGAAAATGATAAAATAAAAGTTGACGACAATGATCCTGCATCAGTTATCGATCATGCTAAACATATGATTCGAAAATTGAGACCAGAATGTGAATTAACTAATATTATGTTAGAATTATGGAGTTTGGTTCCTAGAACAGCTCCTGATTCAGACAAGTATCCATTTAAAACTTACAATCCTGTACAACGTAGACAGATGCAAGATATTAATCCATTGTCTGTAAATGAATGGACAAGTAGTAGAGTTACGTTGTTAGGAGATGCCGCTCATGCTATGAGTCCTGTATTAGGATTAGGAGCAAATAATGCTATTCAAGATGCTGATGTACTTTCTCAAGCATTACTTAATTATTCTCCAGAAAATTATATTTCTTGTATTAAAGAATATGAAAATGAAATGCTAAAACGAACATCCGCTGATGTACTGAAGTCTAGAGCTTCCACATTAAGACAATCCTCACCAGTTGGATATTTTGGCGCTATTTTCAGAAACAATTTTATGAAGATGATAAATGTTATGATGAACACCTTTGATTATGATTTTTTCTCTAGAAAATAAATTATATTGCAGTATTGTATGTTTATTTCATATTACACAAGAATTTTGTTAAATATTTTTGAATTATATGTATATTTATATTAATTATATAATTATCTCAGTTATATTAGTATAGCCAGTTACATATTTCATTTAATAATAAATAAAATCATTTGACACCTCCATAAATTATAACTTGTGAACTGTTTATTTATAATTTAAATATATAAGAATAAAAAAAAAAAATAAAAATTCCTCATTTCTTGCAGTTTTAGTGATGCCGACTTAACTGATTAGTTTTAACAGAATTATAATTAAAGCAAAAAACTAACGTTCCCATAATCTTAACGCAGGTTACGTCTCACACATGTGATCAGTTTGTTTATACAGTACATGAACTTGCCCAAACCGGGTGATTATCCAAGATAATTCCTATTATCCGGTATTATCCGGGGATATACAGTATTTAGTCAGCCTATCGAATCCTATATTTTTATTGAAATTATTATTGTGATGCGTTAATAAATATATTAATTATTAAGCAGATCGAAAATTTAACCAAATATTTAAACTATCGCACCTTTTTTTTTCATTTATTTATTTTAAATATGAATTCTAAAGAAACTAAACATGCAAAAAAAAGGACACGACAGTAAATAGGAGATGATGAAGAAATTTATGAATATTGAAATTAATAATGATGACAAAAGTGAGAATGAAGATACTTCCCACGGTATTATCAAGACTTTAGGCTTCACCATTATGAGCCAGATTTAAATAAAGGGTCTGGGCGTCCTAAACACCCGTTTCAGTCTTATTAAATAGCACTTGGCCATGGCAGGGTCAGGTCGGATGGTTGGTACTATCACCGGCCGCTTTTGCTAGGGATGCACACACCATTATTTTGCTGCTGAATTATTCAAAAATCTTCATATCTGTTTAGACTATACCTTCAACTCAAAGAAATTTTAGGTGAGAATGAAGATAGTGAAGATAAAAAGTAAAAATGAGGAGTGTAAAAATGAGGATGATTACGAAATGAGGATGATGTGATGATGTTACGATGTTACCCGCATTTAGAAATTTTTATATAATTAGTTTAGTTTATTTCTTTTACAGCTATTTTCATAAGACCTGGGACAAAATAAATTTTTGAACCCGACCGCCGACCCACCGATCCGGTTCAGTTATTTATTTTACAAATCAAACTATCAAATCAGGATCACGTGCCCAGCCAAAAATACCGGATCGGCGGATCGGGGCAGGTCTTATGAAAACAGATGTAAATGATTAGTTTATTAGTAGTTTTATCTATATAGTTAATTTATATGTGTATAGTTTATTTATTTTGGCTGATCGACAACTTGGCCAAAGGACGAATGGATAAATTGTGCTGAATTTTGGGAAAGTATATAAAGGATGGGCCACATACAACAAATTGATAGTTTATTTGATTTTCGTCGTTGTCATTGTTACCACCGAATTTATGTAGATCGACGGGGAATAAATAATGAATTTATAATAATCGGTAAAGAATCGGCAACAAAAATATACAAAAAAATAAATAAATAAATAAATAAAGTACTATTTAAGAAATCGGAAAACAATCGTAAGGTTATTTATTAACAATCGGCCAGGATTCCAACAACACTATTACCTCCTTCGGCGCTCTGTGATATTCGGAAGATCCTTTTTTACTAATGTTAATACTAAACTACTCAAAAATAAACCAAATATCAAACTCCCTTTTGATTTCCTACCCAAACAAGAAAACGATTCCGATCACATGATCATAATAATCGTATGATAACAACATATTAGATTGTCATCCTTCATTCTTATTTTTATTTCTATCTATTATATATATATTGACAAGCACCGAGAAGTATACATGTTTATAGATGCTAGGATATAAAAAAAAGCTAAAATTGCTATAACCTAACCCGTGGGTACGGAGACCCATGAGTCGTCCTGCCTCTTATTTATCATTTACTGTATTACAACTTTCACGTAGATCGTTTGTGGAAGTTTCTTTGCCATCACATGCATGTCATTTTATCACACCATCATATGAAATGAAAGAAATTGCACTTGTTACAAGTTATATCCTGATACTGCAAGTAATGCTGGAAAAATTATTTGATTGGAAAGTCAACAACAATAATGGCTCTAATATTAAAAAATGTATCTGTATCAATCGAATTCCTTGGATTTCACGTTTTTCATGCACTGCACACCTTTCAACTGGTTGTGGGTAAAGGTTTATTGCCAGCAGAAATACTTATTACATGTGCAAAGGGGCAAAGGGACTATTAATTTTCACATCACCACAAGAAATTTGGCAATGGCATGATCCTCTCCAAATGGTGGTGTGTAAATCAAAGACAGTTTCCGATTCTCGTCCAATTGGTGAGAAAATATCTTGCGGTCAAGCGACTTCAGTAGCAAGTGAGCATGTTTTAGTGATGTTGGCTTAATAATTGACCACAAAAAACTTCAATGAAAGAAGCATTGATTTTCTTAAAAGAAATGGTCTTAAATTTTACGTAATATTTTGTATTTAACTCACTAATATTAATGATAAATAAACGTGATAATGAGTAATAATATATAATAAATCTTTTATTTTAAAAAAAAACATAAAAATAAGTCTCGTATATCACGGACCGAAGACACTTGTTTTCAATCTTGTGGGTACCAAATTTCGTGCTGTCCTGCGATAGGATCGATGCTATGCGTAATTTTTATGAGTGGAGCACAGTATCGCTTAGGAAGCCCTTGCGGTACCATTAATATAAATGATGAGAAAATACGAGATTTCTTAGAAATTTGTTCGTATATACAGTATATATCATACAATTACATTGTGAACTTAATGCTCTTATTTATTACAATGTTTGAAACAAAGCTAATTATAATTTTTGTAATTGACTTTCTTCGCGCTCTTAATAAATACTACATTATCTTAGTGTACCCAATCATGTACAGAGTGACAATGAGTGAAAGAAACTTATAAAACCTTATTTTAATAAATAACTTAAGGCGGTAAAATTTTTTTCGTAATTTTTTAGGGGATAGCCAAAAATCTTACGTTACACATATAATAGAAATCATGTGATCCAATGTTATATTTTAATTGGTTACATATTTTAAACGAAATATATTACATATAATTACATCTTACGCTAGACAGAGAATACAAGAAAACTTAATACTGTACTACTTAAAGCCGTAATTGAATCAGAATTTTTCTATTACGCTTCGTAAATTAATTGTATGCCAATTTCTTTAGTAAATCTGAAGTACTCCTGTGGTAAGTTACCATTTCCTTTGATTTCTAAATATTTTAACCTTCCGTTTTCAACAGATTTTTGTAGAAAAAATTTTAAAGCATCATTTGGTAAAATATCATTCATATCTCTAAAATCTCTAAATTGAATAAATTGAAGAAATTTTGGGACATATTCACCTAATTCTTTCAAATTATAGGTATTATATGTTAACCCAAAGCTAATATATATTAACTTTTGACATTTTACAAATACGGGTAATAATTCCCTTGAACTTAATGTCGGAAGGTATAAGTAGGTTAGATTATGCAAGTATTGTGAAATTTTTCTTAAAATGTTGGAATCTTGGTTATAATTTCTTTTATAATTAAGTAACAACTTTACTAAAGTTTGAGAAGAATTTTGGAAAAGAATTTCTAAAAATTTCTCAGGAATATAAAGTGTAGGATAATCTAATGCTTCAAATTCAAATATTTCAAGTTTATTTATACTTCTAGCCCATTGAATCAAATCACCCTCAAGAATGTTACACTTAATTAATTTTAATTCTTTAATATTTTCGATTGATGCCAATGAATTGACAGTACCTTGATCCAAAACTTCACCAAAATGTATATTTCTGAATTCTAACTTAACCAACCATTCTTTATGAACAGCCAATGAAGGTAAAACGATATTATAATATCTTTCTGAGATGACTTTTCTCTGATTATTTAACATTGATAATTCCCCCTCCGATAATATGATATGTTGTAATTTGTTTTGGGAAGAAATGAAATGTGATAAATAATTTGCCTGGCGTTTAGAATTAATTGCCTTATTACCGAATAAGGTTAGGTTGGTTATTGGCAAGAGATTCTTATAAAGATAAATTATACCCGATCTCGGTCTTGTAGGACATTCTATCACATATTGTAAAATATCTTCACCATATAACTCCTTAAGTCCACTAAGTTTCTTTGGTGGTAATGATTCGATCGCCGTGTAATATATATCACGTTGTAATAATTCATGCAACTCAAGTATTGATGAACTGTCATGACAATTCTCACAAAAGAATTTAACGAATTCTTTCATTACGAGCAAAACAAATGATTCTTCTATTAGTGCATTCAAAGGAAGACCCAAACCTGATACATGTTTTGGAAAATACGATGGTAACCAATCATCTTTGTAATGATCCCAAGAGCTTAAATTGAATAATTCTTCGGTAAAATATAGCCCACGAATTAAACTAAAATAATTACATGTTGGATTAGCCCTTTTACAAAAATCATATTTAAGCTCATTATTAAATTTGTACGTAGGAAGATGTTGCTTAAGAATTTCTTCAGGAATGCAACTCATTAAGGTGCGAATAAGTTTATAATACGGTTTAAACGCTTCGTCGTGTTCTTTTTGATTATATCTTGTGTTACAATATCGTATATTATGAAAATTGTGAAATGGATATGCATATAATATTGGTGTTGAAATTTCATACCAATGTCTTGATACCAATGTACAAGATCTCAAGTCTTTGGTAATAATATATGGAATATTTGCATAGGTTTTCTTATTTCTCTTAATTTCATTATTACATGTATTATCAGGAACTTCGTAATTGGAAGGAGAAATATTTCTAGGGGATTCTTCGACGAGAAATAAAAATATTATGCGTAAACATTCTGGTAACATTTTTTTTTTTTTTAAAAAAAAAAATTAACGTTGAAAAAGAAGTCTATTTATTATTATTATTATAGATCTTTTTATTCGTTACGTAAAGTTAATTGTTGATCTACTGGATCGTGAGAATATCTCCGCGGATAAAGAAATTTCATAATATGGAATAAATTTTAAATTAAAACTTGTTTACAAATTTAAACATATAAGGACTCATACTACTTTTTTGTTACCTTTTTAGATTTCACAATAAAATTCCACTACATTTTATAGATGATCGACCAATTAATTTGAAATAAAGAAACGTTGTTAGTTCTATTTATTTAAAAGATCATAACAATATTTGCAAGTAAATTACTGTATTTTAATGAATATAAATAGTAAACATCTTGTTTTTCCTGTAAATTCACAAATATCAGATAAAATAGCTCCATATCGGGTACGGATAAAGCATAGAACGATAGAATTATGATTCTGTTATCTTACATATTTATTTGCGTATGTGAAACATGTGTGGTAAATTTTGATTCGCCAGTTTTTTTAAGATAGTAATGGAATGAATTCAAGTTTATTACCGTTATTAGTATCTTGGATACGCTAATCATTGGTCAACTGACAAATTTTTTATAGTATAATAAGATTCATGCGGTGTTCAAGTAACATAAAAACATGATTGAGTTTCCTGAACATTCCTTGACACCCTTTTTGTATTTCTGAATTTTTAGAGTTCTGATAAGATGGAGATATATAAATTATCATATGACTGTGGGTTAATCTCGGTGGTTTTTTAATAATAATATACTAAGATAATGATTGTTAGATAGATAAACTTAAATCTACTAGTATGATTAAACTGTAGATGGAAATGCAGTTAAATAAATATACACATTTACTCAAAATATATAATTATGGAAATGTTAAAAAATAAAGCGTATATTTTATTGGGCAAAATATCTCACAAATTTCATGAGACCCATCGTTATGAGAACGGTTTTATAAGCTTTAACGAATAGATCTTATAGGATAATATTAATGATTTAACGTACAACATCTTGTAATTTTGTTTATTATTTTTTGATAACATGCTTCTATAATTATTATATTGTTTATAGCAAAAAATTAGATACAATTTAAGATTTGGTAACCGTACTTTTAAATATTACACCACCTGCATCATTAATCCAAATAAAAATTAGCATGTCCGAGTGTAGTGATATTTAATACAAATTTATTTACCGAAGCTTTGGCGTATTTATCGAATTTTCATTTTTAATTTAAAATTGGCATTTATTATGATATTTGTAATTAATCACAAGAACAAGAAAAAAAAATTGTTTAATATATATTAGGAGGAATTATGACGACCACATAATCATTTGAACATTAATGAGGAATAACAAAAATTTTTATGGATTTTATGAAATTTAATAATTTCCATTGGATTTAAATAAAGCAACAAATCATGTAAAAACTAAAAACTAGTTATATTAGAAGCTTTCAATGATTTTATATAAACTGACTATCTCAATTTGTATTTTCACAACTTTCTATTCAGAACAATTTTTAATTTTTTATTTGTGCGACAATAATAATAAATTTATTTATCTTTATTATACAATTGAGTGACGGATGATCAATTCATTCAATTTTTAAAAAGAAATTCATTTGAATATTACATGACGATATTAGGATGTTACGCAGTCTTAATATTTTAAATATATTTGTATTTTCTAAGATTCAAAGGTACCTCCTTTGATATTTGCTTTACTTGATTTATTAGACAATAAATTAAAGCGGATATTATTTTGAATGATGTCTTATTTAATGTTGTACTACTGAAAAGCATGGTTTCTAAGAACGTTATTTGTTTTACCGGAAATTTCCGTGCTCGCTTGCATAGCACCGAAAAAACAAATTCAAAACATTTTACATATGCGTAGTTATTGTCCAAAGGATAAGACGAAGTACCGATGCTAATTTCGGAACAATTAAATAATTACGTATATGAAATAAAATTGGATCATTTATTACAAAAATAACGTATTAAAATTTACGATCATTGAGGTATTTATTCTCTTTAATTTTCATTTATTAAAATGATTATATTTCGTAACAACACCAGATCAATTAAAATATGGTTACATTTCTTAATACTCGCATTATAAGGCATTGATTTCAATAGCAACAATAAATTGGATAATTTGGTTTGTTATAGTAAAATGAATGATTAATTTAACTTTTGACAGTCTGGTTGTTAGAATTATTCAACTTATCATTTTATAAAAATTTTTTATTCGTTGTATATATATTACTTTAGATCAATAAGTTTATTAAATTGAAATTTTCAGGATAATATACTATTGACCTTTCACATAATAATATACATAATATACATAACTACAATCTTACTATGATAAGCTGCTTCATGTAGAAACGAATGCTATACACAAGAATACAAACTGCTATGCATATGTGTATTTATGATCGGGAAATCCGTTTCAATACGATTTATTGCGGTGGATTGGTTTACCCATTCAGGAAAAATTGTATGAAATAAACAAAATGGTAAATTTTGGTAATTTTTTTTGTATTTTATTTAGTGCGACCTTACGTGCGAGTCGGGGAGTGAGACTTGAAGAAAACGATATAAATAATAACAAAATGAATCCAATCGCTACTAAACCATTACTAATAAGTAACGGAAAGACCACAATCAATGCTCTATATATTTGATTTTTAATTTAAAATTATAATATAACCGAATTATCCGATCAATTCATAAATTATTTTATTTTTCAAAAAACATTTTTTTCTTTGACAAACACAGAAAAGATCGAAAGGGAAAAAAAGAAAAAATATTTCTTTGCATCTCCAACAAATATAAATACTACTATTTCTAATTAGATTTTTCACTCTCCCTATAAAAATGAAATGTTTTATATTTTGTGCTCATGTGTAAAAAAGTCTAAAAAAGCACCATTTTGTCTGATTTATGTCTTATAAAAAAACCAAAAATTAAAACAAATGGTGCTTTTTTAGACATTTATTACACATAAGCACAAATATAAAACAAGCTTAACTCATTTCGTTTTTATAGGGCCTGGGTAGGACCCATATATATATTTAGATGTCAGGAGATAATTATATAATAAGTGTACGCAGAGGTTTTTTTTAATAAGGTTAGTACACAAAATTAACGCCTACCATTAAATATTTGGAAAAAATAAGCAAACTAAACCCCTGACTTTTTATTATAATATGCATTATTGTAAAAAAAAAAAGAAAAATATCACAATTGTACCGTATTGTTTCAATTATATCTTTCAGCCAATTATACTATTGAAATCATTTTATAGCGTAAAAAAAAAAGAAAAAAAAAATATTACAATTGTACATATTGTTTCAATTATATATTTCGGCCAATTATACTATTTAAATCATTTCATAGCCGTGTATATAAATATATATACCGTATACTACCGACTCTTTTCTTTCGGGTTATTTCACCGACAATCATTTCACCGACAATTATCTCACCAACAGACGTTTACCTTCACCAACAGTTTTGAAATCCTACTCACCCTAACCTTATCCTACCCTAATCTGCGTCTCAATAATAAATGGTCAAAGTAGTATTCCCATTTACATATATAATAGCTACAAAAGAACAGTCGTATCAAATGTGTCGATGGATCAATAGATGTAATAGTCATAGAGAGCACACTGCCCTCCAGTAAACAGCGGTGGAGAAGTATTATACATGTAAGATTATTTATTTTATGATCACTCTCGGCATTGTGGTGAGTCTTAATTTCAATCTTTATTGCGAATGTTAATAGCCTTAGTGAAACAAATGGTTTTAACAATTAATTTTACGTACTTATCCAGGAATTTTCTTCATTATTAAAATTGTAGAGAGTGTTATATTAACGCAATTTCTACTTATATTACAATTACAAAAGTAATATTAATTTGGACAATATTCCTGACATACTCTTCGTCCCTTCGTGCTTACTATATGGTGTACCCAAATTGAAAAGAGAATTTTTATCACAATTCAAGTCGGCAATCTCCTACTGGTAAATTTTTAACTATTATGTAATTAGAAGAAAAACGAGATGTAGAATTTTAACTTTACATTAAAATATGGAATATATTAATAATAAGATATACGATCATATAACTAGTCAAGCGAAATTTGGTATTGAATTACATTAATAAAAATATTAATCATGATTGACAAAAATATCTTACTTTTCGATTCTTGTTAATAAGCAGAATTCTAATGTCCATTAACTTTTTAATACTAATTTAAAAAAATTAGGTTCAAAACGTTCAGGCTATATGACACTAGCAACTAATAAATAGTAAGCATTTTCAAGCATGCATATTAACAGGTTTCAAATTTAATATAAATGGAATCTCCTCTAGAACTTTCTTCCATACTCATTGGACCTGCCTATAGCTTGGTAAATATACGGTCAGATGATCTCCGATAATTGGACTCTCCAGAAAGAAAACAGCAAGAGATGCATTATTATTTGATATTCCAGGAAGTATTACGGAACAGCGACTTTGAAACCAGGCAAAGGACACGAACTTTTTACGAATACGAGGTGAAAAGTTTCAAAATAATTAGACAGTTAAGGGATAGCGCAAGCTTATTGGATATTTAAATTCAAATCGTAGTAGCAGGAACAATCTTTCGACACGAATTCTGGGCATAATGCTACTTTACCTGTTCCTTGGTGGGAAGTAGTAGTAGGTGCGTTAAGAGACGGTTTGCGTGGTAATGAGTTGCTTACTATTGGGTTGTAATTTCATTTTTTAATATTACACTTGATAGCTTTATTGTAAATGTAATTGTTGGTTTATGCGTCTTTTTTCAATTAAAAAAAAAAAGTTTCTCGATTATACAGTATATTACTTCGAATATATCATGGAAATTTTTTGTAAGAATGTCATTCGATTTGGCTATTTTTCCTCTCAATGGATCGCTCTTTTCGTGCGTAATTTAACATATACATTCAGTTGTACTGATATGCTTTATTGTAAAATATTAAATATATATGCATTACATGAAATTAATATTAATATTTATTGTTTTGTTTTATAATTCTAATAAATGAGAGATTAAATAAAAAGTATTTAATTCAAAATTGATTTGATTATTAATGCTTTACTATCATCCACCTTAAAAATATGTTCTAGTATTAATAATATACCAGACCTCATTCTTTAATCAACTCCATACCAAATTCTCTAGCAACTTTAAAATATTCTTGATTAACGTCATCACACTTTCCAATAATTTCTAAATACTTTAATTTACTATTACTATTTATACACTCTTGAAAAAAACATTTCAATTCATTACTACTAAAAACTAAATAATCCATCTCTTTAAATTGAATTTTTCTTAAATTTTTTGGTATAAATTTACCTAAATTTCTAAAAATATTTTCCCATGATCCATGATCTGATAATATTGTACTAAAATAAATTAATTTAGTACAAGATTTAAATATAAGAATTAATTCATCAGGAAAAATTTTAGGAAGTTCTAAATGAATTAATAAATGAGAATAAAATGGAATTTGTTGAAATACTTGATTATGTTCTCTTTTATAATGTAATACTAATTTAGTTAAAGTTTTTGAAGAAGATTGAATTAATTGAACCAAAAAACCTTCAGAAATAGTTGGAATATAATACGCCACAAATTCAAATACTTCAAGCCTTGTTAAATTTTTTGCCCAAGAATTTAAATTATCATAAATCTCTCTACACTTATATAATTTTAATACTCTTATATTTTTAAGTAAACATAATGAATTCAACGCCTTTTCATTTATTTTATTAAAAGGTATATACTTAAATTCCAATATTTTCAAAGTTTCACTTTGTGTTGATAATGAATTAAAAACTATATTATAATTATTATCAATATTATCATCACCAAAAAGTCTATTAATAGCGTATACCACTGAATCACGTTTATTTTCTGATAATATAATATGTTGTAACATTTTTTGTAATGAAATAAATCTTGATAAAGAATTTGCTTTTTCAATAGAATTAATTTGTTCGTTATAAAGTAAATTCAATCTACAACTATAATTTGATAAAGCCAAATAAAGGTCATTTGGTGGTGATCTAACCTCTTCATTTCTACCAACATAATTATTTATATAATATAATTCTTTTAAATCACGCAATTTATTTTTTCCATTAAAATCATTAAAAGTTAATAATTCAATTATACTATTAAAAAATTCATTATTTTGTATAGTAAAAGGAAAATCCAATGTTGTTAAATTATTACAATTTTTACATAAGAATTTTAAAAAATGATTAATAATAGGAATTGATATTTTTGAAAATTGATTTTCTGTTATATTATTATTTGAAATATAAGGGGGAAACCAAATCTTTTGATAACGAAATAATTTATAAGTATTTGATAATATTTTATCAAAAATTAATCCACGAATAAATTTAACATAATTAAAAGTTGTTAAATTAATAGTTTCTTCATTAAAATCAAATAGATTAGATAATTTACTTGAAGAATTTGATAATATAATTTGTTCAATATCTGATTTAGGAATACAACTTATTAATGTACGAATTAATTTAAAATATGATAAATATGTTTCATTATGAAAATAAATGTTTGGATAAGCAAAATGACGAAAATGATGAAATGGATAAGCATATAAGAAAGGTGTTGATGTTCTACACCAATGTCTTGATACTAACGTACAAGAATGTAAATCTTTAGTTGACGTGTAAGTGTAAGCATCTCCGGATGAATTTTTATCAAGAAGGTTTAAGAAAATCTTTTCTAAACATTCTGAAAGTAAAAATGATGCAAACATAACCAGTTTTTTATTTTAATTTATTTTATAAAAAATTAAAATCGAAAATGATAGAAAGAGAGAGAGAAAAAAAAAATCATTTAAATGTTCATAAGCCAGTTTTGAGAAACGTTGCAAAATAAAAATGCTATAACCGTAAAATGTTAATTTTTGCAGTCGATCATTGGGCGTATTCACAAATTTGGTATAGTTAATTTTAAGGTAAGTTTGTCATATGACATATACATTATTTATTTTTTTTCCTCGTCAAATTGATCTGCGTTTTTTTTTTATTCAAGATAAAGGTATGAAATGAAATTTTATTTGATAAAAGATTGAATGAATCGAATTACAATTATCAATAATGAGATATGGAAGAACTTTTTTGATAGAAATCAAAAGTTATAGTATGTTTAGTATATTTTTAGAAAATAATTTAAAAATCTATAAAGGTAACATTTATAATAGATCGTTTTTATATTTCCGGTTTGGTTCCGTGTTTTTCCCGTAGATATCATATATCCCGGAAAAAATCCTGTTACATGTTGTCTGGGTCACACAGTCACGTGTTTGATCACGATGTAAGAGTGATTTAATTATTAAATTTTATAAAAAAGGTTATTGTTCTCGTTTTTAAATATTCAAAAACGGAAACACGTTTGATAATGTTTATTTACGCAAATACAATTCAATCGATTGAATTATCTTGTAACTCAAAAAGTACAGTAGTATTTATTGATTATAGTACGTTTTAAGCTAAATTGAATCGGATTTGCTATCGACGCCCGTTACAACACGAACCCGACGCTCACAATCCCGGGTTCCTGACCCGAAAATTCAAAATCTCGAAACCACATTTTATTCCCGACATTAATTATCCCGATACTCATTATCCTTTTTAATGTCAAGTGCAGATTGATTCTTAATTTAATTTTTACAATAAAACTCTCAATATTTGTAAAAAAGAATTATACATCAATAATAATACTTGTAAAAATATTAATTTTTAAAATAAAAATTAATTTTTGCGAAGCATTTTACATATAATAATATAATAAAAAAAAGGTTTTGTTTTTTATCTCACCCACGAAATATCGCATCCCCATATAAAGCCTTTTGATATACTAAATAAAATTGTAAAGAAGACAAAAATACGCATACTATATCAGATATGGGTTTTAAAAGTGTCACAATAGGTACATAAAGGTACATAAAGGTTTGCGCCAAAAATGTAAAAAAAATCAAAAAAATAATTGAGAATTAGGAAATTTGGCAAAGATCGGCGAATTATTAAAAATTGCCAAAAAGGGAGGGGAGCGCATATGCGAAAAAGTATTAAAAAATATTTAATTTTTGTGTTGTATTATCTGTTATTAAATATAAAAGAATAAATATGTATCTCGCACCCCTGTATGATGCTTAAATTTCGCATTTTATAACAAAATTGGTAAAATAATATACAAACTTTTTTAAAAAATTGTACAGTATGTGTATTTTTGCCTGCTCTGTAAGTTTACTTAAAGCACTAAAGATGGTCATTTTTTACTTTATATTTGACAAAATTATTTTTCCGTTAAGTCACATGACGTATGACGTATTTAATTCTGGCCAGAATTAAATGATCACATAAAAAATATCCTTTTTTGGAATAAAAGCGAGATTTAAGCAGGGCTGGATTTAAATTTATCCATTAAAGATTAATAAAAAACATTATTTTAAAATAAAAACATTTTCTTTTTGCGAAATATTATAAAAAATTATTAAATATTAACAAAAAATATTAATTTTTTTAAATATTAATAAAATTATTACAAAGTATTAAAAAGTAATAATATAAAATTAAATAATGTATGTAAATGTCGTGATAATAATGAACGTAATGTAGTTTCGAGATTTTTTTCGGGATTGTGAACGTCGAGTTTAACGGGATTCTGATCGTCGAACGGCTCTCAATTGAATCACATTTATACATGACAAAGTAAGAACGTAGCGGTTGAGCTTCCGTAAATCGATTACTCTTTGAATTGATATAAAAAATGGGCAAAATTAATTTACTTTTCGCATAAAGACTTGATGCTTCTACGGCCATCACAATCATTATTGTGAATAGATAATATAAAATGTCGATCAATAAATTACGGGATTAATTTTCTAACTCTCAAATTCATATATTAAAAAATCGATTTTTTCTTGATCGTTCTATGATCTTTCCGCAATAATAAGCTTTTAATAATACTGTATATAATCGTTTTACAATGTCGTCATAAATAATTACGAACAAAGAACTTCAAAGAATTAATTTAAGTAACATGAGAACTAGGAGGAAACGTCAAAAACTTTGTTCAGACTGTAAGGAAACGAACGACTGCAATAAAATAGAAGTCCTCCCATAAAACAGAATAATTTTCTATCTTCAATGCAAAATTCACTTTAAGCAACGTCTCGATAAGACTTTACACGTGATGCTGAGAATTTTTTTGTGTTTAAAAGTCAGTAAATATATAACGCAACAATTTTATAAAAAAAATAAAAATAAATGTAATTTATTAAAAAATCTTTACACTTTTTTTCGCTTTTTCCACCTCTACTCTATCGAGTTAATAGTAAAATTCGGTAAAATTAATAATACCCAAGCTTTTAAGATTATTTACAACTGCGCATTTACAATCCTTCGTCTAAAAATTCGTATAACGATCGACTCAAAAAAAAAATGTACGGGCGAATAATTATATACAATTACATAAAAAAATCCATGCTTTTTCTTTTGATTAATTGCACACCAAATTCTCTAGCAACATCATAATACGCTTGACTAATTTCTGTTCTGCCCAACTTTCCAAAAATTTCCAAGAGTTTTAATTCGCTACCATTATTTACACATTCTTCAAAAAAAAGTTTCAAATCATTACTATTAAATAACAAATTATTCATAACTCTAAATTGAATTGTTTGTAATTTTTTTGGAATAAATTTACCAAAATTTTTAAAATAATCTCCCCATAAAGAATCTTCATCACATTCCGTTAATATTATACTAAGATATTGTAATTGATCACATGATTTAATTATTGAAATTAATTCACTTGGAAAAATTTTAGGAAGTTCTAAATGAATTAAAGAACGTGAATAAATTGAAATTTGATTAAATAATTGACAATCTTGATTATTTACTCTTCCATAATTTATAATTAATTTAGTTAAAGTATTTGAAGAAGATTGAATAATTTTAATTAAAAATTCTTTTGAAAAGTTCGTATATTCATCTAATACTAATTCGAAAATCTCAAGTTTTGTTAAACTTTCCGCCCAAGGATTTAAATTATCATTTAATTCTTTACATTCATATAATTTTAATTCTCTAATATTTTTAAGAGAACATAAAGATCTTAAAACTTCTTCATTTATTTTAGCAAATGATAAATTTGTAAAATATAATTTTTGTAAACTTTCACATTGAGTTGATAATGAATTAAGAACGATATTATAATTATCATCCAAACTATTTCGTATATAATGGTAACGTTCTGATAAAATAACTTGTCGTAAATTCTTTTGTAAAGAAATAAATCTAGATATTGAATTTGCTTTTTCAATGGAGTTGATTCCTTCATTACAAAGTAAACTTAAATTACAAATATTATTTGAAAGAGCCGAGTAAAGATCTTTTTGATCTTCATATTTACTAATATAATTTAATTTTTTTAGATCGCTCAATTTACTTCTACCATTTCTATCCTTGAACGTTAATAAATCAATGGTACTATTAAAAAATTCATTGTCTTGTATTGTAAATAGAAATTCTAATATTTGCAAATTATTAGAATTTTTACATAAAGATTTTACAAGATAATTCATTATTGGGATTGAAATTTTTGAAAAACGACGTTGCGTCGTATTATTTTTTGGTATATAAGGGGGTAACCATATTTTACGATAATGAAATAATTTAAAAGAATCAGTAAATGTTTCATTAAAAATTAAACCACGAATAAAAGTAATATAATTAAATGTTGATGATGGATAAGTTGATAAAGGAGGTTTTTTATTAGAACGGGAGAATAATTTATGTATATGAGAAAAATTTGAATTTATAATTAATTCAATCTCAGATTTTGGAATACAATTTAATAAAGTACGAATGAGTTGAAAAATTTTTGAAATATGAGAATCAGAATAAATTACATAATGAAATGGGTAAGTATATAAGAATGGTGTTGATATTCTACACCAATGTCTTGATACTAATGTACAAGGGTATAAATATTTAGCCGACATGGTGGCAAAAGTGTCATCATCATCAACAAGGTACAAAAAAACTTTTTCCAGACATTCTGAAAGTAAAATTGAAGCTGCCATGGTTAATTAATTAATTAAATCAAGTAAAAAACAAAAAAAAAAAAAAAAGATTTTCGCTAACAAAAATGTAAACGTTTATTTTTTTGAGTCAATTATTTTTGTTGAACAAATGTTCTTTATAAACTCGTATTTGTTCGGCGATCTTTTCCAAATTTTTTATGCGGCTTTAATGCTGCTTACAAAATTACTCATTGAAACATGTATTTTATGCATACATATAAGCACGGTATATTAAGAAATATATACGTGGTAAAAAGAATTTAAATATTTATAAATTTTCGTTGGGAAAAAAAAAAAAAAAGAATTTTATCAAGGAAGATAATTCATTGGTAAATAAAAAAAAAGACCTTTATTTTCTTGTTTTTTAATTAATTATGCCAAGAAATAAAACAGTTTTGCTTTTTATAATAAATGACACCGGTTTTTTTGTTATTCGTCCACATGTTTGTGGAACGTGACGTATTTAACTATAAAGCAAGTTTGTTAATAATATGATTTGATGGATAATTTCTGCCAAGAAATGAATGAATCGGAGTTGAATGATCCGACTCCGAACGGTCCGAAAATACCCGAGATTTTTTTCATAATATTCATAATGTGGTACATTAAAATGTTACACATTAATACATAAAAGTCCTTTGTTTGTACTAATAATAAAAACTAATGCGACTCACCTGATTGTGAGTTTTTTTACAATTATCCCAAATAAAGGATTCTGGCTAAAAGATGAGGCAAAAAAAATTGAGTATTCTCATTGTAAGATTGAAGTTTAAATACGACAAGTAAAAATCTAAATCTATAAAGAGATTAATAAATAAAACCGTTCACTGTTCATATATTTTATGATCCGATAAATTTTTATCAAAATTAGATTTCTCCCACCCTAAACTTTCCAGGTTAGAATTGGGCCTCTAAAACACGTTTTTACCGTATTGACGCACGTATCAAAATTGATTTTATTTATAGTATTAAAATAAACAAAAAAAAATTTTAATTTTTTCTTTTCTATAAAAATCGAACCAGACGTGAAATTTGTGGCGTCTATTATTGTTGTAACTCGAACCAGCTATGAAATGACTCTATAATATATATATCTATCTATATATTCTATCTATCTATCTATGGTGACTTGAAAGTTTGAATTTTTAATTCTATATCAAATTCTTTAGCAATATCAAAATAATGTTGACCAAAAATAAACTTTCCTTTTATTTCTAAATATTTTAAATTTCCATTATTATTTCTGCAATCTTCAAAGAAACATTTTAATGCCTTGCCACTTAAAATATAAGCGTTAATCTCTTTAAATATAATTTTTTGTAAATTTTTTGGAATAAATTTTCCTAAATTTCTAAAACTCATTTCCCAATCTCCGTCATCTGATAAAATTGTACAAATATAAACTAATTTAATACATGATTCAAATATTTTAATTAATTCATCCGGATAAATTTTGGGAAGGTCTAAATATATTAAAGAATTTGAATAAATTGATATATGTTTATATAATTGTGTGAGTTGTTTTCCTTTTCTTTTATAACTTATAATTAATTTTAATAATGTATTTGAGGATGTTTCAATTAATTGAATTAAAAATTCTTCTGAAACAATTGAATTATAACATTTAACAAATTCGAATACTTCAAGTTTTGATAGATTTTTTGCCCAAGAGATTAAATTATCCTCTATTCCTTTACATTCATATATTTTTAATTCTTTAATATTTTTAAGTAAACATAAAGATCCTAAAGAATTTTCATTAAATGTTAAATATTTAAATTCTAATATCTGTAAACTTTCACATTGTGTAGATAATGAATTAAAAACGGAATTATAATCACGATATCCACGTTCAAATTCACATACGTATTCCGATAATATAATATGTTTCAAATTTTTTTGTAAAGAAATGAATCGACATAATGAATCAACAGATTTGAATCCTTCATTATATAATAAATTTAAATTCCAAATATTATTCGAAAGAACCAGATAAAGATCTTTTTTTTCGTTATCTTTAACTACACTATTTGCATATAATTCTTTTAAATTTCTCAATTTATTTTTTCCAATATAATCCTCACAAATTAATGATTTAATCATATCAAACCCAATTTCATTATTCCTTATTATAAATGGAAGATCTAACACTGTTAAATTATTACAATGTTTTAGAATATATTTTAATAGGTGATTTATTATTGAAATTGATATTTTTGAGAATTTATTTTGTGTCTTAATATTTGAAATATAAGGGGGTAACCATATTTCACGAAAGTAAAATAATAATGTATCAGAAAGTAATGTATCATCAACAACTAAACCACGTATGAAATTAACATAATTAAATGTTGTTGAAATATCAAAAGATGATGTAGATTTTTTATTAGAACGAAAGGAATTGGATAATAATTTTTGTATGTTTGAAGAATCCGTTACTGATATAATTTGTTCAATTTCAGATTTTGGAATACAACCTAATAATGTACGAATCAATTTAAAATAAGATGATTTGTTCGAATTATTCGAATTACGATGATAAAAATAATGAAATGGATAAGAATATAAGAATGGTGTTGAGATTCTACACCAATGTCTTGAAACTAATGTGCAAGAATGTAAGGAATGTATATCTTTGGTTGATTTATGATTACGATTATTATTATCTAAAAGGTTAGAAAAAATCTTTTCTAAACATTCTGAAATTAAGTGTTTCGCAGCCATAATAATAAAGGAAAATTTTTTCTTCTAAGAATGAAGGTACGGATATTTATTATGTATACGCAATGTGGATCTGTACTATTTTGGATTCATCCGATCATCTGAACGTATCATTTGAATGAAATTCCGAATCTTCCGTAACATTTTTCCCAAAACTGGTACGAAAGGATCATGTTGTTACACAAAACCAAGTAAGGGAAAAAAGAAAAAAAGAAATCCGTAATTTTTTTTACCAGAATTTTATAATCATTTTGTCAATGTTGCCCAAAAATCAAAATAAAATAATTTGTCAATATTGCCAATTTGCCAAAAAAAGTAAAAGATACCCGTCTTTCCGGAAGTAATTAACCAAATTAGTTACTGTATATATTATTATAAATTTTTTATCATAATTTTGGATTCATTTTATTTAAGTCATGTGCCTAACAGGTGTCAGATGATAGAGATTTACAAATGATTTTTAATTTAATAACAAAGGATCGAAAAGATAATATTTTTGAAATGTGTCATTTTGTTGAAGAAATTTATGAATAGTTCGTTTACGTTAATATTATTCAAAAAATTTAATAAATATATTATAATTAAATGTAATTACGTAAATGTTAAGAAATCTAATATCGCATTTAATTAATGGAAAAAAAATTATTATAATTCATATATTCTAAATTTATTGTTAAAAATAGTTGTGCTGCTGTTGTGCGTTAAAAAAAGTACATATATATAACCTTTAACTACAGTATGTGGTGAGAGAGTCATCTGAAGCCGTCTTTGTATCTTTGTAAATTTCCTTTCTAATAGTTCATTATTTTTTAATAAATAAAGTTCCACGTGAGCAGTCAGACGACAAACACGACAGGCAATGACTAGTTTTCTTTCATATAACGTGAAATCTAGTATTTGTCTCACAGTTATTTGTCCCATGACCATGATATCATGGTATTCTAAACCATCTAAAATGGTATACATTAAAGACCTGCACGATAAAATGATCGCACATTTTTAAGAATCAAGACTAGTTCACATTTATTTATAAAATACCACGATGGAATAACAATGAAACAAATGATCCTAAAATTAGGATCATAACTAAAATTAAATCTGATATTATTACTTTTACAATAATCTATATAACTAAAAAAAATTTTCTCACCTGATCTCTCCGATCAATACGATATTTCACTTTCGGTCTTAAATAACTAATGACGAATGAACGATTTCTTTGGCCATAATACGAATTAGGTGAATTTAGAAATCGGAGAAAACAAAGTGATTTATAAAAGTACTATTTGCAATTGGACTGCTTCGAATTATTTGGATACATGTCTCGTTTAAAAACCCGTCTATATATTCTGTCTCATCTGATTTCTCGATATTCACGTTCGGTCGATTGGGTTCTTAAAATCAATAACGAATGAACGATTTCTTTGGTAAATTTATAAATCGGAGGAAAGAAATTGATTTATAAAAGTACAATTTACATTGGACTGCTTCGGATTGTTTGGACACGTGTCTCGTTTAAAAACTCGTTTATATATTCTGTCTCTCTGATCGACACGAATATCTACGTTCTTAAATCGTTAATAACGAATGAACGATTTCTTTGGTGAATTTAGAAATCGGAGGAAACAAAGTGATTTATAAAAGTACCATTTACAATTGGACTGCTTCGAATTGTTTGAACACATGTCTCATTTAAAACTCGTTAAAGTTAGAATAATCAAGCACATTATAAAAACAACCATCATTGGTTAGCTTCTTTTTACTTCTTTTATAAACAATGTGAAAATTTGTGTAACAAGTTTAAAAATTTTTTAACATCTTTTAATAAGAATTTTTATAAAAAGCTCAGAAAATCCTTGGTAAATTCCTTGTTTCATCTTAGAAATTCGCATTAATTGTATTAATTTAATTAAACACGATAAAGTAAGATAAACTGTATAATTGAATTTTCCATCTACATTTAATTCATTTTTATTTCAATGTCTCCAAGAAATGAGCAAATACAAAGAAATTATAGTCGAAGAGCACTCCGTACATCACGATTTGTAAATCAAAATCAAAATCAAAATCGTAATTCGCAAATTATTAATTCCAATACTATTGATCGAATTGCTCGAATAACTACACCGCAAATTACAGATAATCTTTTCGCAAATGATTTATTTAACGGGACAAACTTTCATAATGACAGTAATCCTGAATCTTTAATTTTACCCTCTGGATCTTCGGTACATTCGTTTTTTCCTTAATTTTATTTATTATTTTCTTGTATATAACAATAGTATATTATATAATAAGATTCATTGTAAGTTTTTTAAGGTTTAATCTTATTTCATATCAAAAAGTAATAAGATAAGTAATAAAATCCATTTGAAAAATCCATATAATATAAAATTTTATGCGTGACAAAACTTTAATTTCCTGTTTCTCAGAATCTCTAACCCAGAATAACAAGTTTCAAACGCGTTGCTTAATTTCATGTATGCAATGTATGTATTATAAATGTAATTAGCCTTATTTATTTATTTATAAATGTTTATGTTTTATGCTTTATCGTCACGTGACACAAGAGCGTATCATTATTATTGGATGTGATACAATAGCGTTTCATTATTATTGGATTTCAAAATACTGTAGGACAAAGTGCTAGATCGGTTCTAGAATGGTTCTCGAATCGGGTCCTTATAAAATAGGATAGGACCGAGTCCAACACACGATTTAAATAAGACCTGTTACAGTGCAAAGTCTAATAATGCTAGTCTGAATATCAAAAAAAAATAAAATAATAAAATATTCCTTTATTAGAAGTAATTTAAAGTAAATAATTAATGAGCTCCGTGATTTTCAGTCTTCGCATTTATTAATACAGATACGGTTAAGGTCCCCAGATCTGCATTTGCTATTGATCATTTAAAAAATACCTTAATTTAGTAGAATAAATTATTCATTGAATATACTTTATTTTTTTCCATTTAAGGGATGAAATAAATACATTTAATAAAATTTAGAATATTATAGCATCTAGTTATGGTAAAAAAAGGTTCCGAAATATCTTACGTAAAAGATTATGTAAGCTTATTTAAACTTTTGATATTTTTTGTTTTGAAGTCTTTTCAATGATTTCTCATCATTTTAAATGAAAAATATAAAGTTTTTTATTTGCAATTTTCAATCAGTCGTACAATACAAGTTTGTAAAAAACACTATTATCCTTCAAATTTGGTTGAAAAGTTATGGAATTAGATATGTCCGCAAAAGTTGTATCATTCATCAATATAATTATAAATTTCGCGAATGCTTTTTTACTCTTTTACTTTATATTATTGACTAAGGATTTCTCGACAAATCGTAAATAATTCTTTTTTTTTCATTATCCCCTTATTCACTTTATTCTTTTATGTCACATAATCCACATGATTTACACGAGAATTTGTCGTATGATCTTTGGTTATATTATGACAGGAGGATCTCCTTTGGGCGCTTCATTCCCCACTAAGAAGAGGAGGGTACATTAGTTCAACGTATTCAGACATAGTTCCTTCTATAATTTTTGGTCTAATACCCTCGCAAATATTTAAAGAAAGATCAAAGCCATGAGGAATATTATGAATGCTGATGCGATACGAATGTTCATAAGATTTTTTTATGAAGAGTATGGATTCTTAACTTGTATGTATTAGTTCACGGTGAGGATCAACTTGTTCGTACATCTTTTATTCGCGTTGCCCTGAACTAGGGATCGGAAAAGATTCGATTAAAATCGAAACTATCGAAAATCGATAAGAATCTATTTTAAATCGAATTTCGAATAAAAATCGAATCTACTTATTGTGGCGCAGTTTCGTTAATTTGACCGTAAATTATTATTTGTTCATAATAGTTAATTTTGGCCAAATTCATAATTCCGCCCGCGAATCACGTGACGGAACACAAACTTCCTAAAAAGGAAATTTTATCTCCCAATAAAATTCAAGTTGCTATCGCACAAGGTTGTACAAATTTCCAAAAAAGGAAAATTGTTCGTCGATCACTGTAATTTTGTAATCACGTGATATGTGTTTAAACACACCTATTATAAATAAATAGTATAAAAAAAAATCGGTATTTGCGAAACGATTAATCGCGATTAATCGATTTTAGAATCGATTCTAATAATGGGAATCGATTCCAATCCCTACCCTGAACGTGGACTATTAAAAGAATCTAGTGTTAGCTAGTACAAATATATATTTTTCGAAAAAACCTGTCTGTACTAGAGCTCCGCACGGGTCGGGTCAGGTCAGGTTACCTGGTTAACCCGAACCGAAATTTTTTTTCAGGTCAGGTCGGGTCGGGTAAACCGTTCTGACCCGACCTGACCCATTTGACCCGAAAGTATTCGGGTCACTTCGGGTAACTCAGGTTACCCAAAGTTTTATTATTAAATATTTCAATTAAAAAAACGTTTTGTAACATTTTTTTTTTATTAATTATACAAAAAACGTCAGGTTCGACTTTTTTAATTAAAAAAAAAAAGATTTTTTAATTTTTATTGAAAAAACGTCGGGTCCCGGCATTTTACTTTTGTTTTTATATATAAAAACGCCGAAACTATTTGTTTCGGCATTTTTTTTTCGATCTTAGATGCAAAAACGCCAGAATCATTAGTTCCGGCGTTTTTCATTTTGATTTTACATGTAAAAACGCCGAAACTATTAGTTTCGGCGTTTTTTTTTTCAATTTTACATGTAAAAACGCCGGAATCATTAGTTCCGGCGTTTTTCCTTTTGATTTTACATGTAAAAACTCCGGAACTATTAGTTTCGGTGTTTTTAATTTATTTGACCCAAATATATGTTGGGTCAACGGGTCAGGTCGGGTACCGACTAGCACTGACCCGACCCGTGTCAGGTCATGAATTTGATGACCTGACCTGAATATTTCGGGTCAACCCGTCGGGTCACCCGATCTGTCAGGTCAGGTTGCGGAGCTCTAGTCTGTACACAGATGGTTCAACAAACAGTATGATAATATATTAATGAGTTATTATATGATTTATATTATTGAATTAATAATAAAATGAATTTTATGGAAGCGTTTATTTGATTTAAAACTCTAAATTAAACAATGAAAATTTCAACGCGCCATTTAATTTAAATAATCTTTGATGTAAATTATTGATATTATAATTTTTAGGTCAATGATACGAGTCTACATCTCTGTTCATACATTATTATTCGATATACTAAGATACAGTAATCGACAAAGTCTTTATTAAAAGAGCCAATCTGGCAGAGTTAATATAAATAATAAAGTTAAACTGAAATACTGAATTGAAAGATCATCAAGCGGAAATAATTAACGAATACCGATATTATAAATTTTTCTGTTGTAATTTAACTTATTTCCTTCTAAACTCTTTTTATATTCGTATTAGGCAAAGAAATAAAATTATTCGTTTCTCATGAAAAAAAATTGCTAAATTTGACCCGGCCGCCCGGAAAAAAATTTATTTTTCAATAAAAATTTAGCCGATTCCTAGAAGTTGATTGGTTGATTTAATAAATTTTTTGTTGGTGGAAAAAAAAATTATTTTTTTATGATTATGATTGGTCAAAACTAAAATCACATGACTAAATAAAATAAATTTTTTTATCTTTTTTTAACATTTACATGACCCGCCCGGTTATGAGAAACGAATAATTTTATTTACTTGGCCTAATACAGAAGAAATAAAATTAACCTTAATAAAAAACATTTTTACCTTTAAATGATCTCTTGACTCAAATTCGCAATTTTCTAAAAATCGGAAACAATAACCAGAATGATTTTGGTAATCAATCATTTTTGACGTCCTAGAAAGCTTAATGACCTATTTTCTTCTCACTTATAATCGGGAAATTTCTTAATTCTTAAGATTTGATGTTGAACATTTGACTCCCAACATTTGATAATGCTAAATGTAATGCCACTTTAAATAATTTATAGGTTAAAATTTTAGTACAAATTGGTTTTTTTTTAAGTTAAAGATTTTTTATGAAAAAAAAAAAAATCACTTATGCTTTTAAAATCCATCTACATCTACAGAACTGTTCTAGAAGAAAAAATTGATTCATTTTTTTTTTGTGATACAAGTCACTGTATTCCTAAATTAGCTGGTAACAATAACCAACAATAACCACAAAGAACTACGTTAGATTTTTTAAAAAATCTTTCATTTGTTTTGAAATCCCATAATTCTAAAATTTTCAATGTATATTTATTAAACAATATTATCGGCTTGACGGGACCGTTCATGAAATTTTTATAATAAACTTCCGTTACTATCCAATAATTTTATTATTATGCTAATACATAGATAACAATTATGTAAAATTTGCATGAACTTATAATATTTAATAATCAGTTTTTCTTCCCAATGGGAAAGTTTTTTTAATTTTTAGCGGGCTGGGTGTGAAAAATGAGGATAACCAAAATTGACTATCTAAATATTTTAATAAATTATCAAGTTACTTTATTTATCTTTGGATTAAAATTTTAAGACATAAAATTTTCTAAATCATTTACAATTTGAACTTATTTATACCCACAGTTCTAAAGTCAGAAACAATAACGTGACGCACTTAAGCATCGTGACACGTTATGATTAATGATATAACATGCCACGTTAACTTTAGCGTCAGTTTCTTTGTTGTAGAGTTTCTCATTTCCTTCTGCTCATCCCGAATTGGTGCAATGTTCATTTTTTTTTTAATTAGACTAAAAAAAAGTAAATAGAGTTAGCCAGCTAAGTGAGAGTAACATAGGAGCTTCACAGTCTCCCCAAAAGTGCGGCACCTAGTAGTCTCATGATTCATCAAGTGATCTGACAAAGACACAGCAATAGGTCATTGCTTCACACCACCAACTTCTCTCCTAGACATCATTAAAATAGACGTGAGGCAGTATCCATCATAGATTTATAGACCTGCCAGCTCAATAGAGTTGCCGTAACTCCCCTTATCATTGCATCCACTTGTTCGATGATTTCACTTGAGTAGGTTAGTCTAGTCTAATGTTTCTCACCTTTTTATTCTTCATCTTTTTTGCGCCTATTACGTCATCTTATGTTAGATTTTCACGTATTGTATGTAAAATATTTTATTTTTACTTTACTATATCGGATCTTTATATTTATACAATATCATCGGAATTTTAATGTTAAATAAGTCATTCTTTTGTGGTAAACTTACGCCATTTTATACTCCCACCATATAAAAAACAAATTTATAAAAGGCGCAGTAAAAATCGCGTTACGTTTATTTAGACCATAATCACCATATGATAATTGAGCCACCGCCACCTTTCATGATATAATGCTTGTCTACTTTCTTACAATTTCATAATTTCATTAACATAAAACATTTAATATTAACCAGTTATACGTTTATAACGTGTCCTTACTAATAAATAGATAATTTCATTCTATGCCTGAAAATCATGGTTAAGAAAATTTCATCTTGAAATAAAAGATATTGTAGCGACAAAAATTTAAAAATAAATTTTTTTTTTTTTAATAAAATCAAAGTACCACGTTTATTGTGTGGGACCTTATCCTGCTACTATTCAACCATTTTCAAAAGAAGACTTAAAGAATGAGGTAAGAGACCTGTTCCTTACTGATAACACATGCGCCGAATCATCACAATTTAACGGTTAAATTATAATGAGGGATGCCGCTAAATCTTCTCTTATATGGCAGGACCAAGACAAGGATCATCACACGCATACTTAATGGAGGTTGGAGGAAGTATGTTAAGTGCGGTTCCTAATAAGGGTGCACGTTAAATTTCTTAATTCCTATTCGTTTTCTTGAATCTTAATGACGACTACTGTTACCTTTTTACTTATTGATCGTTACGTGTTACTCATACATCGGTGCTCTTTGATTTTATAGGTATTTTTCCCGATAATCGGTAGATCCCGAGTTGATAAGTAATAAATTTTATAATTTTATCTATTGCTTTAAAGCGCACACCTTCAGCATTTTTAGTAAAAGATCTATAGTACATTAATAAAATAGCTGTGACTTTTTTGTAAAGCAAAATATATATATATATATACAATAAATAATACTGTAATACAGTTTTTTTTAAAAAAAATACTACTTGTGTCTAGTTAGTAAAAATATTTAATGTAAAGTTTTCTATTTGATTTGATATGCTGTTTGCAGAAATCTTTTAATCATATCAAGATTCTTTTGCCCATCTTAAAATATTACAAAATATACATTTTTTACTTGAGAATATATAAAGCTGAACTCTGTTTGTCCCGTCACTTAGTCTGTACATTATTAATAAATTTTCTTTTTTGATATTATTTTAGATTCATTTATTACCAAATCAGAATTATTATATACTTCGGATAATTTGTTGAGTTGATGCTGCTTTTTTTATAAATAATTAATTCTCCAATTAACGCCTAGCGTGAAATTAAATCAAGGAACTCCGGATGATAATAACGGCAAAGAGAAAAGTATCAGGTTTAATTCTTCATATATAACTCAATTTCTTATCAGTAGTTGACAGCTTTCTGAGGCATATCACGAATTGATATTAATCTTCGGAAGTAAAGCATCGTTCAACTATCACTGTAGGAGGAAAAACCTAACGCCTTACCAGTAAGAGAAAATAGAAGAAAAACACTATAATCCAAGTTTTTTTAAGCAGGCTTTGGTTCACGTCTTTGGAGATTAGGTTCTTGGGGATGAAAAAGTAGTTCACTTAATTTTTCTCACCAGTACAAAAATTTATCACAATTAAAGATAGGAGGCCACTAAAGTACCCAGGGAGTTTCAAGGTCAGAAATATCATATATCGCACATAAGACCTGTGAAGAAACTCTGGAACACAATACAGATAATTATCATTTTGTCAATTCACTGAAAATCTTAAGTGTGGGTAAAATCGTACGTAATTTGAGAAAGGGCAAATGTTTTAGAGGCAAATGTTTTTAATTATTGATCCTATTTATATGTTTGTTTAACATTTTAACCAATAAATTGTTTTGTTCTTTTTAGCATTGAGCCATATGATGTATTTTAGTAATCATATATATGATAGTTTTTTAAATCGGACTTAGGTTTAGTTGAAATTTAAATTAGTCTGGCGTTTTGATGTTTATATATGTGTACGTGGATGTATATCTCTTATTAAAGATTCAAGGTAACGGATTTTCTTGTATTGTATTGAAATTCAAACAATTCGTAAACCCTATTTAAACGCGCTTGGCTTTTTAATTGAAATTTATTTTTTTATTTACTACCGTATGTCACAATAAACTTTCTTCTCTAAGATTAACCGCAGAGATATTATTACATTTTGATAACGAACATCACAACAACAAATGCAACGTCTTTCAGTCATTATGGACACGCCGGTAAATGATTGAAAAGAAAACTTTTAACAAAAGAGGTTTAAAATTATTAAAATTACTTTTGGATTTCAAGTAAACCGACAACTGAAATCTGCAATATGTTTTTTAAACGTACGTTAAATATACGAGTTGTCTCGCTGAAAATATATCATTCTTAACTACCGATACGGAAACGGTTAATACGTTCGATAATTGGTCTAATTATATCTTCCATGAACCAATTTTTGAGGTCTACTGCCTTGTCGTACAATTTTTGCCAGAATGACCTTTCTGGTACTGTTGGATTCGCTATTGGTTAAGTGATATTTAAGATAACTTAAAAATTTTTCTTGTAGTAAAAGTAAAGTTTTTTCTTAACTCACTTATCCAGAAATTTATTACTTCATCACGAGCTGAATCGTATCCATTCTGATTTATTAATCCGTCATCAAGGCATCTTCTAAGTTCAGTGAGTCTTTGGTGAAGGTCGCCCATTCCGTATTTATAATCCGAGTAATTTTTGTCATTATTTATGGGAAAAAACATTTTTTTTATACGAGTAATAGTTGAAATTGGCGTAAATGATGTAATCATGATGTAAATCATTTCTCATAGTAAAAAAAATGGTGTGCCTGTAAATTTCTATAGTTGGTTAGCTTAAATATACTCGAACTTGACCCGCGATAGTTTGACTCGAATAACCCGGGTCATATTGCATTTAACTGTTAATATAAAATTTAAAAGTATAAAATATTCAGGTTAAAGGTATGACTCGACTCGACGGGTTGGGTCGATGCGGGTCACGGGTCACTTAAATCATGCGGCCCAACCTTTAAAACTATTAATTATCGTAATGGCAAATGCATTTCTGTACTTAACTAACGAGTTACAGTAATAAAACAAAAACTAACAATAACATTATTGAAATTGTTTTAACTTACAAAATTACTATCTACAGTAGACGTGTTTTTATTACAGGAGTTCAGGAGTTTGTTGCATAATACTGGTTTGCTATATTGTTTTTTTTATAAAAACTCATAACTTTACGTAATACAGTAATTTATACTGTATATCGCATTTTTTTAATCTTATCTTTTTTCGTTACAATGTAAATAAAAAAGTTTTATTAATTTGATGGTAGTTTGGTAGTTAAAAAGATTCATGTCATTAGATCTAAATACATTAGAAAATTAGCATAAAATCTTAAGTCCCTAATAATATTATAGTATTAGTTCGATCGTGTTCTTTACTAAATGTTATATAATGTAGATCTTTTCCTTTTTTGTAATTTTCCTTATAGTTGACCGTTAAAAAAAAAAAAAAAAAATACATTAGAAAATTAGAATCGATCGATGTGATAAATGTGACTCACGATCGATACCCCTAAATAGGACTTTCGATATTAAACTTTTTTTTTACATTTTTTTACATTTTTATTTACTTTTTTTAAGATTTTTACATAATTATAATTTTATCTTACATTTACTATAAACTCTATCAGAAGTAGGATCTTGTAATATTATAACTAAAAGGTAAAAAAAATAACAAATCTTGTAATTGATTAACGAGATGATATTTTAGATTCTGTAGTGATATTACGCAATTTATAAAAATTTTTTTAATTGATGGTAGTTTGGTAGTTAAAAAGAGTTTAGGAATCGATCGATGTGATAAATCACTTTCTTTTTACATTTTTTTTTTACATTTTTTTTTATCAAGATTCAAGATTTTATGAGTCAATATAAATCTTGATCTTGTAAATTTTTGCATCGTAGTTCCCATATCGTCTACTGTGTAAAAGGTTTTTTAAAAAAGTATAAATATACCCTAAACTCCCTCAAATTTCTCAATACTTCAAATAAACATATTTATATAACTCACTCACTCACTCAGAGAAATTCATTTTTCATTTTTTCAAAATAAACATACTAGGCTAACCCTCCTCCGGGAAAGCCAGTTTCTCATATATACTCCCTTTCAACTTTTTTTATCTGTAAGCCTGTATCATTAAAACTATGCAAGCAGGGAGCGCATGCTTACCTTAATATAGGTCTACCATAAATCTTAATTCGTAAATACAATCCACACCGTATTACATTCTTTAGAAAATTTGAGATTATATCTTTATTTTCAACCTTTGTAGCATCGACCTTAAATGTTGAGTTTGAGTATTGTTTTGTATTGCTTTGTGTTTTTTCATTGCCAACCAAGAAAGAATTGTCATGAGTCTTTCCTGGAAATAAAAAAAATAAAAAAGAAAAATTTCATATTAAATATATTTTTCCATAAAAAAATAAAATGTATTTTTTTCTAATATCGAAAAACAAAAGAAGACCTAAGAATCTATCTGGTAAAAGATATTCTTGGTTTATTAGTTTCATCTGACGAGTTACTTATCGAAGAGAGAGTTCGTAAAAAGGAAAAATTTCATATTGAATATATTTTTCCGTAAAGTACGAGTTTAATTTCTCTGAGTTCGTATTAATTTGAAGTTTTTGATAAAAAATGAAAAATGAAGTATTGAGAGAATATATTTTTCCATAAAAGTACGGAATATATTCCTCTGAGTGAGTTCGTTATATGAATATTATGCACCTGGCTCATATGCATGGTGTCATATTGTCAGCGGTATCTCAAAGGACCATTACAGTAGGGGTTAAAAAAAGTGATAAAAATTATTTACCAAGCAAGCAAGATGAACATTTTTTATTTCGCATCGCAAATAATCAATAATGTGGACAATATATTGGCAGATAAACGTAGATTCTGATATTGTACTATCTTTCTTTCGAATTGATCATCATCCCAAATGTTATCGTTTCTTTTTGTATCGTAAAAAAGAACAAACATTGAATTAGAAATGTAAAAATACTATTGTAGTAGAACTAATTGATTGCACGTACAATTTGTTAATAAAAGTACTAATTGATGCAAATTTTATTGCGTCTCTGTCCAACGGAATTCTAACGAACTGGTTGGTTAAATGTTTTTTGATGAAGTTTCGATAATCGAATAATAAATTAATTTTTCAAACGATGTACTAAATTTTTTCTTTAATTTTCTCCATATCTCCTTCTGTTTTCTTTTTAGCTCATCATTAAGCAAAATCCCCAATAATATTACGAACCACATCATTTTTTTCTTTTTTAAAAAAAAATAAAGCGATAAGATATTATTATTTTGAATGAACTTTAGAACAAGACATATTGTTATTGTCTGTAATCGGGTTGTAATAGTTTTGCACTTTCAAGTGCATTTTTTATGCGAAGATCCAATTATACCTCTAAAGAATGTAATGAATAAATTCACATTTTTTTTTTGTATCGCGTGCACGTAATCAGGTGATCACAAAACTAGATTGCAGTCCGGATGTGAGTAATGTCTTGATGGTCAGAGGTATACCAACTATATGGTTATTATTACCTTGCTTTATAAACATTTTTTTTAATTTTATAAAATTACAATATCAGATATATTGAAACAATATAAATTTTAATATTTCTTTTAATGAAAGCAAAACAGTGAATGTTTGACTACTTTTAAAATATCAGATAAATGTGAATTTTTAGACAATAAAAATTTCTGATATTAAAATCTGCCACGCGGAAGATCCTATGAATGATGATGATTACTTATATCTAAAATATTGTATTAAGTAAATAAAAATGAATAAGCAATAATTTAACGTCAAATTATACGTATTTCATAAATTTCATATTTGATAATAAATTTTATATCTTACAATTCATGTGATTACAATTTCATTAAACATCATAATCTTATTTTTTTGAATTGTGTAATAAAATAAACATTCATGGAAAAAAAAATTTGAAAAATTCTAAAATAATAATTTCTGATTAAATAAAATACCTTAATTGATCCAAAAATGCATAGTATTATTGGATCTTTTGCTTTTACAAATGCAATATGCAATCACTTTGATCACAATTAATATTAATATATTTAATTTTAATTTCATTGGTTTTTAAAATTGGACTACATTTGTTTTCTCTTGTAGAATACATACTAATGAATTTTGGTGTTAATTTTTAAAGAATTAAACTTACTTATCTTACTAGTATGTTGGAAGGTTTTTTTTGAAATTCCATAATTATCAAAATTTGGTTAGTTTGAAATAATAAATGCATAAAATGAAAAAATTAGGCAAGTTAACATAATGATTTTTTTTTTCTAAATAATAAAATGATTTCACCTTTTTTTCTGGTCAAACGTGTCCGTCATATGACCCGTCAGTCTTGGCTTACGACCCAGACCCCTGAAATTTGTATTTTTTGGGCATTTTACTATAATAAGAATTAATTATGTCGATTTCTCTACTCTTAAGTAAGTATCACAATTGTATTACAGAATTTCTGGATAGTACAAATTAATTATGCCAATTTCTCTAAGGACAATGATATTCAAAAATAAATTTCCTAAAAATAAGATTCTATTTAAATTTATATACTAGAAATGGTAGGGTGAATAGTAAAAACCATAAGTCAGGTCACGGTAACAAGTAATTAAACAGGTTATTTCATTTATTTGGTATATCATATAAAAAAACTGAATGACAAAATTGGTTAGTTCCGTGTCAAAAAAAAAAAATACCTTGCTTTATCAGCTAGCCGAGTTGCGTTCGGGACAATTTTGTGTCAGACAATATATCGTCCTTTCGCGGTTAATGCAATTAATAAAATTTTTCTACGATGAATATGAAATATAGTTATGATTATTTCGATAAATTAGGTGACCCAGATGAACAGTTTATAAAGGATTTTATAAAGGATTTAAAGGATTTAAAGATACTTTATGATGAAAAGGACAAGATAGATGATATAGAAGATATTGACTCATTAATGGAGTATATAAAAGGAAAAATGCATGTTAAAGGAAAAATGCAAGCTGACTTGGAAGAAATTAAAATTATTACTGAAAATGAAAGCCAGCAATTCAAATTCATTTTCCCGGAAATTTATAATGAGTCAACTGTTAAGTGGAAAAATGATGATTCAATTCGGAAACTTATTAATCATTGTATAAATAAGAATAAAAAAAAAGAATACAAATACATGCTTGTCATTTCTCATTTACTTCCAATTCTTGTTGAAAATTCTTATAAAAATTTGATAGACGAACTTGTGACAGAGCTCACCTACACTAAGGTTCCAGAAGAATGGTATCAAGAAGAAGGCAGTAATAAAATTCAAAAAAAGGAAAGTTACCTTTCAATTCGTGAAGAACTTTGGGGTTATAGATTTCCCAGGCACAAAGTAAGGCCGTTACATTCATCCATATTTGACAGGTTTGTTTTTTCATTTCCTTATATCAGATATTGTTCATAGTCTATACACTAATTACGATTATATTATAAACAAGAATTGAAAAGGTACCTCGACATCAAGTCACGTTGTGTTATGTACCATTACCCGGTCTATGTACCTTCCCTAATTATAAAGATAATAATATCTTGTTTCCTCGTGGCGCAAGTCCCTTTGTTAAGCTTGTCATGTCCAATAGCGATGAGTTACTTGATGAAAAACATGCTTCCTCCAAGATATTTGAGTCTCCATTTTTCCATGCCATCGTCAAGTTTAAGTGGCATATCCATGGACGGATAATCTTCATCATAGTGCTTCTTATCTATCTCGCTTTTTTCTTGCTTTTCGTTACATCAATTACTTTAGATTTTAATAAAGACAAGGCAATTGTTGACGCAATTAAAAATTATACTAATAAAATTACTATTGAAGCGACTAAAAGTTACATTACAGTAATTACTGCAACAATTGGTAGTGAAACAAATTCCATGATCAATAATGTAACAATTGCTGAGACTGTTAAAAGTAATATTGGAGTGATTACTGCAGCGATTAGCAAAGCATCAATTGAAGTGAACAGAGATAAACTACATATTATTACCTTAGCAATTAATAATGCAGCGATCGAGGTAATTACTAGCGAAGAAATTAATCAAACGATAATTAATCTGGCAATTAATGACGCGACAATTGCGGAAATTAACAGTAATTATGTTACAGAGATTAATAAATCAATTAGCAATATTGACATCACTACACTTAATGAAACGATTAACAGCACTGGGGGTAGACTAATAATGATTGTATGTTTGATCTTAGTAGCAATGGCAATACTATTATTAATTCGACATACGATTATAGTTGTAAAAAATGGCTTTGGTAAAAAAATTTTTACTGCCCCCTCAACCTACGTTTTAATCGCGTCAGCAATTGTTATTGTTATTACCGGATTTATGGAATTGAAGTTTCTGGATTATGGCTCTAACATACGTGTACAATTTCAAGCTGTTTCGATCTTTTTATTATGGATTTGTTTTATTGGACTTTTATGTTTATTCAAGAAAATTGGAGTTTTTATCATTAGTAAGTATCTTGAACAATATCCACTTACAGGTTCGACAAATCTATTAACTATTTGCTACTATATGTAGTTATTATGCATATTTGCAGAAGGACCTTGTGGCTAGTTTTTTTATTGTGCATATTTATATTCGGTATTGCCCATTCTATGCTTGTCGCTACTTCAATGAGTCCACCTGAATTCGATGATGAGAAAAATTCACCTAAAGAGAATACATTTGACGGCTATGGTATTTCAATTTACAATATTTGGATAGGATTTATAAATGCCGGCTTCGATTATCTGGATCCATGGATAAAGAGTCCCTATATGATTTTAACCAATATTTTATTCACATTTTTTACATCTATTATAATCATGAACTTGTTTAGTATGTATATGCAAATATTCTTTTTTACTTTGGTATATTCTTTCTTACACTTTTTTCTTTGCAGTTGCGTTTGTAAATAATATCTATGAAGAAACACGTGAACGTGCGTATACTGAATGGACCGTAATTCGAGCGCGGGTGCTCGTATTCCTTGAACTTGCAGTGTCATTTCCACAAGAAAAGTTTTTCTTAAGTTTTCTTATTGCTCATTTTGGTCGCGATGATAAGTAAGATTTAATTTACCTACATTTTTTGTAAGAAACAAAATGCCTTCTATGAATTATGCAAACATATTAATTTGTCTATTTTCAGGGGTTGCTTTCCTCCAACTATTCTTTATGAAGTTCCCACTCAAAAGGTTGAAGAGTGGTTTAAATCCAAACAGTCTTCCAATGAAACCTCTACAACAAATGAAGAAAGTAGTACAAATGTACAATGAGATAAAAATAAATAAGAACTAAATAATGATAATTAGAAATTCAATGATTTATATACAGTTCATATTATTGTAATCTTTAAAATAGATATTTGTACTGATATACGCATCATGTAGCTGCGACAAATTTCGCAATTTTATTATTTTTGTATTAATAGTTGTTTTTGGTAACGTTTTGTTATATAAAAATAAGGGCAGGCCCTCATGTTATTGTAAATTTGGCATCCGTTCATGACAAAAAATCGACAATTTTGAAGCTACTGTGAATACAATCTCATAAAATAGTCACATTCTGCATCTTCCAAATCATAAGACGAATAAGAAAACAATCAAGAATTACAAAAGTATCAATCTTGATTGATCAGATGATTTAAAATAATTCGGACATCATTTTTTTAATGATAATGGAAAATAAAAAAATCGGAACATACTGTATATCCTTTCTTATTATTTAAAAAAAAAGAACATCAGGATAATTTACCTAATTTTACATTTTATACACTTATCATTTCAAATGGCTATTCAAATTCTGCGGTTATTAGCTTTTTACTACAACTACCACGTGCTTCCGATTACGAGTACATGTAACTACTTTACCATTACGTACTACCTAACTACGTAATCATATTTTTTTTTACGACTACATGAGTACGTGAGCGCAAAAATAAAAAACCTATCACGTACTTACGTAGTTACGTAATCATAGATTACCCCCAGCGTACCCTACAAAAATGTCACGAAACGGCCGGCATTAAGAGATTAAGAAATTAAACTATGTGATAAATAATGCGTGACAAATAGTATTTCACACCTCAAAAAAAAGTCCCTCAGATACTTATGAAAAATGGAAACAAGGAAGGGCGTGGCGCATGTGACAAAACAGTCCCGTGATTTTTCGTGACATTTTTTGTAGGTAAAAATAAATTTATGTAATTGTAAAATTTACTGTTTGTACTGTATAATGTAGTCGCTTTGCAGTATTGTGCTTACATGAGTCTATGACTACGTGATATCTATGACTACGCGGGAGTACGTGATATCATGTACTCGTAGTCACAACTGCATTGTAGTTGTAGTAATTAAATATATAATCCAAATTCTGATAATTATGGAATTTCAACTTTCCAAACTGGTTAACGTTATTAAGCTTAATTCTTTAAAATCGATACCAAAATTTATTAGTGACTGTGGTCCAATTTTCTTAAAACAAAAAAATTAGCAAAATTACAATTAAATATATTTACAATGTTAATTGTAATCAAGATGATTATATTTGCAGAAGCAAAATATTCAGAAAATTAGAAAATATGCATTCTTGGATCCAAAGAATCTAAACAAAGGAATTATTATAAAATCTTGAGACTAATGCATGATTAAAACCTTTTTATAGGACGCTTATAATATTACAAAAGAAAATAATTATAGATGAGTTTATTTAAAATTTTTGTTTTATAAATCATGTACTTTATTACTAGCTCAATGTGTGTCGTTTATCTGATAATGTAGTCAGCTATTTTTTCATTCATAGTTTATGTGTTGTAAGATACAACTTGCGTACATCTATACGAAAAGGTTCAATTAATAAACATAAGTTGTTTCCGTCAATAATTCATTAAAATCATTATTCAACAGCGATAATTTTCTTATCTTGTAATTATAGCAAAGGAAAAAATATAAGATTAACTTATAATAATTTTATACGATAAAAAGGAATTACTGTGAGAATAAACGATTAGCTGGATAGTAAAGCCACTATCGTGGTTTTTTTTTCCATCCAATCATTAAGAGTTTTGACCATTCGACGAGTTTTTGATTGGTAAAGAAATTAGCGGAGGCCGCGGACTAATCTAAGTTAAAATGTTTTAATATAGATAAAGGGTTTGAAAAGGGACTAAACAAAGTTAATGTTCTCGGAACATCTGTATTTTTGGTAGTCTTCAAAGCGACAGGTACTATTTTCAAGCTTGTACTCCAGAATGTATATATATGATGGCGTATATTATTAATACTTTGTGCTACAATTAAACTTTATTCGAAACAATAAATTGTTAATTCATCGAAGAATTTGTTGTTACAGAAATAAAATCAAATAAATCAAATGAATGAATCTTATCTTAAATCCACAAAATGATTACTGATATGTAGTAGATTCGAACATTCTATTTATTCAAAAATTTCAAAAGATTAAAAAACGGAACTTTCTCGAGCGCCATCTCCGGGATGAGGAGTGGGCAAGGCGCCTAGAAACTTATTATCATTTTATGGAAATAATACAATATACGTTATCTAAGTTAGGGGTTGGAATCGAAAATCGAATCTTTTCAAGATTTTTCTTATAGACGACCAACCTGGCTTTGAATCAGTTTCTAATTTCAGCAAAAATAATCAGCACTTGGCCGGCATGAAAAATTACTTTGGAGTCAGGTTAACTTACATGTAAAAAATTGCTGAGAATCGATTCTCGAGAATCGATTTTACTATGTTTTGTCGATTTTCGATTAATCGATTCCAATCCCTAATCTAAGTAAGCCAACGGAAAAATTATACGCTTTTTTTTCCAATACAATCGTTTTATAATTAACATATATTTCTAATAGGTTGGTTTAAATTGTTACACAAAATTATATATTTTTTTTCCCGCAGTTTGTAATAATCCCAAGTTTATGAGACACATTATTTAAGTAGAATATGACGAGAATTATCGTAAAATAAAATTTATCTTATTATGTTTATATCGAAAGTTATTTTTTAAATTATTTTTTAAATTCGTTTATAAACCGAGATCTTAAAAATCCACAATTTTTTTTTTTTTAAATTATAAAATTTCGCTATTTTGGAAATCTCACCAAAGAAATTTTCTAGTCATTTGTTTATAAAATTTTAATAAAAATTTCTTTTTAATATTTGGTCAGGCATATTTATCATTTCTTAGTATGTTTCCTTTGAATAAAGCATTAAAAGGTTTTATTGGTCATATGAATAAGTCTATATTTTTGTTGATGATCTTTAAGAATATTAATGAGAAAAGAATATTTTTTACTCAGACGTGTTAAATCGCTTATAAATCGGGCTTATAAAGCTTATATATAAATTAATCAATAAATTTAATTTTCAACTTTGAAAATACAATTAAACCATAAAATAAAAAAGTTTAATCGGTGAGATCTTCTAATACTGTAATAAGGTAACATGAATATGGTGGTACAAGCCTACAAGGGCTATAGGACTATTTGTCGAACAGAATTCCATGTGACTTATTTATAATTAGTGAAATTCATCATTCATTTTCTAAAAGTTCTTCCACTGCAAATAATTTATAAAACGCGTGACGTTTATCGTCATTTAAAAAGAGTAAATGACGCAAAAACAGGAAACTATTTGTTGAGGTAAGTACAAGGGAATATGAATGTCGGAATATTGTATTTAATTAATTACTCAAACTTACTTTTTTTTAACTATATCATTTTCAGGTCGCAGAAATTTTACTTTTAGTAGCATCAATTTACAGACATACTTTAAATCAATATACTTATCATAGTTATAATAATGGAATACTCGCAATTTACTCGTAAAAATAATTGGAAAGTGAATAATTCAATTTTAATGCATATTTCTCCTTGATACACTTCATTTGGTGATGTTCACCACGGAGGGATGATGTAAATTTGGACGTCAAATGTGTGATAATATTAACGACATTATGGCGCTTAATTCATTTAATGAATTTATACTTGAGCTTCGGACGTTTACTTGGGAATGACGAGTGATAATTTATTATTTTGAAAATGTGACCGTATCGGTCCAACATTTCATTACGCAATTGTGGGAGTTTATGTAAGTTAAGAAAATTTATTTTCTTTTGCATTCGTGTTTAAAGTATTAAAAAAAAATTTGAATCCTAGGGTACATTGATTGATATTAAAGCGTTGGCGCCTTGGAGATTTACCAGTCGCGATTGAATATATCTTCAACGTCTATGAGGGTGCGTTAGGTTTTGATGATATCTAAATCCTCTTACCATTATGCTATTCTCCTTCTACCCTAATTCTCTTAAATTAATCTTTCAATTTCTCTAAAGAAATCTTATTTACGAGACATATTAATTAAAACTACAACTTTAATGCTATAGACTTTATAGATTTGATCAAACTTTTATTTATCGGGAGTGAAAGGGAGAGGAAAGATTAATTTTTAGAATTATTATTGTTCTTAATGTATTTAATTTGATTTATGCTCAACATAATTCCTTCCAATTCTGTTAAAGGAAGATTAATAGATGAATGATTAGTAGATGCGCATTGGCGTAATGATCTTATGATGATTGGCTCAATTGACCCTTTGTTAGATGTGAAATTAATTATTAACAGCGTTTGGTAATCAAGTGGGTCATGTAATAATTATAAAAATATATGTGACGAAGAAAGTTATATGATGATGGTGATGGTGATGATGACAATGATTATGATTATTGTGATGATGATGAAAATCAGCTTAAAGAAGTTGATTTCTTAAACTGAAATGATAATATGAAGAGTACACTAAGGATTACCATTTATCAGTCCTGGTGTTGATAGAGATCACCACTTCAACAAATTTAATAATGAATTACAGCCGTCTTACTGTCTTTAAACTATAAATGTTTAATATTATAGTAAGGTTTTTTTCTCTTATCTCTTTACAGTACCATCATTCATTTACTATATTAACGATGGTTTTTTTAAAACAGCCTTTGTCATCCATTCATTTATCAATAAACCAATCGACGAAACCTATCTAAACTCTAAAAAAAGAATTAGATGGGGTAAAGAATTAATAACATATAGTGATTTTTGCGGGTAAGTTACTGCATAACTATACAATCATGTAAATTATACTGTATATATAATATCTGAATTAAAGTTACCTTTATTGACACTTGTTTCAGTGAAACTGGATTCCGCTCAAACTACTATTCACAAAAAACCGAGAGATGGAATGCTACTAAATTGTGAGCTAGAAATAGGCACTTGTTAATACAAATAGTGGTTCGATAACAGATATAGTTATTTAGTGGTCAAAAAGGAAGGACAGGCGTGTTTGATTAAAAAGAAAATAGTGGACATGCAGTGTTCGATTAAAGAGGCCCGAATGTAAAATGTAGACAAATATTATTTCTGATGCAGAACCCACGGGACACATGAAATGAAATGATACTTGATCACAAATTCACAAGAAACATATTGCAAAATGAAAAATTGTATTTATTACTTTTGTAGTGAACAAAATCATTTAGAATGCAAACAGCAAATTATCATCCTTTGATGCTACCCAATTAATATTGATCATTTCTTATAAAAAATCACAAGTACTTCGGTTTGTTGATACATAATTTAACGATAATCTTCCAGTAGATGTAAATTATAATGACTATTATCAGATTGGGATAAACAGTTAGTTTCCATATTATACATTATCATGTCAAAGTAAAACATCCGACTCTCACCTATAACGTTGGTTATTATGAATAAATCCTCTAACATCATTATTTAATAAGCTTGAATTCCAGTTGTTCCTTTATGTAAACACTTTCTAAGATAGTGCCAATAGGGATGACAATAGATATGTCACTGTATTTTTTATGGATAGCCTCGTAAATTCCCATAAGGCACCAGTTTCATCGTAGACTGGGCACCCGAATCTCCACGATCCCCTGTACACAGAAATTAATTTTATTAAAAAAATGTCAGAAAAGGAATTTAATAAATAATGACTTACCAAATTTACCATCAATACCGTAAACCAACAAACCATTAGCTCTTTTAGCTTTTTCAAACAATTCAGTTATGACCACAGGTTCTAAAACAGGGATCATTCGTCCTTTGGTATGTCCTGACTCTCTGCCGACCTTATAGACATATATAAATTGATCTTCACTTTTATGATCCAAAATAGACTCTACACTGTTAATAACCACTTCAGTTCCACACGCTTTGTTAGAATTTGAATCGCAATACTCGTCAATCATACAAAAGGCGTAATCTACGAGCATTTCTGAATCATCAATATTCAAGTCCGAATATTTAACACGAGCACAATGATCATCAAGAGTGCCCTAAAAAGTAACAAGGTTGGCTTAGTGGTATCACGATTCATAATTTCCATTAACTGCATACATTATCTACCTTTCCTGGCTGAATTACTGAGTCATCAACATCACCGACTCCGTGCTTTACAGTAAGAAGATATTCATCTTTATCTTGATTTTTTACCCTAAATAATGCACATAATGTGCAAGCATTATCAATTTCGGCGTCACCTATACTGATTCCAGGCTTGAAAGTCTTCTGAAATTGGCGGTTATCGCATGATGGTTTAAAAGCCCCGTAATCGACCAACAAAGGAAAACCTTTATACTCTGCTGGAATGTTATGAACTGGCGTCCCTTCTGTCAAATTTACCGAAGCGATAATGTATTCTTTTCCATCAACAATTCCAGGGTATGTAACGGACAATGGAACCTTTTTTCCAAATTCTTTACGAAGGTCTCGTCCCACTTTAGCCATTTTTATAAAAGTATTATCATCACAAACGGGAGAGACCTTACGATTACCAACTATTGGTGCTATTAACATTTTATATTATTTTTAATGAATTTTTTTATAATATGTAATGCTTAAATTAGCCATAACATACCAATAATGTTTGGATCGTTTCTGGCTTTTGTAAAATTAGAAAGTATTGAATTGTCAACTTCACTGTCGGCAATCGCTAAAAGTGCACCAAGTTCTTCACTTAGTTCGTCAGCCCTGCCAGAAAATAATAGACAAATCATTTACAAGGTTAATAATTTGGGAATTTTACTAATGCAAACATACGTCATTTCGGCTTTGTCTGTTGTAGGTTTGAAGTTTGAATCTCTGGTCTTTAGATATTGATAGAGATACTCTCTAATGGTTTTCTTCGCAGTTATTTCTTTGCCCTTTTCCAAAAAATTTGTGTTGACTATGTATTTGTGGCGCCTTTTCACATATGCATATACATTTTTATTTAGATTTTTCCCAGGATATTTATTTGGACTCCATCCCGGAATTTTCTTGATCTCCTCAGAAAGGAGATATTTGATTGTCGTATGTCCTTCAGTTGATTTTTTATTAATAGCATTATTCTGGTATGATCTGAAACAGAAAGGGATTAGTCAAACATCGTGTTAACTGCTGCAATAGCGTCTTTGTGAAACTGGAACATTCATATTTTCTAATAACTCGTAATTAATTATTTTGATTTCTTTTATTTTTTGCATTCATTTTTTTATCACTTACTGTATAGACAAAGCCGTTTTCTTTCTTGACATCATGAATTTTGCTAAAGAAGTATCAGATAATATTAAAAAAATATTGCATCTTGGTATTAAATGGTAGTCGACCAATTATGATGTAACACGATGATGTAACACAAATTCACATGTTAAATTTTCACGTGATGATCATCCTTAATTAGCCAATTAAATTTAACAAAAAAAAAATCGTTCGTTACAAATATATAGCCCTGTTCATTTCTAGATCGTATCGGATTGACCGAAAAATGTATAACCAATCAGATCATAGTTACAATTGAGCACAATTTTTGATTGATCGGATTGGTTATATATCCATAATAGCTTATAGGGCAAAAACACGTAGTTGTTGTTTATTATGTTTATTATAAAATCGATCAGGGAAAAACACCAATTTTTGTAAATCGGCTTGACTGACCGCTGACCGCATCAGTAACCAATTATTTTGGAGTACAAATTTGCGGTCAATCCGGTCTGATCTAGAAATGAACAGGGCTTATATTTAGACGACCTTCATATATTAGTGATATCCTGTTTGAGTTTATGAAAGAAAGGTTAGTTTGAAACTCTAAAAGTACAAATTGTTAAAATGTAGTTGACAAATCCATTTGTATTTTTCTGGCACTGATAGTTGCTGGGCAACATATTCTCCAAAGCAGTGTTGGCACATGACCGGATGTGACCTAAATGACTTAGTGACTAAGTCATTAGTCATATGGTCATTTTAGCTTTGAAGAATTTATGTGACTTGGTCATAACGATATATGATCACGTGATTTAACATGATTTAATTTTACCGTTATAAAATTTCAAAATTTATTTATTATTTAATATATCATAAATTTTTACAACAAATACTATAAAGATTAAAACATATGAATTCATTTTTAAAGTGCTGAATAAATCTGATTTCCCTGTAAATAAGCAGGAAATCCTAAATTAGAAATGAACAAAGATCGTAACGGCCATTTTGCTGTCAGATCGTCTGCAGGATGAATTGTTCTTCCTCCAAAATTAAAGTCATTATCCATTTCACCATCTAAAAGTATTTCATCTTCAGAATGATCAAATGTATTTTCACGTTTAATAGCTTCAATCCACTCTTTAACAAATATATTCCATCCTTGTTCTTGTTCTTCAGTATGAGGTTCGGAAGAGTCATTTAAAGTCAAATTATTACTTTCATTTTCACCATTATCATCGTCACTAACCAACAAATCATCATCAGTTAAGTTATTAAATTCAGGATTATTTATATTATCATCTTCAATAATTGGTGTTGCTATATGTAAACGCTGAACTTTAGTATCTAATTCTTTTGCATTTTTTTTTTGACGATGATAAAGTATATCACTTCGAATCTGACTCATAGCTAATACTTTTTTGCTCTAAAATATTAAATAATATGAATTAAATTTTTGTGTAATAAATAAAATAAATATTGATATAAAACATACCTTTAATTTATTTCGCCTATTCGTGTGAAGAAAACCCATACTGCTCCACAATCTTTCAACGGATGCTGAGTTAATACAGACACCATGTATGTGTATCGCAACTTTCGCTAATTCTGGTCCAATACCAGCTGTAGAATCCCAATAATTTACCAAATTACCTTTAAATTGTGAAAATGTTTCAAGGTCATAAGGATCTTCACCATGTTTATATAAAATTATTTCAGCTACAATTGATGAAGGACGGGAATTAAAAAAAGCTTGATAATAGTATTTTAATTATTTTTCAATATGAGTCCATGTTAAATTATTATTTGTAACTTGAAAATTTTCTAATTTGTATTGGGGGTGAAGAACAATAGAAAGAATAAGGAGCGGCTGCTCCCACTCCTTCCAACGTTTTTCGATTCTTTCAACCATTCGTGAACCAAAATCAGTATCTTGGTGATTTTCAAAAATCTTAATAGTATTTGCAAAACAATGTGTTACTTCAAACAATCGTGCAGTATCCTTCTGCAATTTATTTAAAAAGCCACATAGTGGATAAAGCATATGTTGTAGTAAAAAAAGGGTCGACCAAAATTCTGAATCATTTATAGTATCAGCAATGTCATCAGGAAGTTTTCGGTCGCCATTTTGGCTTGAAGATTTATCTGCAGATGCTGAAGGTATTCCATTTGACGTGTTACATTAGCCCGATGTGGATTGAATTTTGCTGAAATAAACTTTAATAAAAAAAATTTAAATATTATATTTTTATTGATATAAAATATTTATTAAACTAATAATATTTACCTTTAATGCTGCTTGAGTTTTTAAAATAGAATAAAAACAAAAGTAATAACTGTTCCATCGAGTATCTCCTGGAGATGCTAAACATATGTGTTTATTATAAATTCTCATTTGTTCATCACGAAGATTTCCAGTAAAATACACTGATTTATTAAAATAAGTAACTAATCGGACTGCTTCCTTTAATATTCTTTGATATAATTCTTTCTCTTTTAAAATGTCGCCAAAAACAAGATTCATTTGATGTGCCATGCATGGTAAAAAAATTTTACTTGGATATTTTCTTCTCATTTGCCGTCTAGAAAAAATAAAGTTAAATTATTTTTCCATTAATAAATTAATAAGTATTATAATAATGAATTAAAATTAGGTTTATTAAATTTACCTTGCTGCTGCATATTTGCCTGCTGAATCTGAGACAAATGCTTTTATACAAACATTTTTGTTTTTTGCGTCTTCCATCATTTCTTCTATATGTTGGATAACATTAGTTGTACGAGATCGCTCAGCACTTATTTCATGTGCTCCCCAAACCAAAGGTTGTCCTTTTGATGTAATAAATACTACACCCCATAATTGCTCCATTTTTACATTCGTCCAACCATCAAAGGCTGCCGTAACACCATCTTTATCATTTGCTGCGATTTTTACAATATTATGTTGAAGAGATTTAGCTGCATCTTTTAAGATTCTGCCACCAATTGCTTTACGATTAGGAAGAACAAGTCCAGGAGCAATAAATTCAAATAATGCTTTAGTTTCTTCATTCTCTACAAAAGAGAAAGGAAGACTATTAGATACTGTCATTCTAATGAATAGTTGTTCAAATCTAGGTACATCATTTGTTGACATTTGGCGACGATAATATGATGTTAATGATTTTTGTTGGCTGCCAATTGAGTTAAAACTTGATACTGTTGATGTAGAAAGTCTCCTTCGTTTTGCTAAATTTTGAATAGATTCATCATCATCATCAACTTCTATAATATCATTAACTTTGTCTTCAGGTACTGGCAATTTAAGGATTTCCTTTACTTCTTCTTCAGAAAAGGTTTTCTTAAAATTTTCACATTTAGCCAAGTGTGCACGACATAATCTTGCTTTATTTTATGTATAACATTCTGGTCTTAATTTAGCTTCTTCTAACCCCCATCACAATTATTAATACAACTATTGCATACTGCAAACGCATTTCCTTTATTTATTGTATTTTTAACAAGTGTAAAGTACTGACGAAAATTATGTGGTTCCGGAGGCATTATTTATTTGGGTTGATGTTGAGTAAAAATTTTTTCGGTTAGTTGATTTACAAAAAAAGATTATCAATTAGAATTTTATTGGTTAATCAAACAAGGGGTCACGTCAATTGTGACATGACTAAGGTGACTTATGGTCATGATGGTCACGTCACTTGGTTATTTCTGATATGACCGTAATGATCAATGACCATAGGTCACATGCGTAGTGACCTATGTCATTTAAAAAAAAACAAAATGACCTGGTCATTTTCCATCACTGCTCCAAAGAGGAAACAATAAATAATACTTCAAAGGCTGATGTCTATCCTTTATTGACACTATATATAGTATTGCAAGTTAGAAATTGACAACAAAAATAATGGTTCGATAATAAAGGAAGGACAGGCGTGCTCGATTAAAAAAATAGTGGACATGCATGTTCAATTAAAGCATGTTCGAATGTAAAAACAGTGGACAAATATTAATGCTAATGCAGAACCCACGAACTCGTGAAGCGAAATGATATCTGTGGATTCTGTTATTTGGCTATGAAGTATGACATTGATCAATAACAGAATACCTGGAGGGTATTCCTTTGGATATGCTTTTAGCACTTTCAGATATTTTTCGGTGATCGAAACATGTATGCGTGATCGATAATAGAGGGAACAGCGGTCAAATATTAATTCGAACGTATGGTTTTTTTATTGATCGCTAAACGATTACAGAGAGCATACTAATATAGTAAGTTTATTTATTCATCGACTTTCGTTGCAGACGTCATTCCTTTGGAAATGTTATTGTGTCGCTACTTATATTCTCCTACTTCCTTTAAACAGTAGAAAGACATATTTGGACGCAATCATTTCAACGAGATACCAGTTACTTGCCGCCTCATTACCATCCATTACTCCGAAATTCTATTTAGACATTTGTCTCTTTTTGGATATCTCGTTTTGGTACTATTAATTGGACATTTGTCTCTTTTTTGGCTACCTCGTTATACTATTTGAACTAATTCGTATTTTATAAAAATGGATTATAATAAGTACGAAACATATTTAGCCGATGATTTGTCTACCAAACTTGTTGTTCAGGACCATACTGCCGATGGCTATAGGGTATTTGATTCTTTTGATGAGTTCTGGGATTTTAGTGATAATACCCCTCCACACTTACGGTGTTTCTCTGAAGTAGTGTTTGAGGATACGCCCCAGACTCCCATGGTACACGTAGGGATTTCTTCTCGTTCTAAAATGCCTAAAAAAAAGATAGTTGGTACTATTGAGTCTGTTATTACTAGCATGCTAGAGGTTTTCCATACTAGTTATCACAACACGAAAAATGTCCCTATTTCACCAAAGGACTTGGTAGTTATGGATGAATGTGGTCTTTCTTCTCACGGATTCTGGATTTACTCTTTTCATATACTAGCTCCTTCATTTTCTTTTTCCGGATACCAAGAAGCATCTATTTTTCTTGATAACTTGGCCTTACGTGTACCAAAAAAGATTCGACAGTACTTGTTTCTCCCTTGTAGCCCTCCTACTCAGTATATCCGTATCCTTGACTCTACATTTCCAGATGACGCTAGAAACAAAAAAATTTCATCATATAGCCGTTACTTAGGGACTGCTACTGATATTCCCCGGAATGGACTATTTGTTAACCATTTTCCGGACTTAAAGGTTGATAGCGTTTCACAAACAACTAGTGAGAACTATTGTAATAACATTTCCGAAAAAACAAATGAACCTATCCAAGCTGATGAGGTTGATGATTCACAACTCGCTGTTATGCAATAACATGTTCTTCCCCACCAATTTACCCACAGCGACTCTGTTGCGAATGGTAATGATTGCTCTGTTAGCTTCATCTATTCTAAAGATGCGATTGATGAAAATATTCCGGAGATTGTTGACTCTTTAGAAAAGGACAACCACGAAAACACTGTTACAAATGAGATTGATGGGGACAACTTNGTATAATTAATAAAAAAAAAACGTTACAAAACGTTTTTTTAATTGAAATATTTAATAATAAAACTTCGGGTAACCTGAGTTACCCGAAGTGACCCGAATACTTTCAGGTCAAATGGGTCAGGTCGGGTCAGAACGGTTTACCCGACCCGACCTGACCTGAAAAAAAATTTCGGTTCGGGTTAACCAGGTAACCCGACCCGACCCGACCCGTGCGGAGCTCTAAATTTAATTGGACATTTGTCTCTTTTTTGGCTACCTCGTTATACTATTTGAACTAATTCGTATTTTATAAAAATGGATTATAATAAGTACGAAACATATTTAGCTGATGATTTGTCTACCAAACTTGTTGTTCAGGACCATACTGCCGATAGCTATAGGGTATTTGATTCTTTTGATGAGTTCTGGGATTTTAGTGATAATACCCCTCCACACTTACGGTGTTTCTCTGAAGTGGTGTTTGAGGATATGCCCCAGGCTCCCATGGTACACGTAGGGATTTCTTCTCGTTCTAAAATGCCTAAGAAAAAGATAGTTGGTACTATTGAGACCGTTATTACTGGCATGATAGATGTTTTTCATACTAGTTATCACAACACTAAAAACGTCCCTATTTCACCAAAGGACTTGGTAGTTATAGATGAATGTGGTCTTTCTTCTCACAGATTCTGGATTTACTCTTTTCATATACTAGCTCCTTCATTTTCTTTTTCCGGATACCAAGAAGCATCTATTTTTCTTGATAATGTGACCTTACGTGTACCAAAAAAGATTCAACAGTACTTGTTTCTCCCTTGTAGCCCTCCTATTCAGTATATTCGTATCCTTGACTCTACATTTCCAGATGACGCTAAAAACAAAAAAATTTCATCATATAGCCGTTACTTAGGGACTGCTACTGATATTCCCCAGAATGGACTTTTTGTTAACCATTTTCCGGACTTAAAGGTTGATAGCGTTTCACAAACAACTAGTGAGAACTATTGTAATAACATTTTCGAAAAAACAAATGAACCTATCCAAGCTGATGAGGTTGATGATTCACAACTCGCTGTTATGCAATAACATGTTCTTCCCCACCAATTTACCCACAGCGACTCTGTTGCGAATGGTAATGATTGCTCTGTTAGCTTCATCTATTCTAAAGATGCGATTGATGAAAATATTCCGGAGATTGTTGACTCTTTAGAAAAGGACAACCACGAAAACACTGTTACAAATGAGATTGATGGGGACAACTTTAACGAGGATAGCATGCCTGAAACTGAAGAAGATGTTATTTCATCTATCATTGAAACACGAAGTATTGGACACGACATGCCAATTTCCGACAAAACTGATACATCAGTTAATGATAATGTTCACGGGATGGAAGTGAATATTACTTCGGTTAACTTATCCAACACCGAAACACAACTTGTTACTTTACAGAAACCTTCAATTTTTCTAAATATGTTTACAATATATTTACAATATAACAGACACATCACTTTAGTATTTCTGTTATTTTCGTTCTAACTATATGCTTACAATATGTAGAAAATATTACATGAAAAATCTGACAATCATATATCAAAAATATGTTTCGGATTTATATATTATATGACAATCACATATCAAGCATATATTAGAAATATGATTAGAAATTCATATGACAACCATATATCAAACATGTATTAAAAGTATAATTAGTATATTATTTTTATATGATACCCATATATTAAAAATACATGATTACTCTTTTTATAACTATTATATATCTAATATATGTAAATAATATTGCAAAATTATGTAAATTATATAATAATTACATGCCGAAATATAATAACAGTGATTTATAGTAATATGCCATAAAGTTGTGTATCGTCAAAAATTTATTCCTCCTACCAAAGTCTTACGTGTTCAAATACTCAAAAAACTGGTCATCTAAAAAAAATAGTATATGAAATGTTAGTGGTCATTTCATTCAAAAGAATTAGTTCAAAATAAAAGTAAAAAACTTACCGGATCTTTCACTTTCCCAAGCACTTAAAAAACCAGCTATCTACAAAAAAAATATGTAATATTAGTAGCTGTTTCTTTCAATAAAAACTATTAAAAATTTTACTATCGTCTAGACTCCAGAGACTGAAAGATACGCCTAAAAAAAGAATTAAGAAATGGACTGTAAGTAAAATTGTTAAAAATAAAAAAAAGTTAATATTCTAAAACTTTACCTATTAAGATAATAATAAAAAATTAAAACAAAAATTAAAATTCTACGCGTCCTGAAAGTATCATCTGAAAAAAAGAATGTTCCTACCAAATTCCACACGTCCAAAGAGCCAAAGAGCTAACCGCCTAAAAAAAAAGAAAAAAATAGAAATTAATAACCATCCTTTAAAAGGCAGAATAATGAAATTTAAAAATATCTTATCAAAATCCCATGCCTTGATTTTGTATTGACGTTGTGGTTAATTTGGATGTACAGTGCTTGGATATGTTGCTCAAAAAAAAGAAAAGAACAAAAATATCAGTAATGTTTTGTTAAAAACAACATTAGAAAAAATGTCACTCACCATCCGTCAAAGATAATGAAAAGCTGTCTAAACTACAAAATACAAAACACAAAACGTTAATTAATGTTTTGTCACATAAAAACCAAAAAGAACATAATTTATGATATACTTTTTAAACATTTTGTTAATATGATCGTTGCTTTTTAGTAATTTTCCAATGGTTATGTTACTTCAAATTTCCCACACGTCCAGTTGTCTAAAAAAAAGAAATTAGAAGTTGTTTTTTAAAAGATGAAGTAAATAAATTAGATTATTATTATGACACCTACTAAAGTACCATGTCCAAAAACCAAAAAGCCACTTGAAAAGAAAAATAAGGAAGGAAAGGAAAAGGATGAAAAGGGATAGGTAAGAGTGAGAGAAAGGGAAAGAGCAATTACGAAAATTACAAGAGAAAGGGGAAATTACGAAAGGAAAGAAAAAAAAGTTTAAGCTTAAACTATAAAAGCTTAAACTTTAATCAGTTGAATTGCACTGCAGTTAAGCTATAAATCACTGATTATCTTAGTGTTACAAGCTATGGTTAACAACATTTTATACGTTGAAATAGTCAAAGTTTAGCAATGGTTTGTTTAATTTTTCGTGAAGTTTTATT